GGAACACCACGCAACATTGAACCCCTACATGTTGTAGACAGTAGCTGGATGCTGAACCTGATGTCGGCTCATCCTGCTAAACCTGACGCAGTGACGCGTCTGCCACGCAAGGGTTGGCACTCGGCTTGGCAACAAGCAACGTGCATTTGACGATCAATAGTACTTTCCTTTTGAGTGGATAGCAGTTAAGGACGTAAGTACTAGTAGTACTGGATGGATCCACCGGGGTCGGAGAACAGCCACCACAACCCAAAGATGGGTGGGGCTATTTTTGGGGACGTTGTCGTCAGTCACCCCTTCCTGGAATAGACTAAATAAGTCTGTACAACATGCGAACATCAAATGGTGGATTCCGCTGTTCTAGAGCTTCAAATGTTGGCCCATCAAATAGTCCGGCCAGCGGTGGGCTGCACTGCACTGCTCTTAATGCCCCGGCATAGGGCTGTCTTCTTTTTCATTATCGCTGGCCCATGATACTGCAGCACACAATAGTTCGCTTACAGAGTATGAAGGGACATTGCATCCCGTCGTTCATCTAGTCCTAGGGTAGGCTCTGTCGTGACTGGACATGGTTATGCTACTTGTAAGTGATATTGACTACCTAGGTATTTTTGGGTGAGTTGTGGCGGTAAAGCTTCATGTCCCGACTGAAGCCCGTCGTAAGTGGCTATGCTGGACCAGTCGCACGCATAATCCGCACCCCGGCCTGGCCATGCTTGTCTGTCCCTGTACGGCAGCTGCTCTGATCGATAATGCCAATGGGGATGGATCCCGTTGTGCATCCAAACTTGTGCGAGTCAGACCGGCTTTGGCATCAACGGCAGTTTGTTGATGCGGACTGGGCGCACACAAACCAAGACCAAGGCCAAGGCTGCCACGAACCACTGCTGGGCCAGGCCAACGGGATGGGGGCGGATGTAACACACAGTTCCGGGGCTATGATTGAACTGCGTTCACCCTAGCAGCATCGCCTCGGTAGTGACGATTCTCGCCCGGCGGCTACGTGCTTTGAGGTGTCCGTTCACCCTGGTATTTCCCTGTATCCCGCACTACTCCTGCGTGCCAGATCCGCAAGCACCCAGTTATAAGGCTGTGGCTGGCAGTGAGGCTCACTGGCTACATCTGATGGCCTCGATATGTTTTGGGGGCTTGGAACGGGGAGCTTCGTCGCAGAAAAGGCTGAGGTGGAACCCAGTGCTTTGTCCATGTGTCCTGATAGAACGAAGCGATGCTGTCAAATCTTGCATCCTAGAGATGATCATTCTGACAGCAGCTCCAAATGCACGCTACTCTGCAGTCAGAGAGCCGGCGACAAAAGGGCAAGACGAGCACGTTGGGGGCCGTTGACGAGCAAAAAAGCTCATGCCGCATCCCAGACCGCATGAATTGATTCGTTCAGACTGGATACCGCTGTGCCGCCGTCATGGTTGGTTGGGTGGTGGTTGATATGACTGGCCGTCGGCAATTATTGCGCGCTCCGCAGTACTAACACATACTAGTCCTCGCATTGGCATATTATTAGTACCGAGGTACATACTACTTATGTTGTAGTGTATTGTCTGTCGGCTGAAGTACGGAGTAGCGGCAACGAACACTGAACACAATACCTAGCCATAGGTAGGTAGTTTGGGATCATGGGTGATGGGGTCATGGGCAGCGCATAATGGATCCGGTTTATCGGCCGAATGTGGACAGGGCTGCATGATTGACGGCTGGTTTTCTCGTCAGGGCCCGGACGATCACGAAGCCATCTCTTCGTCGCTTTAAGCGCAGCCATGAGCCTGGGCTCCTTAGTCAGGGGACGGAGGGTAGTTCAAGTATTGTACGGAACACTCCGTCTCTTACGATAGAGAGGAGAGTGGAATGGATACGGGGCATTTTGCCCGGTCAAGCATAATTGGGCGGACTGGGGATTCGATGTTGGATCAGTGAACATTGCTCATGTGAAGGCAGCCAGCCCGGCAACCTGTGCTGACACTCACCTTCTTGGACCTGAGATATCACGTGTATTGTCAATCATCAAAACCGGTCCGTTTTGGCCCACACACATACGAATATTGAGCTAGTATCTCGCCCTAGCTCGTCAAAAATAAGAGAAAATCGGCATTAGACATTGACCCCCAGAGCCAGACCATGCGTTGCAAGACCCTCAGCCGAAGGGTTGTTTTGTAGATTGCACTCATCAATTCCGCAACCGCTCCGTCCTCTGCTCCGTCCTGTTACACCGTCCTGTACGCCGTCCTCCGCATGCTTCTGGGGCGTAGGGCAGCATTCGGCTGTTTTCCGGTCAAAGTGGGCACTTGGTTCCTGGGATGGATCATCCCTATGCCCAACGTGGCAGTTATGCCTCGTCAGGCAGACTCGAACATTTTGAAGCCCTTGTCCCTCGTGTGCTCAGGTGGCCGGGATTGGCCCAATTACATGGTTGCTGCCAGGCCAATTTCAATGCCTGATATTGCCCTGAAACGGCCCGCGATACGGGCCATTGGTCTTGGGGCGTTGGTTATCACGATCTCCCCGGTCGTGTTTGCCTAGCCTGCCTCACCAATGAGCCAAGAGGCTTTGGCGAGGTTCTGGGTAGCCTCGGTGTTCACACTCACCAACTGCATATTACTCCGTACGGAGTAGGGAGAAAGGTAATTCCCCTTTGGGAACGTCCCGGGTCAATCCCCGAGTTAATCGATTGATATGCCTTCTTGTACACCAAACTTGTGAGCCCTCCGCATCTCCTCACGTGCGAGGAAGTGAGTTTGGGCCACAATATTGTTTGAATCATAGCCAATCAATGAAATATTATTCCTTTCATCTCGCCATGCACTGTCACAGAGACCAATCCAGACCGGAGAGTAGCATAATTAATCTCGCAAACCGCCCCCCTCTTCTTCATTCGGGGACTCGGGAACTCGGTGACCCGCGGGCTTCTTGGAGCAAACCTGGGTTGGGGAATCATCATGTTCTTGGGTGTAGGTCTTGGATACCAACCTTATAAGGTCCACTAACAGCCGGGTCCCTCAATGCTGGCTAGTCTAGTAGTAGTAGTTATATCGAGTGCCGGATGGTCTCAACTTGACGATGCACACCCTCCCAACATTGAACTGACACAAACCCGCTCATTCATTAAAGGGCTACTAATATTGGAAAATTGAGATCGATGTAGAGATTGCTCTACGTACATATTATACCGCCAGCGAGTCATCCACCCGAGAGAACAGCCGTCCCGTGGCAGCCACATTTATTTGGCTTAAGCAGATCATGCACTAGGCTTAACAGGCCGTGAACGTCCATGAAGGCTTTCCCTGTCAGCTCAACGTTCCGTACCGGCGGACTCCATCCACAACACCATGCACGCTATATTCACGATTAGGTAGCGCATGGCTGTCTGACTAGTGATGGACTTGCTAACGCGTATTTCAGTCATTGCCAGCAACTGATTAAATGCTCGCCCTCCGGCGCGCAAGGAATGCCCTGATTTGGCCCAAACGGCGCAACACCACGACTCGTTGGACTGAAACCCCCAAGCAGCAACCATGTGGCCCTGCCGAGGCTATTATCTCCACTGCCGATGTCGAGATGTTTACCAGGCACGGAGTACGTACCAAGGCACTTTAAACAGACCAGACTCCATAAAGTGACATGCAGTGCGGAGCCTTCCTGGTCTAGATACTCGTGCACCTGTTGCACCGCCTCGCCGGCGCCCCCGACGAAACTGGATACACAGGCATCCAGAAACATGGGGACGCTTGCGCAGGGAGGACGGGACGATGAGCGTGCGTGCTAATACGGGTTATGCACCTTGATTGCAGAGCTCCTACTTAAGTAGTCGAGCAGCGCGTACGGACGACCAAGTGACCGCTTAGGCAGGTACATGTCAATTTAAGTACTTAGTAAAGTAGGTAAGTATATAGGTCCTTGGCGGGGAGGCAAGGAGACACTTGGAGTACGGCCGCTTAATCTACGACCACATGTCAGCTGTCAAGAAGCTAGAGATGGTTACATATGTACTAACCTTTAGAGATGGCCTTGAATGTTCCAAAGTTCTACCGTCTACGACGCAATAATAGGACCTAGTGTACTACTAACCTAACATGGAAGTGGGTAGGCCAGACCAGCCTGTTTGCGGATGCGCGACCTTGATGCCAACCAGTTGACCGCAGTTCTCGAATTACTTGCGTGGTCCAGCCAAGTCAACATTGAATCTAGTAGCACTGTACTCCGTACGTTCGGGTTAATTGCAGCACATCGCATGGCACTTGAACCCACTTGAGCACTCTGAACCCCAGCCTGCCGTTCCGACGCCCCCCCAAACGCCCCTCTCCTTCCATGTCTCCATTCATTCACGCCCAGCCTTGAGCAGTCAGCATCGACATTGTCCCTAACATCCAATGTTGAAACCTCCCACCCTTCGCGACATCCCGCCAGCCCTACACTAGATATCCATCTTTCTTCTCTTCTCTGCCACAGTCCCAAACTCTCGACCTGTCCACACCCAAGCGCTGGCGCATACATGTGTATTCTCCTTACGATACACGCCCCCCCTTCGCTGCTTCTTCTGTTCCGTTTTACCAGACTAGTATTCTTCGGCTCCACGGGCCTCAACTGCCACCCGAGCTGCCATCGCGCTTCTCTTTCCTAGTCTTATCTTGACCTGTGCTTTGGAATAGAACCCCGAACAACATCACGCAAACAACCATCGGCCACGCCATCCAGTATCCAACATCAAGTCCGAAAGTCTCACGCCCCTCTCTCTCTCCCCTCATCTCCCACCGCCGAATCTTCCTCACCCGCCAGCGTCTGAAACAAGGCTGCAGTTGAAGACCGGCTCGCACCACTTTCGCGCGGCCGACTTTTTGATAGGGTGTCTTGCCCCAGTACTTCTACACATTGCATCACTTGCACTTGTTGTAGTGCTGCACAGCCCCTCGGTACCCCCTTGGCTGCCAGAAGGCTGCCTTGGGGAAGTCTGCCTCGCGATCATACACAATACATACGGCCCCAACAGGATGGATCAACAGGCCCACAACGGCCAGTCGTCCTCGACAGCCGGCCATGACAAGGAACAACAACCTCATATAAACCAAACGGGTCCCTCGCCCTCGGCAACCGGTCTGGGTGCCCCGGACGACTCATCCGTCGGCTTGGGTCTCGATCTCGATGCTCAACCGCAGCAACAACGGTCAAGCTTGACATTTGCCGGAACCTCAGACTCGGGGTTTGACTCATTTGGCTCGAATACTGACTTCCTTGATCCGCAAGAGACGTCGTCCCAGCAAACGTTCAGCCAAGCGACCGTCTCTGATCCGACTGTATTCGATCCTGGTGCCAGTTTCGGCCATCAGCCCACCCCCGGTCAAGGTGCCGACGGCGCATTGTCCTTTGATTCCCAGTCGCAACCAACGGCATACCTGTCTCCAAACCTCAACGACGGAGACTTTTCTCTCTTCCCTTCGAGCAGCCAGGGTGACCAGTTCAACGCCCCGCTCTTTGAGCAGTCAAGTCTCAACCCGAATGATATTAATAGCATGGCCTCTCCTCAATCCCATCACACGCCTACCCCTCCAAACCTTCTCCAGCCAGATAGTCTCCAACCTGGTTCTGCTCACCAGTCACCCTCCTTCAGCCAGCATCACCAATTCTCTTCCCCGCAAAGCAGTCACTCAAGGAACGCTTCTCTTGGACCCGAAGCTGCCTTGCTACCGAACCAGATTGGTGATTGGACCCAGCAACCTCAATTCCAGGGTCATCGCCGCAGTCCCTCCGAATACTCGGACGTCTCGTCTGTCTCGCCGTCTCCGAATTTAGTCAGTGCAGACTCGTTTGATGACCATTCAGGCCACTCACCTTTACAAAGAGCCTCGGACGGTAGTCTGTATCAAGACGTTTTGAACATTGAGTCCTTTAGCATTGGCGACAACACTCAACACGGCAGAAGCCCTTCTCATAGCCCGGCCATAAGTCCTAGAATCAATCCTCAGCAGATGCCCGAGATGCATCAACCGGTATTCGTTCTGGCACCTCCGAGTGGTGGCTTTGGCGCTATGGGCTACCCTAGTATGCAGCCTACATCATTTCCTCCACTGGCTTTGCAGGAACGAGGCGATATTTCCCACATGGCTCCTCCAGCCATCAATATCGATTTCGCGCCAAACAATGCAAAGCAAGGTCCTTACGAATCTGTCAAGTCTCACATTGACCAGGACTCTTTGACGCCGCCATCCGACAGAGGTATGTGTTTTTAACAGCCTAACGATGCTCCCGCAGTTACAAATTCAACAAGTCTAACCTCACTGCTCCAGGTCGACCTAAGTCACGGCCTCGGTCTGTCACAGATCCTTTCCATCCCGGCGGTGTGGCCTTGAGTCGGCCTCAAAACTCTGCTAGCCTTTCGCCAACTCCTCATCTCTCAGCTCGGTCCGAGTCCTCCCGCTCCCTATCACCCCTAGAAAGGCAATCTGCTTCATCCTCCTCCCGGAGACGCCAGTCTACGTCTTCCGTTCCTAATAACGTCATCGCCCTGCGCTTGGCGGATCCTGAGTATCAAAACAGCCCAGAATCAGGCTCTACAAAACGCGTGCAAAAACATCCGGCTACATTCCAATGTACACTATGTCCTAAGAGGTTTACACGAGCATACAACCTGCGATCTCATTTGCGAACTCATACCGACGAACGTCCCTTTGTATGCACGGTTTGTGGGAAAGCATTTGCCCGCCAGCACGACCGCAAGAGACACGAGAGCCTTCATTCTGGAGAAAAGAAATTCATTTGTAAAGGAGATCTGAAGGGCAGTGGCCAGTGGGGCTGTGGGAGACGTTTTGCCCGTGCTGACGCTCTTGGCCGTCATTTCCGTTCTGAAGCTGGCCGTATTTGTATTAAGCCGCTGCTTGATGAGGAGATGAATGAACGACACAGACAGTGGCAAGAACAGCGATTGCAGCAAAATATTGCCCAGAACATGGCCCCACAGATGACATTAGATCCAGCCACGGGCTATCCCATGGATGCTAGTGGAAACTACAGTCTGCCCGCGGCTTTATTGCAGCAGTATCCTGCTTTAGCCCAGATGAATTGGTCTGCTCCTGACGCGGGTGGTGCGATGGAGGACGATCTTAGCGGACGGTCGTCGTTTGACGCCAGCGACTACGATGAGACTGAAGAGACGGGCTATGTCAGCGGACCCGGAACAACATACGGAGAGGGTGGCATAGGCCAAAATTTTGGAGAAATGGGCTACCCTAGCGATTTTGGCGGCCGCTGAACCTGGGCTCACGATTTTGGCGTTGGAGAAAAAGGCAGTATATGTGCGGAAAGAAGATGACGCGTTGGTTTTCTGAGTTGTGATTGGAGCGGTTCTTTTCTATCTAGTTGCTTCGCTTGGATTATATCTTTGGAGGACCTGGACTGAGACGTGCATGACACCAAGGCATTGGATAAAATTGCCTTTGAAGGTATGCTTGGGATTTTGATGGATTTTGATGATTCTCAATTTGCGGACGGGGCATTCAAGTGCGCCTTTAGGTTGGTCCCCTTTGCAGGCCTTTTTTTGACCACAGAGGGCTTACCGGTTTCGTTTTGAATTCGACTTTGATTTTTTGAGGTACAAGAACAGAGGATAGACATGCCACGAGTATTAGATACCAAGCTTCGAATGCTTCGAACCCGAATCTACGATATTTCATTCATATCACCCATACACTTTGCCTTATCCTTTGAAGCTTCTCGAATGATTGGCAAAACTCCATCGCATGGACAGTGGCCCGAACCGAGGCTGAAGACTCAGATCTCCGCAGAAGAATATCAAAATCGTGATGGCTGAACCCTCGAGTTTATTTCTACGCTGCCCGAGATCTCTTTGCCCCCAGGCGTGCAGGGTTTGGCCTCTAATTTCAGGCACAGTGGCAAGATATCAGGCGAGTTCCATACGCCCGTTGCGATATGATTAGACCCATCGTAGAAGAAGCGAGGGATGTGCAGAACCAATAACCCGCCGTGGTCAGAGGAGAAAGGGCCACCATGTGATGGGAGGGAAGGGGACGCAAGCTATGGGCGAATACAGGTAATAGATCCACTGGCAGAATGGTTCCTCAATCCGCGTCAGTTCAACCAGGTCTATTTGCCTCACCCATGTTGCCATCTAAAGAGCCTGCCAAAGGGTCTCTTCTTATATCAGCCCCCTAAAGAGTTTCCCGTCACTGGATAGGATGACAGAAGCGGAGAGCTTGAAGTATCGAAATCTCTGCAAAAACCGAAGATGTTGTCCTGCGATCCCCTGTCATGGGGCCATCCCCCAGCGCTTTTGATGAATCTTGCGGCACGCCGGTTGCGTGTCCCCAATATTAATACATGACGCGATCTATGTCACAAATCTGAGGGAAACAAACGACCGCACAGTATCCCCACAAACATAGAAGCACCTGGCATGGTTCTGGATTGGCGATACTGCCTTTGACTGTGGGTACATGATGGAACTTCAGAAATGCTCAATGGCTGACGACTCCCCAAATAGTAGTCAACTGTTTCATACTAACTCGGACCACTGCACGTAGACGCGGCTTTGTAAACCCTACAAACCAGTATATACACAATTCTGCCTTGCCATTTCCTCTGAATAGTGCTTGCTGATCCTAAAGAGATCCGGGAGGAAGCCAGCAGAGAGGGTGTGCGGGATACCACCGTTCGGTTGGTGACCGACCTTGAGCGTGCACAGCCTCAGAAAGTGGAAAAGGGGGATCGAAGGAAGCGGAAGGTGGGTAGCCCGTAGCAAGGTGTCTAATATAGTCTCGCTTGTTTGTGTCGACTGCTATTAGAGAACGAGTATTTTGTGAGTTGTGACAGTGGCTTTGGGTCAAAGCGGTGTTTGAGCAGAGTAGGCCGTTAGGAGTGTTTCCGACGAGACCAATGGCATTCAGCCGGAGATGCCTGGCGAAAAGGAGTAGCTTTTGGTCAGTGCTCTGACAGACTGGATTTCTCTCGCACAATGCATGATACGGTCAGGCTAATAGTGCTCGTATACGGAAGTGTATGGGCACCGATGCCTTGTGGTTTCAGGCCGCCGCTCTAGCAGTTGTGGTGTGGGAGTCGTCCGGCTTGTGTGCCATTCTTGGAAACCTCCGTGCCTGGGTCTGATACTAAGTACGTATTGTGATAGATAGCTTTCATGTGCGAGAAGCTAGTTCACACGCGTCTTGCGATAAGTATATCGACGTCCATAGTGTCATGAGCTTGTCAGTCTTGGGGGAGATGCGTATGGAGCTTGGGGTACCTAGTAGGCAGGCTTCTGTAGAATCACGTTATCCTGATCCTGATTGAAACCTGGGAAGTATAGATGGTGCCTCAGATAGGTAGATATGGACCATGAAAGGCCATTTCAGTTACTCGATCATCGATCTACGACGATGGAGCTGCGTATTGCTATAACGCTGGAGCAAAAATATACGGTAAAACCGACTCTTGGTCGAATATTTCTAGTGTACGGCTCACAAACGTGCCATTTTGGTTCCTTGACAATGGGCTCTTGAGAGAGAAACTACGGATCCATGTTGCGTTACGCTCAACATGAAGGCAGCCAGCAAAATAGGGGAACCAGCATACTGTTAAGAAACTACAATCCGTAGAGCTACAAGTAAGCAGATCCCACGCTTTCCCCATTTTTGTCTTCTACATTTCGAGAATTCGACCACTATTGCAGTGAGAATACTTGGAAGAGGCTACATAACCTAGAGCCAACATTGAACTGCGTTCTCACCTTAGCGGCGCAAGACTCTCGCGGTCCCGGGCTGACTTATTCTTTGCAAACTTGCTGGGATCTACTAGAAACTAGAGGCTCTTAATTTGCTATTCAAAGGCATGGAATCCCACGAAAGCTGAATGCTTGGCGTGCACCATGCGTAGTCCACAGCAGCGTAATGACTGTGGCTTCCAAGAAGGAGCGACTTGATCTTGAAAAATCTTTGGAATAAGCTTCCCATCCCACCGCTTGTCAGCCTCCCAGTCCCCTACAATTGAGTTACCCTTGCCATCAAGTGCATACTTTTCGACTTTTTGGGATCCAAAGTGGTTGGCGGGATGAAAGCGGTTATTGGCATCGCTTTCAAGTGAAATAACATGTGTGATGCCATATTTCAAGAGCCATTGAATAGAATCTCGAGTTACTTTCTGGTCCGAGTCCTCGCCACCGTAGTAGGGGCAACTACTGCGAAGGCTGCCACAACAGCCGATAACGGACTCTTCGGAACCCATCTCAAGGAGACGGATATCCAAGTTTGCCAATGAGAAAGATGTCGTTCTATTCACCGGGTTATTCGTGTACCGTTGTTTCTCACGCCATCTAGAATCAAGTCAAAGGAGGAGTCGATGAAATACGTCATCCAAATGCCAAATGCTCTTAGATGCCCCATCCTTGAGCATGATGTAGCACGTGTAAGACCAAGAACTTAAGACAACATTGAGCGCCAGGAAATGGCCATGGCAACCCGTGGTTCATACCCCTTCCCACGGGCCAGGCACCCTCTGGTTACTACGTCTTATATATGCATTCCTGGAAAGGACGAACTTGTAAAAAGGCCATCAAAGCGGACACAAATGAATCGCCCGATTCTCGAAAAAATGTACTATACCGTAGGGACGTGGTTTGATGACATGTCTTCAGCATACAGGAGCTCCTGCCGGTTTCTTTCTCGTCATGACGTCGACCACCGCTCCCGCAACCTCATATGGGCGTGCAGATACTTGTATATTCTTATATTGAATATGAGCCACAGGGCGACCTAAACTAACATGCCACCGAGATGCCCACTTCCAGGGAGACAATACTGTTGCACATAAGACTTGGTCGCCGAAAAGTCAGGAGACGCCTATAAGTTGGAACATATAGACGTCGAGCTTAGTGCTGCAGGGATTGATGAGCCATTGCAGCTCAATGAAATAGGCGCCATGCGAAGAAAAGACTCGCGAATACACTCTATTCATGCATTATTAAACTTGGATCGATATAAATTGTTCTTTCGGTTTGGAAAGACCACTAATTGGGGTGCTTGAGCACCCACTGGGAACTGCTGAATGGAATAAAGTAGTATCTTGGGGCCTGCGAGCAAGGCCGAGTCCAACTTAGCAAGTGATAGATAGTTCCTTCTCTCATTCTTACCACAGCTCGCTCCAGGGCTGCTACCGATACGCGAGCTTAAAAGGCTAATATAATATGAAGTATACAACTAGTGATCGAACGAAAACGTTTACAGAGCCCTGTGATACGATTGGAGGATTCGATTAGCACTCACCATATTTGGGTAGTACTACATATGTGGAAACTAGATACGTGATGTGCTGTATGTCGGAAGCAGTCCTTTTTTTTTTATTCCGGCCGCTTGTTGGAATGCTTGGGTGTGAAGAGATGCGCGCCTGTGACGTCTAAACTCAGCAATGTCACACCGGAATGTACAGTATAAGCCATGCTGGAGCTGAATAGAACAAGTAAAAGTCCACAAGCTACCGCTTATCAGTAGATATCGGGCCATGCTCTCTGAAGCTTAGGATTGTTCTCATCCAACAAAGTCACTCGGTCGATGGAAATCGAAGGCATGTGCAGAGGAGTATAAACTAAGACTTATCTACATGACGCTGCAGCAATGAGTTGGGGGCTGAGTTTAGGCTCCCACGTCAGGTACAAATGCGAATGCCATCTACGGAAAAATTTATAGTCTCATGACACGACATTTTGCCCCCGCATATTGTATGCAGCTTCGATCCATCTCTGCGGACTCGGTGAGTTCTACGAATGTCGGTAAGCAGGGTGGTATAAAGTCTGAAGCCTCTGTCTAATACTACTCTGCAGTGATGGGCTTATACCACCATTATGGCTGGGAATAATTGTCCAGAGGGGTAGGGGTAGTGCTCTTCGTTTTCCCGTCTTCGGTAGGTAGAAGCAGCTGGTGTCGACTTTTACTAATATAGAAGCTGATTCAATGATGGTAACGGAGCCATCTCATGGCTAATGGGGTTTGTCTGGGCATCTTGCATGCTTTGTAGTATCTAGTTCCCGAGGGTCAGCGCATGCGAGTCATTGCGAACAATTATACGAGGCACATCATCAAGGGAACCGACGTGCATTCGCAGTCAGCCCAGAAAGTGCCAGGGCTTGTTTTGCCGTTCCATTTTCGACGTACGAAGCTTCCCCCCCGTGGAGTCACGGAGCCCAATATTGCGTTGGATAACAAGACAGGCATGACATCTGCTCCATGTGTTGTCGATGCCCAGCATATTGCCGAGAATGGGGAGAGGACCCCGAGATATTGTATGTTTACATATTGGGTCTTACCGCTGTATAGAAAGCGATCTCTGATACAGGGGGTACCACTAGACAATAACACATCAGTCAAGTAGCGGCTCTCATTCCAGACAAATTGCGTGTCAACGGGTCAAGTTGGTTCCAGGACGAGGTGGGACCAGAAGGCGAGGAAGGCGATTGTTCGTATGTTGTCAGAAGCCCATAGAAGAGTACAGATAAGCAGCAACGTCAGAAATAATTAAATGCTCTGCTTGCCGCTCCATTCTGCGGTTTTGGCGGGTTGAATTCAAGGCATGGCATGAAAGAAACCTTGGCGAGTTGAAGGCACGGCAATCGAGGCGGTGAGCGGTTTGGCGATGCCATTTTAAGCAGAACACCCGCAAAAGCTGGATCCAGGTTCCACAGGCAGGTGCATGCGTGCTTAGCATTGGGTACAGGGCTGCAGCTGGTTGGCTCGAGTGGCAGCTGGGCAGATGTCCTGGTGGTCGGCTTCAGAACGTGGCTTTTCCTGTTGTCCCGCTATAATGGTCAGCCCCACATTAACGTGGTTTGAATGTTCTTGTTTTGTTGTAGTTCCCGATGGCTGACGGCCCGCCATGCTCGGGTGGATGGACGACGGAGAAAAGCGGACAAGAAGCAGATGTGTACGGTATTGTAGATGCGCGTACGTGAACATGCGATGTGCCAGTCCATTGCCTGAAGTAGATGGATGTACATGCTCAAGCGCGGCTGCGGTGCATGGCTGCCCAGTGATGCATGTATCGGTACCTCACCAGAGATGACGATCCGTTCATCCATCTTGACCCATTCAGGATTGATTTAGTTCCTCCGTACAATCGTGATTAATAGAACTTTGGAAGGCAGCTTATCAGGCGGCCAGATTACCAGACTCAACATCCACCAGCAAGTGCCAGCGTTCCTCCAGCTGCAAGGCCCTGGCGAGCTTGAATCGCGCATGAAACCATGTGGCCCGTGGGACTAGAAAAAGGACGGACGCCTAACATTATGAAATGGCTGAGAAATTCTGCCCTTCAAGTATTGCGCCAGAGCGGCAATCGCCAAACGAGATTAGAGCTGAGATAAGGGCTAGGCAGGGCATTTGCACAATTATGATACAAAAATCAAATACATTCCATAATATATTTTTTTTTAATCTGTTTCCAATCGAGGGGCCAAGGAAGCCAGTGTCTCAGGACGCGAAACTCAAAATAGCCTCGCCAAAATGTTGCGGTCCGGAGGAAAAAAAAAACGGCCAACTGCGAGACCTAAATTGGGGGCGTCATCGTCATCAAGCATGATTGGGAGCAGCCAAGACCACTGCAAGGATGGCATGAGGGTGCGCGAGGGTCAAGGGAGATAGAGTCCTCCTTGTGCCAGATGTCCTCAACTTTTCAATGCGCCTCGAACATGTCCTGAGTGGATGCCTTCCTTCTCAGCTGCCGTCCTTGGGGGGCATTGTGTGGCATACATATGTCATGCTCGGCATCCTCGACTTCAGGAGACGGTACGAGCTGAGTTCAGGTTGGCCAATGGGTTTCACGCTGCGCATGTCCCTGTTTGAGGATGGTGGCATGCAAGATTGCCATCCATCTATACCCCAAAGGATTGATGGACATCTGGATGACGGGCGGATAACAATCGATAAGCTGCCTGTACTCTTTACCGTAAAGGCTGCAAGAGTCACAAGACTTCTCATCACGCAGTTCCATGCCAGATGAAGGGGGGTTGGTTGTCCAGTGGGTAAGGATGCGTGACCGGGTTGCAATGTGGTCAAGCTTCGTGAGTATATTTTTGAATTGATGAGACTTGCGATATGGACCAGCCGACGAGGTCTGGTGACGGTAAGGCCCAACGTCCATTTACCCCCCCGCTAACACCTCCTGCTCCCTGCCTGTGTGCCCCACCAACCCACCCCCAGCCATCTTTTCTGCCAGACAACCAAACAATGAACGCCACCGACACCAAAAATTGGGCAAACCGGCTGGTGCATGACTGAGTAGTAGTATGCCGAGTATGTACGGAGTATCTCGGTTCATTCATCACCACGCTCGACTTGCAGCTGCGCGCCATGATTGCCGCGACATTAAGCGAGACGTTGTCTTCGAGGGACGGCAGTAGGGAAAAAGTTTTTTTAATTAATTTTTTGGGCTGTCTACTCCATGCTCCGTGCTGCATGAGCTTACCAACCTAACTTTGCATCCGCGTCCCCTTTTGCCTCACCTCGCCTCATCAACACATCTTGCATCCTGCAGAAAGGGGGCCGTCTGCATACGTAGTACCGGACATATGCACTGCACCCTGCACAAGCACACACACACACACACACACACCCACTCTCTGGTGCTGAAAGTTTGTGGCGCATCTGCGTTTTATTCTATCCAGGTTCAGCCTTCAAAGGGTCTGGTTGTGCAGTGAGCGACCTGCATCTGGCGTGTGTCGTCTTGCGTCTTGCAGCAGCTTGTTCCGCCCGTGTTGAAATCTGGTTTTAATTTAATTACTACACCCAACCATTCAACCGCCTCCCTCACCCTCACGCATTCATTGCATTCGTGACGGGATCCGTTGGCGTCCCCTTTGGCGCCCTGTTTGGTACAACATTGGCAGCAGTTCACTCCAAGTGGCCTCGGGTCGGTCGATCTGAGCCACGAGACCCCGGCTTCATTGGTTCCTCTTGCGCATCACTTGTCACCCATCACCGCTCCTCTCACAAGGGTTGGCGTGCATGCGTGCTCCAAGGACCTTTTTCTAAATTTGATTATTTTGATTTCATCTTCTACTTTTAGTCCTCCTTCCCCTTCCACTCCCCCAAATCGATCAAGACTCTCGACCCGTCGTCGTTCCGTCTCCCGCGCAATCGTAGAAAGGCGGAATCAGCATATGAGTTTCGTCGTTGAGAGGCGGCTAGTAGAGAGGCGTTGTAAAGCTCCGCTCTAGTCTGGTCCGTCTCTCCCTCACCACGACGGAACCTCGCATTCCTCCCGTGTCAGTCTGACGTCCGAGATAATTTCGAGCGCAAGCTGGACGACGCCCAACTACCTATACATCTACTCCGCACAGCGCACATACGGCCCCCTCACACCCAAGCAATTTCGAAAAGCCAACCGAGCCAGCCTCTGGTGCCACAAGGCAAATATTGTGTCGAGCGGATTGGGAGCCTGCCATCGGATTAAACTCCCGTGGCCCCGGTCAAGTGTTATCTTATCCATAACCCAATTAGCTATTAGCTTCCAGGTCCCTTGCCCCGAGTTACCTCATAGGACCCTGAGCGTTTTCTGACCTTTTCCCTTCCTCTCTACCCATTTTCACCTCTGTACCTGCTCTTGAGTTTAAGCAGGCATTCGTGTGAAGCTTGCTTTGCGGAAATCTTAACACACCATCTCCTTAGGTATCAGTTCGAACCCCAATTGCAGCCTCGTAACGGCAAAACGATACCGGCTTAGAACAGAGTCATACTTCCTCGTATGCTCTTGGCACAGCCATCAACGACTAGAACCAGCAGACTGCCGAGCCCATCATATTGCGACTCTCAGAAGGAATAGCTTCCATGATTCTGTCGTCGATTTGCACCTTTGAAGGCTTCAACTTGCACAATGGCTGCGGCCGAAGTTTTGGCGTTCACAGAAAGCTGGAGAGAAAGCGGACAAGGCTGGTTCGGAACAGCAGAGACCTTGAGGACTGGCTGGGATAAGAGGTCATTGCAGCTTCAATTGACGCGTATTTCCGTTGCATGGATCAACAGTAGGAGCTCTCATTTGGTATGGCTTGGCTCCGCCGAATTGTTGCCCTACGACACTGGGTCTGGCTCTAACACTTTTGGTTGTCTGCAGGCTTCAAATCCATCACGACCTCCAAGCGGCAGGCCACTCTTGGTATCAGACTTTTGGTCTAGGCGGTCTAATAGGTTGCCAAACGATACTCCACCCCCCGATTCTTCATTTGATGTATGCGATCCTACCGACACATGCTGCTTTGCTCGCCAACGGAACCCGTCCTGCGTGAATCGTCTTCTTCTACAGAAACCAGGCGAAGATGCAGAGAAACCGCACAGGTCTGAAAATGATCTATTCTCGGATCCAGTCCTGGGTGTCACCGTGGACTTCGACTCCCGGCATGGCATAATTGAGGCTGCTAAAAAGAAGAAGAATGCCGCCCAGAAAGCCGCGGCAGCTGCAAAGGCGTTTGACGATAATAACGGTGGTGATAAAAACGGGGACGGCGAGGAAAATAACAACGGCGGTGGAGATCAAGGCGGTGGGGATCCCGGAAGTGGCAGCGCTGGCGGTGCCGGTGATGGCTCTGGGGGCGGTAATGGAGACGAGGACAAAGACAAGGACAAGGACGGGTCTGGCGATGCGAAGGAGGATGACCCTTGGGATGACTTCATGCCAGCCAAATCCAAGAAGAAAAAAGGCAAGAAGGGTGCCGATGCGGAAGCAGAAGCGGCACCAGCGGTTCCCACTGCAGACGTTGGAGGAGACGCCTTCCACGAAATAAAACTTGGCGACGATTCTGGAGGCAAATTAGACATGAACTTTGGTTCTACCGATACTAAAGACAGTTTCGGGGCATGGGGTACAAAATGGAACACGGGCGGCAGTGGCGGCGGCAGTGGCAGTAACTGGGATTGGTCTGCGACAGGCGGTGGCGACGCCGGAGCTGGGACAGATCCCAAAAAGGACGAGCTTGACTCTAATCCATGGAATACCAAAGGCTCAAAAGCGAAGAATGGCAAAACTACGTTTTCGTTTGGATCCCTGGATAAACCCGAAACCGAAACGGAAGACCAAGGTTCCGCTGGGCCCAAAGAAGACGACTTCGGGTTTACAACTGCCGTCTCTGGAAAAAAAGGCAAGAAGAAGAAGGGAACCAGCATCTGGGGCGCAGATACTGTTGAAGATTCGAAGGATACAGTTGTCGAGAACACAGATGCCGGTACGGCGGGGGACCCCTGGGGCTGGACGTCAACCAAGAAGAAGGGGAAGAAGGAAGAGCTTGAGCTAGAGCCTGAACCGGAACCAGAACAAAATATCCCGCCGCCACCAGTTGATGATTGGATGGCCCCTACTTCGAAAAGCAAGAAGAAGAAGAAAGGAGCCGTTGCTGTTGAAGAGCCAGTTGAACCATCCAAATCAGACCCTGAACCCCTTAAGGAGGAGGCTGATGATATCTGGGACACTTGGGGTACTGGGAAGAAGGATAAGAAGAAGAAAGGCGAGGAACCACCAGCTCCACCACCTGAGCCGGAACCTGCGCCTGCCGATGACTTCTGGGGCGCCGCGACCACAAAAAAAAGCAAGAAGAAGGGTAAAGCAGCCGCCGAACCAGAGCCAGAGCCGGAACCTGTCAAAGAACCGGAACCGGAACCTGAACCTGAGCCTGTGAAGAAGGATGAAGATAGCTGGGGTATCGCGACGACCAAGTCTGGCAAAAAGGACAAGAAGAAGAAGAAAGCATCCATGTGGGATGATCCCGAGCCAGCTGCCGCGCCAGCCGTGCCTGAGTCCCCTCCAGAAGAGCCCCCAAAAGAGAACAAGGAAGAGGCTGACGATATCTGGGGCATGGCTAGCAACTCAAAGAAGAAGAAAAAGAAGAATAAGGATCTAGACCCTGAACCTGAACCAGAGCCCGAACCTGAAGCTGAAACCCAGCCTATACCTGAACCTGATCCAGAGGAAAAGGAACCAGAAGATATTTGGGGCACAGTCAATTCGTCAAAGAAGGACAAGAAAAAGAAAAAGAAGGGGGTGGCCGAGGAGGTCGTTGTACCAGAACCAGAACCAGAGTCCCAGCTGGAGCCGGAGCCAGAGCCGGAGCCAGAAAAGAAGTCAGAGGATGATCTTTGGGCCGGCCTCTCGAAAAAAGAACAGAAAAAGAAGAAGAAAGGTGCTGTCGAGGAGACGAAGGAGGCGGTAGCTCCCACAGAGCCAGAACAGTCCGTTGACGATGGATGGGGCTCTTGGGGTGCAAGTTCCAAAAAAGACAAGAAGAAGGAAGGCCTCAAAGAAGAGCCGACGAAAGATGACGTCTGGGGCTTTGGAAGTAGCTCTAAGAAAGACAAGAAGAAGAAGAAGGGTGCCTCTGACTTGATTGAACTGGACGACCCGGATAAAACGGCCTCTAGTGAAGAACCCCTAAAAGATACTGTGGAAGCTACTGGCGATGATGATTTCTTTAGCTCTTGGGGAACTGGCAAGAAAGACAAGAAGACGAAAGGATCCGATGACTCATCCTTAAAGCCCGACAGCATTGAGGAACCCGTTGACAACCTTTGGGGTGCTGTCACTAAAAAGGATAAGAAAAAGAAGGACAAGACGAAAGACGACCCCGTGGAAGTAAAGGAAGACACAACTGGTGAGACAGTCCAACCCGATGCAGTAGAGGAGATCAAGGACAGCAAGGTTGATGATGACGGCGACTGGGCCTGGCCATCATCTACTAAAAAGAAATCAAAATCGAGCAAGGATACCTTAGCTGATCCACCCCCTCCCGCGCCCACTCCCCCCTGTATGGACCTTACTGAACCAGAAGATCGAACAGGACAAGCCGATGCCGATCCGTGGGATGACCTGACTACGTCTAAATCGAAGTCTAAATCCAAAGATAAGGAAGCAGAGAAGGAAAAAGGAAAGTCGAAGACTGAAAAGGAACCGAAGCTGAGCGAGAAGGACCTCAAGAAACTCGAGAAGGAAAAGAAGAAGGCCGAGAAAGCTGAAAAGGAACGACTGGAGCAAGAAGCTAAGGAAGCTGCCGAGCGAGAAGCTGAAGAACTTGCTGCTAGGGAGGCGGAAGAAAAGGCAAGACTCGAAGAGGAAGAAAGCGCCCGAATTGCTGCAGAAGAAGCTGCAAAAGAAGCTGCAATTGTCCAAGAGGAGGAAGAGCTTGCGGCTCTAGAGGAGAAGAAAGCAAAGAAGGGCAAGCTCAATAAGAAGGACACAGAGAAGTATAATCGCTTAAAAGAGAGTGTTGATAAGCGAGCAGACGGAAAGGCTGCCGAGGAGGCCGAGGAACAGGCAGCACGGGCAGCAGAGGAGCAGGCAGCAAAGGAAGCAGAGGAACAAGCTGCAAAAGAGGCAGAGGAACAAGCTGCAAAAGAAGCTGAAGAACTAGCTGCACGAGAGGCGGAGGAGAAAGCCGCCCGAGAAGCCGAGGAAGCCGCTAAGAAGTCTTCTAAGAAGAGCTCCAAGTCGAAGGAGAAGGAGAAGGAGAAAGACAAGAAAAAGGACAAGAAATCGTCAAAAGAGAAAGAGCCAGAGAAGGCACCAGAGCCGGAGCCAGAGCCAGACGCCGTGCCTGAACCGGTACCTGAGCCAGAACCCGAGTTGAAACCAGAGGAAGTGGAAGAGCTGCTTGCTCCAAAGGTAACAAATGATGCATTCAGTTTTTGGGGGGTAGGCGGGTCCAAGAAATCCAAGAAAGGTTCGTTGCCAATGTGGCGCTACCCCAGCTTTCCCCAATCCCTTCACCTAATCTCTCGGAGTGAGGCCGAAATTAGGTTCGTTGCTTACTCATCTCTTAGTTCTGGAAGATGCTGTCAACGACAAGGACACGACACCATTAACCCAGGCGGCTGAGGCTGTCTCAAAGGGGGTCTCGTCACGAAAAGCTGTTGGGGGAAGGATTGCAGACAAGCTGAAGACTTTTGAGGCTGCACCGGAAGAGCCCCTGGCAGACCCTATTCCTCCTCCACCCGCGCCACCAACTCCTCCAAAAGAAGAGAAGAAGAGCTCCAAGTCCAAGAAGAAATCCAAGGAGATAGAAGAGACTGAACATGAGAGTTCGTCTTCAAAGAAGAGCCATAAGTCTTCTGAATTACCTGGAAGCTTCCCGGCTGACGATGACGAAGATGACATAGTTGCAATCGTTGACATGGCACCAAAAGACAAGCCAAAGAAGAGCAAGAAGAGCAAGACAAAGGACGAAGGGCTACCTCCGCCTCCGCCTCCGCCTGTGCCCATGCCCCCGGCTGTTCCTGATGCTCCGTTGACCCCTCCACCTGAACCGAAATCATCTAAAAGAGACCGACCTAAGATCAATGGCGACGGTGCTTCGTGGGCAAAGTGGAGCACGACGCCAGCGACAGCGCGAAAGGAGGAAAGAAAAGAAGATAGAAAGACATCTTCGTCTTCGAAGTCCAAGTCTGACAAACCATCTAAGCGTTCTTCTGACAAAACCTCATCCAAGGATTCCGGCTCGGACAAGGCAGATCGTGCAGAGAAGTCAGACAAAGCAGCTAGTAAGGTCCGCATGTCTGCCATGTTCAGCACGCCACCTATCTCGAGATCCATGTCCACTCGAGATAAAGAGAGGCGTGGAGGCACTAGCGGAAGGCCATCTTCACGCAGGCATTCCATGGATGTCCATGGTCTGGCTTCGCCCCCGCCAGAGAATTTACCTGATATGTCGTCAAAGGCTGCCAAGGTCCTGGGCATTGACAAGTCAGGCGGCAAGAAGAAGTCTCGAAGACGCCCTGAGGGCGATGATTTCGTAATGGCGGGAGCTCTTGACGCTGATCCTAGTGCGGCAAAGCGCGACAAGCGCAGATCCAGGAGATTCCCTGAAGATGACGTTGTCATGGTTGACTCCGGTATTCCATCAGAACCCCCGTTGAAGCGCGGCGCGTCGGCGTCCAAAAAGTCAGGGTTTGCTAGTCTCTTTGGCGGATTAATGACTCCAAAATCAGCGAGGTTGGATGCCAACGCTGAGGCTGAGGCAACAACGGGCGAAACAGACCGCGACACTCGTAGCTCAGCCCGAAGGTCGCGACGTAGCGATCGAGAACAAAATGACAAAGCAAGTGACGAATCCCGGCGCGAAAGACGACGAAGGCGTGAGGAAGACACCGAGGTTCGTAAAGGCGACGACAAAGAAGCTAGAAGAGCTGAACGTCGCGCCGCACGCCGTGAAGCAGAAGAGCAGCGTGTCCAGGAAGAGCGAGAGGTCGAGAGAGCCGAGAGGACTGAGCGGCGTCGTTTGCGCAAAGAAAGGGAAGCCGCTGCCCTCGCTGTGGAGAGAGATGCCAACGAGGCACGCCGGGGTTCTAAACAAGACCGCCGCCGCTCTCAACATATTGATGTAACCGCCGAAGACGACCCTGAGCGTCAACGTAGACGAGAACGCCGTGCTGCCCGCGCCGCTGCAGAAGGTCTCGATGGCCACAAGAGGAAGAGCAGTCGACGACGCACTGAACCCTCCGGCGACGAGCAGATATATCCGCACAAGGACCGCAGACGAGAAAGCAAAAATGGCACAGCCTGGCCACATTCTGGGACGTCCTCGTGGGTCAAGGACCACTCGGACGCGCCGCCACCACCCGAGGACGGCGACCCAACCAATGAAGATAAAGTCAGACGTGAAGCGCGGCGAGCTCGACACAGGGCCAAACTAGGTGATATGACGGCAGATGATATAGACGACCAACGTCGACGTCGCGCAAGACGTGAAGGACGAGAGCGAGAAAGACGTGTTGCTGGCTCAGAAGGCAGTGACGAGCGGCAAGAGAGCAGAAGGAACTCAGTTTTAGTTGACCCTGCTCCTCGAACAAGCTGGTGGAGGAAGTTAACTGGATAAAACTTTGGGCTGCAAAGCATTTGTTTCTGAGCAAGCAAGCACCGTTTGATTGTTTCTTTATTTTACTTTATTCCCTTTCTTCCCTCGTTGTGCCGATTATCGGAAGAGGAGATTACGGGGTGCCTACGTCCACAACAGAAAAGCCATATTGATTGCATGTGTGAGTTGCTAGCAAGCCCGCTCGCATCGTTCAGGGGTTGATCCCAGCTGGATCTGGGATTTTCAGCTGCCCATCTTGCATTGGAATACATGGCTACGTTTTCTTGGTTGCTGGGAGCATTTTCACATGATACCCGCCTTGGTAAGAGACGGAATTGCCACAGGCAAGATGTCGATTGTATTAATGGCAGACGGCAACTTACATAGTGGTCTGCCATATTGGTCATGTACAGTTCCGCAGACTACAGCCGCTCTGGTCTGAGTTTGATGTTTGGTTAACAGCTTGCGTCCCACGATGCGCATACCCCCCGACAGTGATTTTTGCGAAGAACGCAGCTATAAAAACAGATGGCGGATATATAGAAATAAAAACCACGAGGTTTCTCTCTCACAAATGATGCGTAGCATGTACCTACATTCCCGAGGCCTATGTGTATGGTTTCTACCGGAATGTACGGAGTAGGTGCCATTCTTGTTCTTGGGGTGAGAGGCATGTTCAGTTGACTAGGCCGCGGTGGTGCTTGACGCTATGGGGAAAAAAGAGAGGGCGTCAATTACATAACTGCATCTAAGTATGTACCAAGTAAGTACGGAGTACCTGCCTAGTAGGAAAGTAAATTGCTCTGTTAGCAGTTCCTGGGAGTCGTGACAATATCAGTCGTTGTCACAGGAGGGACAGGGCATGATGCATGACTCTGTAGACAAGTCGCGGACTTGGTCGTTGGTACGAGCTGATTAGATAAGTCGCTGCAGGTGGGTGCCTCTAAGTACTTAAGTACCTACTTAGGTACCTTAGGTAGGTAGGTTGCGACTGGTATTGGTACCCTCGCGTCCCACTTGATATCTTAAGTACTTACTTAAGTAAGTAAGTACATACAGCCATGCCAGAGCTGACTGCTGTCGTGTCGCCTCAGTATGGAGTACCAAGTATAAACTACTCACCTACCAATATACGCCTGCTGAATATGCCATTCACCCCGTACCACTCGACCTGACCCAGTACAATGCATGCGGCCAGTGACGTATCAAAGAACAAAACCCGGCCCAGCTTCGACCGCAGGTCATAGCCCAGTCTCTTCACGCCCTCCTGTAATCCTTGGTGACAGGGCTGGACGTGCGCATCGCATCGCAAAACGACAAGAGCCTCGCCATGGCTGTCTCAGGAAAGCAGTCAAGATGGGGCTCGTTCCTATCTCAGGCCGTTGCAGGAGTTGAATCAAGGCTGGATAACATCTTGGCTGATCCTGAGGAGGCCCGGGCCCAAGACGCATCTGCTACTTCTGCCGCCTCCCCTGCCGGCTCTGCATCTGTCGAACCGACAACCACAATACAGCAACAGTCTTCAAAACAATTAGCACTACCTGCTAAGCCAAGTCCCAGTGAGCTTGACTACTGACGGGGAAATTATACTCTGGCATCTGTATCTGAGCTGACTAGTCCCGTGTCAGGCAACTCACGGTCTTCCTCTACGAACCGTACCAATGATCGATTACAAGCAAGATTGGCTCAGGCCATGTCTGGCAAGAGCACACCCAGCCGTCCTGCGAGCAGAGGTGCGGCGTCTCCTCGAAGTTCAGTCGACCAATTTAGCCGAACTTCCATAGAACGACCATCGACGGATGTACGAATTGAAGCAAAGGCAGAGGATGGCGAGACTTTTTTAGAATCTACTGCGGAAGCACCACCTTCAGTCGCTGAATCGTCAGGATGTGCATCAGAAACGGCTGGGCCCGCTTCCACCGAACCACCCGTCCGTGATGTCGACCAAAACGAAGCCCTTGATAATGGGGAATCGCGACCCAACGAAGACTTGTCTCAGCTTTCTGGGCAACTGGAACCCGCCGAAGATAGCACCCCAATTCCGACGGCATCCGCATCATCCGATAGCGCAGAACTTACAAGACAATTAGAAGAGTCCAAAGCTAGACATCAAGAGGAGATCCAGGAATACATCGAAAGAATTGATTCAATTCAATCCAAGCTCCAATACTTGTCAAAATCCGCCGCAGATGCTGCCAAAACGTCGGCATTATCGGCACCAGCAGGTAGTAATGAACGGAAACTCGTTGAAAAGGATGAAAAGATTGCTTTGCTCATGGAAGAGGGACAGAAGCTGTCAACAAATGAGCACAAACTTAGAACTACAATCAAGAAGTTGCGTGCTCAGATAGGAGATACTGATAAGAAAGTAGAGGAGTTAAAAAAAACCCGAGACAAAGCGTTGTCTGATGCAGAGACTCTCCGTGCTCGCCTAAACGGTTCCGAAGAGACTGAAAGACGTCGGGAGGAGGCTAAACGTGCTACCGCTGCACTGCAAAAGGAGGTCGATACATTGAAGAAGGACAATGCAAAGAAAGACGAGGCTTACCGGCGACTGGAGCAAGAATGGAAACATAAAACAGAACAGGCTGAATCCACACAGCGAGAAGCCATGAACAAGACACTGGCCACAGAGCGCCAAAAGCAAAAGATTCTGGAAGACACCAACTCGAACATTTGTGCCGAAAAGGATGCAGCCGTGGAGAAGGCTCGTCAGGAAGAGATCGAATGGCGTGAAAAGCTCGACCGTGCCGTTGAGCGCGGCCGTAAAACTGAAGACGAGCTTAAGCTCGAGCTGCAATCAATGGAAGGCAAGTTGGAAGCTATGAGAACGGCGGCAGAAGAAGCGTCGTCAGGGTCTGGGGGAGAGGCCCAGGTAAAAATTTTCAGACAAATCGAGACTCTTCAATCTCAATATGCATCTGCCAGAGAAAACTGGCAGGGTATTGAGGCATCTCTTCTTGCCAAGGCGGCAAACTTGGAAAGGGAGAGGGATGAGGCACAACGTCGAGAATCAGAAATGAGAAAGAAAGCAAGGGATGCCGTAAGTTTAATATGCAACAGACCGCATCTACAAATTTGTTCATACTGACTTTCTAAAAGGCTGTCCGATCAAGACATCTTGAGGAGGAGCTACAAGATGTACAACCGTCTCTCAGTTCAGTTCGCCAGGAATTGAAAGCATGCCGCAACGAGTTGACGACATTGCAGGTTTTGTACAAAGATTCACAAGCTGCCCTGGAAGAAACTCGAATGGAGCTAGAAAAGATGACGCAGAATATTATTGAGAGAGAAGACCTTGTCGAAGCAGAACGACGCCAATGGGTAGATGAGGTTGCGGGAGCAACGTCTAAGAGTCAACAAAGCCAACCTGACTCACCACTTCTCTCAGCCCAGAGAGCGTATAGTTCCGATATGATGGGCCTCGGCATCCTGGCCAAATCGCGGAGATCTCAGGCGCCTGGCAGTATACCAGATAGTATAGCAGAGACCAAGTCACCCATCAGACGTCTGTCGGGCCAGCCACCGCTCCGAATCAGGGAGTCATCATATGCTGGTTCTGCCCTGCTGCCTACGCCATTCTCGCCGTTCGAGCCGTCAAGCGAACCCCCACAACTCCCATCACCTCCTGCCGCTGAGCGAGAAAACGGAGTGTCTGACACAATTCCTTCCTCGCCTCGTCAGGTGGCACAGGATATGGTCTCCGTGTCAACAGTAGCTGCAGGGCCTTCAGTTCAGTTAGTTGAGAGAATGAGTGCTGCCATCCGAAGACTGGAGGCAGAGAAGGTCACGGCAAAGGAAGAAATGGCGAGGGTTTGCAGTCAGAGAGATGAGGCCAGAGCAGACATGGTCAGTCTCATGAAGGAGCTAGAGGAAACAAAAGCCGTCGCGGCCAAGGTATCACAGCTGGAAGATGAAGTGTCGCATATCGACTCAAGATATCAAACAACACTGGAGATGCTTGGTGAAAAAAGCGAACTTGTGGAAGAGCTAAGAGCTGATGTTGAGGATGTCAAGGCTATGTACCGTGAGCTGGTTGAGCGAACGGTGAAATGATGCGTCAAATTTTAGCAAATAGAGATGGGCCCTGGCATTTTTCTTTGCGGGATCAGGATAGATTCCTCTACCTACTTATTCATAGTGTCTACGGACCTAGGTCGATCCCTTCTCGCTCGGCGCCTTGCACAATGTAGCGGCGAACCTGTGAGTGTGGCGTTAACAAATTATGGGACTTCTGAGTAGAAATACTAATGTGCATATATATATGTATACCTCTTTGTCAGGTGCTAAATCCAGAGCCAATACATCCTCTGTGTTCTTCAATGTGAAATCAGCACCTTCTTTGAGCAAGGCAAGGGCGACATCGCCTATTAGACTAATCAGCACCGGGTTAAGCATATACGCCAGCCCGGGGATGTGTAACTACCATGTCCCTCCGCGATAGCGTGATGCAGAGGGGTAAATCCTTCGTCGTCTGTAGGATTCAGTGGGCTTTTATTCTTGAGCAGTAGCGAAACCATAGGCACGGAACCGACTGCCGCCGCTCGGTGGATGGGATACTGTCCGCGTCGGTCACGGAAGCGAGTTGAAGCAGGCGGCTTCGACTCTAGCAATAGACGAGCCACGTCCATATTCTTCTTGGACGCGACGAAGTGAAGAGCAGTCTTAGAACTTATTAGCACATCCATTTGTGAGGCAGCCTTGCCGGTACGTTGTTACCGTACCTGCCCGCTGGAATCTAACTCACGCCGTCAGTTTCAATCGCTTTGACATGGTCACATATACAAGTATATATTAATATAGCTTACTTTTCTCGTTAACTTCTGCGCCCTTTTGAATCAGAACTCTTAGGATCGCCTCGCTGTCAGCAACGCTGGCAGAGATCATGAGAGGGGTCCAGCCGCTATCATCCTGTTTGTTCAGGTGTTAAGAAGGAGAAAGTTGCCAAGGGCAAAAAAAGGCCATTTCACAACTCACTTGCACATCAGGATCGAAGCTCGTCTGATTAGCCAGCAATGTGACGATTTCTAGGTTGTTTGATGAGGCTGCCCAGTGAATGGGGTACCGACCATCGTCATCCTTCTTCCTTGATAACTTTGGGTCCGTCTATGTAGCTCGACGTGTTAGACTAGGCTCGTACTTACTGCAAGGACGGGTCAAGGAGTTCCACTTTATAGGTTGACGGCATCCTTTCTTACTTTTAGTAACCCTTCTGCCTTGAGAACTAAGTTTTGTTTCGTCAGCTTGGTTGAAGCCGCATGACATGAAAGCGAACCCGCCACATACCATTTCCTTCCCTTGCGGCGGTATGAAGAGGAAATTTGTCGTTTTCTTCACTCATATTGCTTCACTTAAAGCCAAAGCGCGGCTGAGGTAGCACGGATATCGAAATCAAAATGGAATGACGCAACTTTCCACCGGCCCGACAACGATACGACCTGTGATGCAAGTTCACTAGCTGATGCTTAAGGCATCTCCCGCTGACGTCCGCTTGCAGCTCAAGTCAGTGGCAATTGTGGCGGCTGTGGAGCAGACCTGCTTGCGCCACACGAGGCTGCAACTCAACCGCGCCTATTCCACCTTTTCTATATTACATTGATCGTGAACCGCCAGCTTTTCCCCCGAGGAGACTTCGCAACTGCACCCAAAGCACACTGCCTGCGATGGAGACACCACAGCAGCCACAGGATGCGCTGCAGCTGAGTGCCCTGGCGTCCCAGAACTCCATTATCTCACGAAGCTTGTACACAAGGGCAGCTGAGCAGCTCAATGGCAAACGACAGAAGCTCGAAGACGTGTTCGAAGATCCCATGATGAAGCACCGATTCGAAGCCGAATACTCAAATTCAACGACCCTACCCCCTACCTTGGCAGCCAGACAGCCGTCGAGCAAACCTGGAAAGAAACTGGCCGCCAAACAAAAGACTGCCGGCACGGCGCGACTTGCGCAGAAACTGCTCGAGGCTGGACCGGGATCAACGACGGCAGGCTCGTCAGCAAACCCAATGCCCGCCGTGAACGACTCTCCAAATAACAATACGGCACTATCCACAAGAGGTCCGCAAACCTTCCAACAGACCAAGCCCGAGTGGCATCCCCCATGGAAGCTGATGAGAGTCATCTCTGGACATCTCGGCTGGGTGCGCAGTTTAGCAGTAGAGCCAGGAAACAAATGGTTTGCCAGTGGTGCTGGCGACAGAACCATCAAGATTTGGGATCTAGCCACTGGTTCATTGCGCCTGACTCTTACCGGACACATCAGCACTGTCCGCGGCCTAGTAGTCTCACCCCGACATCCGTACTTGTTCTCTTGTGGAGAAGATAAAATGGTCAAGTGCTGGGATCTGGAGACAAATAAAGTAATCCGACACTACCACGGCCACCTCAGCGGCGTATACACTCTAGCCCTTCATCCAACTCTTGACGTTCTCGTCACGGGTGGTCGGGACGGCGTTGCCCGAGTCTGGGATATGCGAACACGCAGCAATATCCACGTGCTGTCGGGTCACACTGCCACCGTATCAGACGTCAAGTGCCAGGAAGCAGACCCCCAAGTAATCACAGGTTCTCTTGATTCTACGGTGAGGTTGTGGGACCTTGCCGCGGGCAAGACCATGGGCGTGCTCACCCACCACAAGAAGGGTGTTCGAGCGCTGGCTGTTCATCCCACAGAGTTTACTTTTGCCAGCGGCAGCACAGGGAGCATCAAGCAGTGGAAATGCCCCGAGGGCGCATTTATGCAGAATTTTGAAGGCCACAATGCCATCATTAACACTTTGAGCGTGAACCAGAACAATGTCTTCTTCTCAGGAGGTAAGATGGCAACCCTACCCTGCCTATATCTCCGTTAGCCAGGGCGCACTTGCTAACTGTGTGAATAATAGGTGACAACGGGTCAATGAGCTTTTGGGACTGGAAGACAGGTCACCGCTTCCAGTCACTCGATACCACCGCACAGCCTGGGTCTTTGGACGCGGAGGCTGGCATAATGGCCTCGACGTTTGATCGCTCTGGCCTGCGTCTGATTTGTGGCGAAGCAGATAAGACAAGTCCGTAATCTCCTTAAACTATACCCGCACTGTCTAAATATATTTCTTGCTAACCACTTCTGTAGTTAAAATCTGGAAACCGGATGAGAAGGCTACTGCAGAAACTCACCCGTTGCAATGGACACCGTCACTAGGACGACGCAAGTTTTAAGGTGTAGGAATTTGTTGATGGCAACGGACGAGGACGAGGACGAGGATCATGAGCATGTATGTACCTAATGGCGTTGAAACAAAATGGCCGGCTTTGAAATACCCATAATACTACTATCGTATGCTATACACCGAGTCCCATGGCTCTCAGATCTCCATCGTCCCGAAGTGCCATTTTGACCTCGTCATCGGCAATGGTCAACCGCAACTTGGTAGAACGTTCGGCCCGATGTGCTTCTATATTTATGAGTCCTGCCGCAGCAAGATCCAGCGCAGCTGTGTGGACGTAGCTTGGCCTCCCCCGGTGTCGGTGGGTGGCTCCTGGTGTCCCCTGAAGGCCGCTGTCTAGAATTTGCGCCATACCGGGGAGCGCGGGCGATGAATGAGCTGTCGCTCGTTGTAACTCGTCCAAGATTTCGCCAAAAGTCGACTCTGCTAGGCCTGTTCTTCGGATCCTGAAAAGGACAGCTGCCATGACCAGTTTCGACATTAAAGGAAGCCCTCGCAGGTGTTGTTGCACGGGGTTTGTAGTCGCTTCGTTGATGGCCTTTTTGATGGTGGCAATGGTGACCTTTCCACGGCGAGTCAAATCTTGTGTGCCGTTTTTACTCGGTGTCATCGGGTCACCTTGCGCATCGCCTTCTGCGATTTCCACAGCCCGGCGGCAGATATCCAGCGCTCTTCTGGCATCTCCACTCACGGCGGCTACCTTTCTGCTAGCAAACTGGACGGCGTCTGCGTCTACGACGTTCCCAGGAACGCCCTCTAGGCGGGATTGTATAATCTTCATAAGCTGTTCATGGGTGTAACCTGGAAATGTAATGCGAGTGAGGCCTGAATAAGATTCAAATTAGATACCGCATATAATGTACGCTGCAATGTTTCTCCGACCCAACTTCAATCATTCTTACCTAAGCGACTGCTGATTTTATTGCTAAGTGTTCTTTCTGGAAGATCCATGGTATTCGCAACGGCCAAAACAATAAGACGACTATGCCGCAAAGTCGGCCAGTTAAAGAAGTTGTACATGACGGCCTGGTTTTTCGTCACCAGTTGATCTAGTTCATCCATCAACACTACACATGGGACACGTCGGGGACTAGGATTGTTGAATTCTCTTTCCAGTAGATCGAGAGCCTGCGATGGGCTTGCTCGCTGTCCCCGTAGTGCTTCCCAGAGCAGGGTATACGACTGATGAGGGTCTGTAATCTTCATGCCATTGATCTCCACGAATATGAAATCATCCAACTCGTCTGACCCAACTGCATCCTCCAGACGAGATATGACTTCACGGACCGTAGCCGTCTTGCCTGTGCCGGGGGTGCCCGAGATGTAAATGCAATTTCCGCTACCGTCTGTAATTGCTGCTTCAAGGTGAGAGTAGACAAGGGAGAACTCCCCTTCTCGACAAGGCAAGCTTGTCGGGACGGAGGATACGTGGAGGCGAGAGCGTGCTATCTGGAACGGTGAGGATTGAACTGCGCTGGGAGAGAGCTTTCTCATTGCAAGTGGTGTGAACTCGAGTTTCTTTCCGGTCCCCCTGGTGCTCTGAATTAGTGTCAATTAAATCAGGGGAAGAGAAGAAATTTTTATGCACCTCTTTTGGGAGCGAGAGCCTGGCTCTGCATGACTACGCTTGGACTGCGGTGTTGTGATAGTAGTCCGGGAACCTTTAGTAGGAGTTTGCGGAGGTAAATATGCAGTGTCTTGTGGCGATTGCTCCCGGGCTTTCCTTCGACCCCGAGCTGCCTTTGTGTTCTTTTCGACAAAATCTATCAATTTGAACATGTCATCAACACTTGAATACATCTCTTCCCAAATGAATTCCTCCGTGTAGGTTGCCGTTCTAGTATTGCAGCCCCGACGGCAAACAAATGTCTTGCCATAGTCTTTCGACTGGCGGGGGATTTTTCCAGACGGGTACTTTGATAAAAAGGCCTCCAGTGACATCACCTTGGCCTTGCCATTTATTGACGCCAAGGGATTGATATCCCATGACGGGGATATGTAAAGCTCGTTCTTATCGGTCCGGTTAGTATATTCTTCTTTCGATAGCCTTGAACGGATAGGAAGCAAGCACACCCAATAGAAATCATTCCGCTTTTTATCCTTATTACGGATTTCTTTCTCTGTTGAAAACCACATGAAATTTGCTGCATTGTCGCCTTCCCCGTCGTCCTCTACAAACTCGCAAATGATGCCTACCCAAGCTTCATTAGAGCCATCAGCTTTCAGCAAGACCGTGTCACCTATCCGACATTCAAAAGTGCCCATTCGAGCTCCAACAATTTTGGTTCCCATAACTTTCCGCCTTTTTCGATCGTTTTGCGCATCATGGTTCGCTCGCTCCGGATCCTCGACATTGTAGATCCATTCCCAGGGTAAATCATCGCTGCCCAGCTCGTCGTCTGAATCTTCACGGCTGATTCCGGGCAAAGTCTTCCTTCTCCGAACAGCGGGCTCGGGCCCCCTTCTGGTGAGATTATGCGGCGCCATAGATCTGCTGTACCTAGTGGTGGGAAGGGATCAATCATTTTTCTTGCCCATCAACGCGTTAGAAACCGCGATGCAGCTGCTGCCCCTGCCTAACTTCAATGGAGCTTAGTGCCCCACCCTTCCCAACCAGAGCTGGCCATTCTCATGTGACATCGGCACTGGTCTGGGTGTGATGCAACATCTGTTTTTTATGTTTCCAGGTGTTATTCGTCCTTCGCCCCGTTTGTTGAGATGGTTGAGAAGGAGGAAGATGTTAATTGATTACAGCCTTTGTATTTTCAAAGATTTTGGCACTACAGCAATATCTTGCTAAACGACGCGCTTGTATATTGCCAAATGTACCTACTAGGTAGTCATGGTCTTATAAAGATGGCAATAACTCCAGTCCAAATGGGCGCTGGGTTAGTCCAAGTATAACTACTCACGGCGACTTGGATATTTGCTCAAATACCAACCTGTTGCTGCACCTTCATTACGTTATGCTGAGTTAATCCACGTCTAAATCGCGAGCCGGCTGCCAACTGCCGGGAACCTTCCGGGCACCTGCCGTTTACCATATAAAATTGGCTCGTCAATCCCCCTCTGTCCAGACTTTTTTTTCAAGTTTCACAACCTTTTTCAGGGACGAACGAACGCACAAACAGACTATACGCAAGACTGGAAGAAACAAGTGCTGCATTCTCTTTGGCCATGAAGTCTTCGCAAACATGCCCTCGCAAATATCGAGGTGTTGATTCTCTAAACGGCCCCTCTACGGCGGAAGGAAAGGGGGGAAAGTTTGCAGAGCAGCCGAAAATTTCAAGTGCCAGATTCCAAATAGACGATGAACGAAAAAAAACAGACGTCACCACCGAGGCGCAGTATCTACGTGAACCTCCGGCCGGCGAGAATCTCTTAGAGGTATGTGCAATGAGTCGTAAATATGGTCATTCAGCACTAACATTACTCTAGGCCGTCCTGGTTCTTCCTGAAAGGCATATGCTTCTTCGAGAATTGTCTGAGTCCTCTTCATTCGATACTATAAAGACAGAGAAAGGCGTCTGGATCAAACACGACAAACGAAACGTCCTTCATATTTATAGCCGTACAATGTGGAGCCTGCAAGAGGGATTCAAGGCAGTCAATTGGGCTCTTCATGATATGCGTCTGGCACAACAGAACGTGGCAACTCTATTCTTGGTCCAGAAGCCTATGGATGCTGGCACAGACACTTTAATTACCGTGGATTTGGATGCTCGTCCCCGAGTAGGACAACGTCAAAAGACAATGATCGGGACCGCAGAGGTGGCTACCGATGTCCTAAGGCAGCTCGGTACAAGTTTTTTGTCTTCTACGACTACGCTCCAGACCATCAAACGCTCGCTTCGTATGCATGTAGACTTTGGCCATGTCATCATTCGACGCCGGAAGAGAGGCATAGGGAACGCCATGTCGTACTCCGATTTCACAGAGATGGCTCTGCAGTATGGAGCCAAGGGCGGAGCTGAGCTAAATACGAGGTGATTGTCTCTCTGGAAATGCCTCGGGGCTGATACCATTTGCTAACATGAAGCTAGGGTAGCAGAAGTTGGCTATGTATCAAAGCTGGTCGCACACCTGCTGGACCCACAAACGAATGTCTCCCGTGAAGTCGAAAATATTACTTACAAGGACAGCATCCATATGAGAATAGGAGATCAAATCTTCACAGGAGACGTCGGATATACGCAAGGTCGACAGCCGAACTTGACAAATTCTCGTTTGGTTGTATCAGAAGAGTGGCCACCTCTTAGGTGGATCATAGTAGCTCCGGACAGGTAACCTGAGTGATGTGACTTGTTTTGGGCATCACTGGCACACAGGCTGACAAGTCGTGAATAGGAAATACGACTGGGCTCTCCAGGTAGACAGCGACTTGCTAGTTCAGCCCATACCTGAGCTTATCGAATGTTTGCTTAAGGACATTGTGGTCTGCATCGAAGGACCACCAAAGAATCCCGCAGACCTCGAGCACAGGTGTGTCAATATCAATGTCAAGAATCCCGACAAGTGGATTGGCAAGTTGAGCGAGATACGTACAAAGTCGTCAGCTCTGATACCCTTTCGCGATACGCCATTTGTGGTAGAAATAAGCAGGAATTTCGCATGGAGAGACGTGAATACAAAAGAAGCTCTTCATTCATGGACTGGAATCCAAATACTTGGTCGTCACTGGGAGGACAGCCTCAATTACAAAAATATGCATGAATCGAAGAAGGACTGGGGACCTCACCAGTCTCATATCTGGGCAGGCTCAGGAGAGACCGCAGAGGACCAATTCGCAGGTTTTGTTTGTCATGTTTTAGAGATATTGTCTGCCTTGGAAGTGTCAAACGTTGATGATACGGCAACGTAGCTCAAGGAGAAGGCAGAGACCATGAAGGAGGCCAACTTCACCAAACATTGTGCGACCACAATTTTGATTCGTTGTTCACTATTTCAGTAAATCGGCAATGCAATACTTTTGTTAATATATCGTCCGCGCCATCCCATTCGGGCACTTCATGAGTTAGCTCCCTGGGCAGCCATGATCTTTTGCCGCAAAACTATTCAAAGACGTGTCAATATGGATGCACCTCTTCAGCAGAGAAAAAAATGACATACCTTCCTCTACTGCTCTAACATTGTTCTGTTTGCGCTGCACAATTGCTTCCAGATCTTTCAAATTGTGGCCCAGCTCTTGCACTTTGTCGTCATAGAATTGCTCCGCCGCCTTTAACTTCTAGATCGAGTAGATTAGCTCCAGTCCTTCCGAAAGTGCCGCCTGTACCAACCTTCTCGATGAGGAAACCAGTTCCCACGTCAACCAAGACAGACTCTGTATTGGACAATTCTCCCTTGACATATAATGAGTTGGTTAAAGGAACAAGAACCGAGTTTGAAGCTGTCGCAATTTTTCCACATCGTTAGCCTTCCACTGCGTCCAGAGTCACTCTAGCTCAATGGGCTTGGCAAATCCCACCGTCGGTCGCAGCAGATCGAGTATTAACACATCGTAGACAATCCTTGAATTTGTTTTGGGCCCCGTGGAGCTGTGCGTAGGACGAGGTCAGGTGCTCGAGTTCTTCGTCGAGCTGCTTCTTGACCTGCGCCAGCTGCTGTGGCTCGAGGGTGTCGAGGTTGACTGTGAACTCTGTTAGGCTTGTACTCGGAGGTGGGTGATGTAAACTAGAGACATACTGGTTTCCCGTTCGCCAGCCATGTTTGCCGCGCTGATACGTTGTTCAAGCGACGTCGTGGAGGCGAGGTTGTCACAATTTGCGGTTGGGGTTGCCCCTCGGTATGCTGTGGTGGGGTCAGCTTTAGCTAGCACAGTGTTTACCTACTTGAGAGGCTCGTCCAACGACCTTGACAGTTCACGCTACATTATGATGCAGCCTCCTACTAAGCCGCTGTCTCGTGTATTCCTTTGGATAAAAACTGAGTGAGTATTTACACAACGAGTTTTGTATTTTCTATGGAAGTTATACATATATTTAATAGTACAGTTTAAATTAATGTTGCTCGCTTCATACCAAGTCCACCGTCTTACAATTGCGAGAGTAAACAATTCAAATGTGCTGGCAGATCCGCAACAGTAATATTCTCCTTGGAGGACAAGCTCCTGCATTGTACTTCGCATACTCCCCTTTCTCTCCATGCCTTTCCGAGAACAATAGTAACAGGGTAGCCAGTCATGTCGGCATCCTGCATTTTCCAGCCGAATGTCTCCTTACGGTCGTCCAAGACTGCATCGAACCCTGGCCCAGAACTCGACCAACGGGTGAGTTTGTCATGGAACTCCAGGGTTTGAGAGTTTACCCCAGATGTTGGTATGACCACAATCTCGAATGGGGCAATCGCTCTGGGCCAATTGAGGCCTCGCTCGTCCGCTTTGTGTTCAGCCACTGCACCAAAGATTCGAGATACACCAATCCCGTAGCATCCCATTTCCACTGGGACAGGGGCCTTGGAGTTTGGAAGAGTAACGGATAGCTCGAATGGTTTTGAGTAGCGGGTACCGAGGTAAAACGTGTGGCCTAGCTCCAATGCCCGGTGAATTCGAAGTGAACCAGATTCACATCGGGGACAGCTATCACCGTCCATCAGCCGTACCAGATTCAGTGGCTCTCCATGTTGTGAGGCATTGATGTCTGACTGAGATAATGGCTCGGCGCTTTGGGCAGAGCCCGGAATCAAGGGCAGTCTTTCCTTCAACTGACTATAAACAGTTTCCAATCTAAAGTCAATAACGTTGATAATTCGAGGTCGCGTGTTCTTCCCCTCCTTTCTGGCAGCCGCGGTGTCCTTCCAAGAGTGAACGGGATCATTGACACTTGTATCTAACTCTGCGATGAGTTCTTTCACAGCATGTGTATTTATTTCTGTGCCAGTGCCATGGCTACTCTTGATGGGATACCAGGCATTGATCAGTGTCGTGCGATCTTTGGTGACACCACGCCATACGCCAATGTCTGCCTGTGTGATGGCCAGCGGTGGAGAAGTCTGACGAGAATGATCGGATAATCGTGCCGTTGCAACTTCATCATTAGCAGAATATTCACAAGAATCACATGAAATGACTCTGTCTTCTCCGATGGGATGTGCCAGATGATACTCGTGGCTATAATCGCCCCCCATGTCTCCTGAACTTGCCTCAGCAACCAGAATGGGGATTTTCATATCCGCAAAAAAGGCACGATATGCTTTAGAGACACATTTGTATGTGTCAATGGCTGATTCAAATGATGTATCAAATGTGTACAGATCTTTCATAATAAACTCCCGAGAACGCAGCAGTCCGTGGCGGGGACGCATCTCGTCTCGGTATTTTCTAGCTGTTCCGATGGTTAGGCAAATACTTTCGGGAATCTTATTGAAAGGACTGACTAGTCTGATATAGACGCAAAGGCAAGTCTTTAAACGATTTCAATGCGCCAGCCACCAGTGTTGTGATCTCCTCCTCATGCGTGGGTGACAGCATGATGGGGACTTGCTTTCGATCAGTCAAACGGAAAAGCTGAGCCTGTTAACAGATGCGCAGAACATATGATTCGGCCACTTACTTCTGAAGAGACACGATCTAATCTACCGCTGCGGCGCCATAGTTCTTCCGAGGTAATTGTCGACAGAGATAGCCGTGATGCGCCTGCAGCAACCGGGTTAGTCTCGTAATGATGGATAGCATGGTCCAAGGAGTGGCGAACCAATTGACTCCATATGTTTGTCAAGAAGTCTCTCAATTTTATTTTGCACGCGTAGCCCTAACGGAAGAAGCTGAAAAATACCAGATTGAGTCTAACAACGAGGTCAACATCAGCTCCTACGGCGCTCCAGAAACGGAACCCACCTGGCGAAGAAAGCCTGCTCGGACGAGTTTTCCATGCCCGGCTGCTCTAATTGTCAGTAACTTCGGTGACTAACCGAGACTGCAGGACAGTCTTACTCTCTCCTTCGATAGCTGAAACACCGCCCGTGGGAACCCATATCTTCGAAAGAGTCGACCTTGCACGACATCCCTTGGGCGTGCCGCGGTATACGCGTGTGCTCGGCCGGGACACAAACGCGGACGAGGAAGCTACCATTAATCGTCCCAGCCTTTCTGATTTATAAGATAGCATGGTAATATTTCGTGCCGAGATATTCCATTGCCAATAGGGGCATTTCAGACAGACTGCGGCGACGGAAGATTTATCAGAGACGAGACTCACCAGCCGCGAGACTGCGGTTGAGGATAGGATGAGTTGGGTTTTTAAGGTGGGCAGTTGCTCGCGGCTGGTCTAACTCAGCTCTCGACGGCCCTCTGCGAACAGAACCAACACAGCCAGCATATTCCTCATGAACCAAACTTCCATACGGCGGATTTACTTTTTCGTATTTGAGAATATATCAGTACTACTTATGATTTTCTTTTCCCTCATCCATATTGTAGCTAGCTGGCTGGCTAGCCGCATGGCCTCAAAAGCGACTTGTCTGCCTTGTTCCGCATAACGCCCACAAATGTTTTAAGTGGGGCGGTTTGATAAGATATGCCCATCAAAAAAAGTTCGGAGTGGCAGTCCTCATTCTCCCTCTGGACCCAACGACAAGATTGACAGAACGAACGCCCGCTCAATGCCTAAACCACAAAAGAAGGGCAAGGGCCCTCGCGGTCAGAAAGATAGGCAGAGCTTCGATGAGAACGCTCTTGAGCAGCTTACGTCTAAAATCGGCCAAAACCTCAACTCCAACACCAACAAGCGCAAGCATCCCCCCACCAATGCCGGAGGTAAAGAGCAACAGAAGAGGCGGCGAAATTTCGAGGACAGTAGGCCGTCAAAGAACCAGATTCCGGATGACCAAGCAGCTTTGTTGGCAGAAATAAGAGCCTTGGGCGGCGATGAGAAGGATCTAGAGCTCATCAATGGCGTCGACTCTGACGACGAGACTTACGGGAAAGAGTCTGGGGGAGCTGTTGATAAGGATTTGAAGGACGAACTTCTCGCACTGTCGAAAGAATTGGGATTTGCGGATATCGATCCCGAAGTGATGATCGCAGCCGATGAGCAACCATACGAGGTCAACGATGATGAAGATGAAGAGGAGGGAGAAGATTCTGACCACGAAGGGGAAGACGACGATGTCGACAACATGGAAACCGAGGCGATCAAACGCATTAGAAAGCCGGGAGACATGGTAGGAAGACGTTTGTATCAATGGGAGATTTTCAGCAACGTTAACTATTACACTAGATCTTCGAGCCGAGAGCTGATTGGCACGCCTACAAACTTGCGAAGCTGCCCAAGCCGACTGTCGACCAGCTGGGCCCGTTTGCTGGAACAGTTGAAGCTCTCAAAACACATGCCAAAACGCTTCTGGAAAGCGACTGTAACAAGTACAAGACTAGCGTGTTTGCTTCGTCGTCTCATAAGTTCTTGTCTACAATTATGTCTTCAGGTACCCTGACGGATAAGGTCTCGGCCTTGACGTTAGCAGTGCAAGAGTCGCCAGTCCACAACATCCGTGCCTTTGATGCTCTCATGAACCTCGCCTCGAAGAAAAGCCGTGGCCAGGCCATCGGAGCGATCGGCGCACTTGTGGATTTACTCGGGCCAGGGACCCTTCTTCCCGCCGACAGGAGGCTACGCCCCTTTCATGGCCAGCCTGGGTTGCTTGGGACACTTCAAAAGGACTCCATCAAGTCATGGACACCTAGCCAACCTCTTCCGGGAAAGATTACTGAGGAGCATCTCATCTCATGGCTGTACGAAGACTGGCTCAAGGAAACATATTTCAAGATTATCCAGTTGCTGGAAACCTGGTGCTCTGACGAGATAGAGTATTCCCGAATGAAAGCTGTGGATTTTGTTTATGGACTCCTCAAAGAAAAACCGGAACAGGAGTCAAATTTGCTCACCCTCCTTGTCAACAAACTTGGTGATCGAGACCGCAAGATTTCATCTCGGGCATCCCATCTGCTTCTGCAACTTCAGGTCTCACACCCTGGAATGAAACCAATCATTATTCGAACTATTGAACAGGATATCTTACTTCATCCCTCCCAGGACCATCGATCGAAGTATTGCGCCATCAACACCTTGAACCAGACAATTCTCAGCAACAAAGAGCCGGCGGTAGCAGAGACTCTTTTGCGAATATACTTTGACCTTTTTGTTACAATGCTAAGATCAGGAAGCTTGGGAATGCCATTACAAAATGGAACTGAGGGTGGCAAGCGGTACGGCAAAGAGACGGGCAAACATAACAATAAACCCAATGATAAGCCAGAGGGCAACCCGCCTCAAAAATCGAAAACGGCGAATCCCTTGGCGCCGGAAACTGAAGCAGCAGACAAGTTAGTTTCTGCACTGTTGACAGGAGTAAATCGTGCGGCCCCATTTATTGGTACCAACGATGATATGTTCGTACATACTTACAAGACTTATTATACCCAATATTCTCATAATGCATACAGGCTAACTTGATGACTAGTATGGAAAAGCATCTAGATACGTTGTTCAGGATTGCACACTCGGCCAATTTCAATACTGGTATTCAAGCATTGTTGCTTATTCAACACTTATCCGCCGCTCGTAACTTGGCAACAGACCGATTCTACCGAACTTTGTATGAGTCGTTACTGGATCCTCGTCTAGTCACTTCATCCAAGCAAGCATTGTATCTGAACTTACTTCTCCGTGCCTTGAAGAGCGATGTTGATGTTCGAAGGGTCAAGGCTTTTGCAAAACGGATGTTGCAGATTTCAAGTCTTCATCAGCCTCCCTTTGTATGCGGATTGCTCTATGTCATTGCGCACCTGAGACAAACTTTCCCTGATTTATCAACACTTGTTGAAGAACCCGAAGCTTCAATTTTCGACGACGAGGCATCGGCACAACTTCCCGGGTATGATGGGCACAAGCGCGACCCAAAGCATAGCAATGCGCAGAGGAGTTGCTTGTGGGAGATGGTATGTTATACAAATTACAATGACAGCCAGTCAGCCGTTATACTGACCTGCTCTAGATTCCCTTCCAAACACATTTCCATCCGTCTGTCAGCGTTTTTGCCGCGGCCCTGCTGGATAAAACGAAAAAAGTACAAAAGCCAGACATGGAGAGCCATACATTGATCCGATTTTTGGACAAGTTCGTGTACCGCAATCCCAAGTCGACTGATTCTGCTCGTGGCGTATCCATTATGCAGCCTCTCCGCGCAACCAAGGATTTGGGCGACTTTTGGCTGGGCAGCAGGGGGCCTGGTACCGCATCCGCGCCAGTCAATTCTGCAGCATTCTGGAAGAAGAAGGTTGAAGACATTGCAGCTGACGATGTCTTCTTCCATGAGTATTTCCAGCACGTTGCTAGAGAACCTAAACCTACAACTAAGAAAGCCAATGAAGAGGAGGAGGAGGAGACGAACGAGGATGAAATTTGGAAGGCTCTGGTATCCACGCAGCCTGATATTGAGGATGATGCCGACGAAGAGGGCTTTGATGATATGGATGGTTTGGACATGGATTCCGAAGATGGTTCATCTCCTGCCCTGTCTCTGGAGAGCGACCTTGACGATGATGAAGATGATGAAATGCGTGAAACCTTTGACGGCGAGAATGAAATTGACTCCGACGGCTTGGTAGCAGTTGAGGATGAGCAAGATGCCGACGAAGGCGATGAATCTCAGGAGAAGAACAAGAAAAAGTCGAGAAGAAAGGCTCTTAAGGACCTCCCGATGTTTGCATCGGTTGATGACTACGCCGAGCTTTTGGCTGCAGAGGAAGACGGATTGTAAGAGGTTGGAATAGAACATTGTAAATATTCGGTCCATTCAAGTAGTATAAAGCAACTGGAAAGCGCTGCCAAAACCTATTCGAATAGACGGACCCTTTTGTGCATCCGGCCTTCTGTCACGACTCACGATACGACAGGTACCAGGTACCAATCTAAACTTCATCATTCATACCAGCTTGGCATTTCATTCGCTGACTAGCTCGGGGCGGCGAATCAGAGGCCTAGGAAATGCCATATAGACGGACGAGGGGAAGATTAGTACTTAAGATTCAACCATTGACGGAGGTGGCACTGGCGTATCGCTGGGGAAAAAGCTGCTGGTTCCTGAATGGGAAAAGCGGAGCCGCCGAACCTCGGATAACCAAGGTTGAAGTCGCCGCCTTGAATGGGAACGCCGAAAGCTAACTTTATTCTCATCGATAATCATTCGCAGGACGTACCATTTCCATCTCTGTGATCTTGGGTCCCGTTTTCCTTTCTTGAACCTTTGATCTTGATTGCGAAGGTCTTTAGGTGTGCGCGGGGCCTACAGCAAGTCCATAATGTTCGGGCAACCCGTCGCTCGCCGTCTGGCCCAGCAGACACGCACGATTTCCAGACTGTACAACCCAGCATCGTCGCCGCTTTTGCATGCGTCAAGGAGATCGGCTCGGCGATGGCAACACTCTGGCGCTACTGCAACCAACAGTGAAGGAGCTGCTACCGCATCGAATTCTGCCAACACTGAGCAAGCTGCTCAAGCCATTAGCTTTGCCGATAATGGCAAGGGAAATGTTGCCTTCGCGTCAGGTAAGATAAGAAGCCCTCAGCATAGTGAAGAATATAAGCACGAATCTTTGGCTGATATGGCCACGATGCGCAGGCAATTCGAGTGGCGGAGGTGGACTGGCACTGCGAAAAGGCCTCTTCTACGTCATGTTCGGGCTCGCTTTTAGTGCCATTGGAGCGTATGGCTCATGGCATACCCTCAAGACGCAGGGATTGGGTTTTTATTCCGATGAAGAGAGCTTGAAGCGATTTACCCCCGAAGAAGCCGATGTCGAGGCGCGACGAATCGAAGACACAATTAATAACCTCGCCCTGGTGGCTGAGCAGCGCCAGCGCCCAGAAATGGTCGAGTCGCGACCACACCTAAAGATGCCCGGTCAATATCGAGCACGAAGCCTCACCGGGAGCGCATTAACCGGGCCCGGCAAGGTTCCTGTCCCTGCGTATGCTTGGGTTGACAAGGGTGGCAAGTCCCTTGTCTCCGTCGTCTACGTCGGAGAAGACTTGTGCGGCCACCCGGGTATTGTCCACGGCGGGTTCCTGGCCACGATGCTCGACGAGGGCCTTGCACGGTGCTGCTTTGCCGCTCTACCTCACAACATCGGGGTGACCGCCAATCTCAACATCAACTATCGCAAGCCTACTCCTGCGGGCAGCTATCTGGTGCTGAGAGCAGAGACCACAAAGGTGGAGGGCCGCAAGGCCTGGGTCAAGGGACATATTGAATCTGTCGCCGCTCCGGGAGAGGAGCCTACAGTGTATGCTGATGCAACAGCCTTGTTTGTATCTCCCAAGTTTGCAGCGGTAAGTGGAACCCGGCTCGGCATGCTAGACATGTTTAAAAAGTTGATGTTCCTAATTCGCGGATACAGATGATGCCGAAGATTAATTAAGCGCATGCCTAGACGATAGAGATGTGGATGGATTGGCTAATTAGACAGAGTTGCCTTGCGCGTGCAGGAATAGCATATGATTTACTTATACAGCATGGCTATGTATGACGGTGGTTGTGTCATTTGACGCATCCTTCTAGCAATGTAGATATATAGAAGTAATAGACTTGATAGAGCTGAGAATCTGGTGAAATAGATGTTTGCCCAGATAATGCCCCTTTGGATATACAGACCGACGCCGATCTCCTTTTCAAGCATCGTCTTTCGCGGCGCCAGCTGCCAGGTAAATAACAATTTTTCGGCAATATCCAGTCGGCATTCGTGCCCGAACAATCTTTGATGGCGTGATGGCTCGGGACCGGCAAGAAGAAGGTCTCAGGCCGAGCGAACGGCGCCGAAGATGAACGAATTGTCATCAGCCCCCCAGATTACAGAGATGGCGACATCGCCTGCCTAGGAAAAACAGTTCCAGAAGTGCCCGCGCAAGAATAGACATTTTAGCAGCAGTATGAAGGCAGCATAAATAAACCAACACCACATGCGTGTCCCAGAACACCACCACCGATCACGGGCAGCGTAGTCATCGCTCCCACAATTCGCAACGAAACACAGCCATGCCCTTCAACGAAGTGGATAGCGATTAAGCCATGTATTATGTATGTACAATGTATCGCATCTCCAGATATCCGCACCACAAGCCAAGTGGATCCTCCGTGTCCCCTTCGGACTGTCGCAACCCATCCCGCCCCGGACTGTCGCCATCACGGCGCATTCTTACTCGTCCATCCATTTGGACCTGGCGATGGCGACACCACGAGCGCGGGGAGGGGGGCAGAAAAACCCACGCGCAACACCTCAGGGACGGACTACCAGACCAAGAGCAAGAAAAACTGAGTATTCTGTTAGCGGCAGGATGAATAAGTGGATTCAGTAGACTAGGCAGGCTCCCAGGCCGCATGTATTTCAAATGCTCGTGCTGCAACCCGACTTAAACGTCTACTTGCTATCCAGCTTCGTGTTTGATCCTTCTAAGCTCTTCTCCCGTCTCAATTACCTTGATCTCCCCTTTTCCCAAGCAGTCTGTCCCAGACATTATACAAAATGGCTACGTATGTGCAGGCGCAATGCGATAAACCCCTCCATCACAACCAACCCGCCAACCAGACTGTCACCAACTCACCATCATGACGATGCGAACAGCAAACAACTCCCCCTCCCCCCCCCCTTTACAAAAAAGCAAAATTGCAACCATTGACGCATCAAGCGTATGCTAACGACACCAGCAACATCACGTGGCACCCGTCCCTCTCGCGCAAAGAGCGCAACGAGCTCCGTGGCCAGCGCGGCCTCACCATCTGGCTCACCGGCCTCTCAGCCTCGGGCAAGTCCACCGTTGCCACCGCTCTCGAGCAGCACCTCCTGCACCTCGGCCGCGCCGCCTACCGCCTGGACGGGGACAATGTCCGCTTCGGCCTCAACAAGGACCTGGGCTTCTCCGAGAAGGACCGCAATGAGAACATTCGCCGCATCTCAGAGGTGAGTCCCCCGGGGGGAGGGCGCCTTTTACTGAGAACCACCAGACCATGGAGCGGGCTTGTGCTAACCAGAGGAGAACAGGTCGCCAAGCTTTTTGCCGACTCTTCCACTATTGCCATTACGTCCTTTATTTCCCCGTACCGAGCAGACCGTGATGTCGCCCGCCAGCTACACGCCGCTTCGCAGGATGTCAAAGACGAGCCGATCCCTTTTGTCGAGGTATTCGTCGACGTTCCTCTCGAGGTCGCTGAGCAGCGTGACCCCAAGGGTCTGTACAAGAAGGCTCGCGCTGGCGAGATCAAGGAGTTCACTGGCATCTCGGCCCCTTATGAGGAGCCCATCAACCCTGAAATCACTATCAAGACGCACGAAAACTCGGTTGAGGAGTGCGTCGCCCAAATCGTCAACTGGCTTTTGGAAAAGGGATACCTTACGTTAAACTAGGTGGTCGTTTTGCAGCATGAAGCGAAAGGGGAAATGGATAATAAAAGAACAAGAACAAAAGTAAAGCATGAATACGATAGATAGACCACTGTCCTATATTTGGTCATGATGTCTTTTTGCCAGGCATGGCCAAGCGTGCTTCACAGATCATGAAGATAGCTAGAATACAAGCGCCCAAAATGAATCTATGCGGGTTAATCACTCTTCTTTTGTGGCTACACCATCATCACCTCTCTCTAAAAAAAATATGGGTTGCAAAACTAAGCGTGTCCTATCACGGGAATTCCAACTCATAATAAACGTAGGCTGTATACTCGTGTCCTTCACCAGTTCCAAGACCTGCCGCCGCCATCTCCGAGGACATGGCCGCGTCATCTTTGGTGACCCTGCCGCGCTTGTCGCGGCCGAAAGCATTGCCTCCCAGGTATGAGTACTTAGAGTCAAGCGCTGCCTTAACCTTGGGTGCCAGCTTGGGAGTGGTCTATGGAGGGTCAGTCAGCTTCAATACCTCTGCGGCCATATGTTGTCTGGGTCTTTGAAACCCTGAGGGGATACCATACCTTCACCAATGCAGTGACATATTCAAGCGGCAAACCGTATCGCAATACGGCCTCAACAAAGACTCTCAATGTTAAGACGTGAATCCAGACCATGACACTTTCGCTCCACCCTGTTCGCCCGATGCGAAGAGCCTCACCACAAACCTTGCGCTCCTCATTGGTCACCCGGTCCAACTCACGCTGCTCCTCCTCTCGCCCACCTTCCACATAGGTATATTGACGTGGAGTCCACTTTTGCTCTCGACATTTGTGAATAAATTCTGTGCTATATTTCTTGAAAGTGGCGACTGCGAAAAGCGTGAACTCGTCGTCGTGATCAACTTCTACAGAAGATCGGGGCACGACCATAGGAGATAGCGTCTCATAGGTTTTGACGAATTCCTTCTTGGAGTTGGTTGGCACGGCGATAAGATGTGTTTCAATGTATTCGGAATCTTTAATGAGGAGCTTCGGGTTAACGATGGGAGTCAATGACTTGGTTGCGAGATTTCCTCTGCAAATCCAAACTTCGGTCAGAATACTCGGCTTTGAAGATTGTGAGCAGGTGACGCTCATGGGTATGTCTCACGTCTGGCGCCGCTGCAAAGCAGCAAGGTTCGATTTGACAGTGTTGTACTGGCTAAACTTGGTTTTGACGTCATTGTCCACCGTTACCAGTTCCTGTGGGAAGGACAATTCAGCCAAATTGTCTTGTTTCTCAACACAACAGATGATGATACCTTCTGAAGGGTGTCTATCAGTTCACCCAACGACTTATCGCTTCGATATCGAATCTTATTCCAAGTGAAGCTACGGAGATACTGTTCCGTCGGCTCTATTGAAACCATGTGCTGTCAGCCTCTGACGAAATTTTGATGGCAGATAGTCCAACCGCATAGCAACTCTGTAGGATCGACTTAACTAACTGTCATTGACCATTTTGTAAGAAGCTAGGCGCTCTTCATCATTGTCTAGAACAGATCGGAGCGACTCGCCGACTTTGGTGACGACGGATTGACATGTCGTCTCGAGCTTGGCTAGATCATCGGCTTGCTGAACTAGGGCGTCAAGGGTGCCAATCTTGAAATCGGGGATGTTGAAGGAGTTGACAGAGCCATTGTCTGGCGAAATGGAGGCGCTTAGAGACGAGATGGCATCGGCTTTACTGCTAGAGTCGAAGACGCCGAGGGGCAGGGACACAACGGCATAGCGTGAAGGCATAATGACGGTGTTTTGACCGACCGACCGCTGGAGGAGAGGTACAGACGCAGAGATATAATATCGAGGGCCCCAGAGGGGATGATACACGGCTCGGCGCAGAGGACTCGGAGGGTTCTGAAGAGCGGCCGTCTCGTGGGGGGGCTTTTGATGCGAGAGGCGCTGGTACTGCACGGTGGTTGAGACGAAGCTCCTAGGTAGTTACTTACCTAGGCACTAAGGTTGGTATTATGTGATGTCGTTCGCTGGGTCTGGAGAGTGGGGAAAGAAGGGCCGTAAGCAGTGGTCCGTACATGTAACCACATGCAGTCGCTGAGTTGCCAAGGAGTCTGGTGGTAGTAGTTCCGGACATGGAGTCGAGTCAATAGCATACCCCGCCGGCAGGGCCTGTAGTCAGACGCCAATGGATCAATCACACATGTGCTTGCTCCAGCAGACAAGCTCGCTGCAGGTTGGCTGGCAAAGCCCCTGGGGCTCGCCTGGAGCGACCTGGGACTGGTCTGGACTCATTCAATGTTGTGCCTGGTGATGGCAACTGGCCCCCTCGAAGTCTCTCAATGGTCTGGTACTCGGTGCTTTGTGCGCTGTATATTATTGACACTCAATACTCCCGTCGTCCATGCTTCGAGTAGATGCACCCAACGCCGCCTCGAGCCGTCCTTTCGTCTTCTCTTCAATGCGCATCCAACCGACAACAAGCCACCAATGTCCCATCTACTGTCCGCCCACGGCTTCATCCTTCGCACACTCTCGCACTGCGCTTCCCTTGTCTCTGTTGCCAAGCAATCTCCGCTGTCGTCTTTGACGCCCCGTCTCTGTACCATGTGAGCCCGAGAACGTCGCGCCGAAATTTCAGACCAACGGCTCTGTCCGTCGGCAAGGTGTAAGGCATGTAGTTGCGACATCTGGCCATTGACAACTTGACGGTTTCTTCCAGGTTGCAACAATGTCGCCGGTCGCGGGTGCGTCTCCTCATCGCTACAGTGACAATCTCAAAATTCGACGACACCTTGTTGTCCTCCTGCTTCAGGAGCTAACCCACCAATCACAGCTGCAAATAATCTATCCACGGATGGTACATCGGCTCATCGAGGCCACGAAGCTCAACCTGTTGACATAGTAGTCGGTGCGAATGGCGGCTCATCCATTATACTACCTTCGGATACATTGACGGCTGCTGAGCCCTTGAACGATGGTCAGGCTTATTACATGTTTCTTCCCGCCCAGTGCGCTGCAACACACACTAACGCTTTGCCAACAGACATTCCGTATACCTCTGGAAGTTATGCGTACTATGATGGCCGCGTCAAAAACGGTGTCCCTGCCAAACTGCAGAATGTTGACCACGGTAAAAATGGCAACTTTGCCGTCATGCACATGGGAGTAACGAATCTTGCTTCCGCCGAACGGCTTGCCGCAGCGAGACGAACGAGTGAGGGGACTGCAGCTGCTTCCAGGTTATTCAACCAAGCCGGTTACAAGTCACTACGGCAATTAAAGCAGAACGGCCCAGCTGTAGAATCGCAACAGCAGGAGTTGGTACCGAATACTGCACGCAAGGAGAGGACCAGAGGCAAGCCACAACCTGGCCATGGATTTGCCCAGAGAACGACGTCACTATCGTCCCATGAGACAAAGACGGAGCAGGCTCGACTTTTGACTCTGCTGAGGTCGTTGAACCCTGTCATGGTTGTCGACCAGCTTTGCAGAGGACTCGCATATTTTGGAGGCATACCTGGGGCTCCTCCACCGGCAGATGATAGTGCCTTCCCGCAGAGTAACGCCGCAAATGGTTCTGGTCATTACTTCGTTGGCTGGCTTGCCGAAATATTTCCAAACGTAGATGCCTCAACAGCTCCTCACCCCAGCGTACCCGACACATCTCCGCCAGGGAACCATCCAGCGACGACTGCCTCTCCTTGGATGTCCGCGTCTTCCCCGGCTTCAAAGTCCGCTACTACGGTCTCCGTTGCCCCTACAGTACAAACGGATTCCTCGCCGACAAAAGAAGACGCAATTGTTCCGGGAAAGAGGAAAAGAGGCAGGCCCAAGGGGAGTAAGAGCTCCAAGGTCCGCGCAGATAAAGGCAAAAGGCACATGTCGAAGGCACTCAAATACAGCGTGCCACTTGTCATACCCGCTGTGGCTGAAAATGAGAGTGTAGCTGAAGGTGACAATATGGAGGCGGATGTTCCAGTAACAAGCGACGACGCCGCGACGCCCGTACTCCCTGATGATCCTAATACACAATCGAATGCTCCCAAGAGCACTCCGGTGGCTAAAAAGAGGGGTCGACCAAAGGGTTCCAAAAACCGGCCAAAGACCAACATCAATGATGAGAATCAGACGGCGCCGCGTACCCACGACGCAACACCTGCACAGACGCAAACAACTGCTACCCCTCCATCTGGCACTGCAAATGCCGAGAATATCATATCTAACAATGACTATTCGGCGCAATCACAGTTTGCAGGAGACAACCTAGGCCGACATCACGCAGAGTCGAGTCCCAATCAGCCAAACATGTCAACTCAACAACCCATCGCCGCCAGCACAAGCAGCAGCTCGCCAAGAAAGAGATATGTCACACAGCAAAGTCAGTTGGATGTTCTAGGAAGCAACAATCAAGTTGCTCCTTCGTCTCAGGCGCCCCAGGGGACGAAGCGTCAACGCGTTTCAAACGGAAGCGTTCCAAACATTGGTTCCGGATCGCAGCCTGGATTCCTGTCAGGCAATTTCGACTCTCAGACCCAATCCAATGGCTCTGGAGTTGAAGGAATGGGACTGGGGCCACATGCTACCCAGACATCACGGCTTGGACAGTTCTACATAGCTACCTCTCCACAACAGCAACAGCTAGAGTCGCCAAACCTGAGTCATGCCATACCAAGACAGCAAACCAACCATCCATTTGCGTCTCAGCGTATAAATGCGGCGGCACAGAACTATCACTATAACCAACACGGCTTACAGCAAACCTCTCATCACATGACACCGATTAGCCCCTCGGGTCGCAGCTTTGGTCCGACCATAGCTAACAATGCCGATGTTCGCTTATCTCAAGATCAGGCTAAACAACAACCAGCCGGGCCACAAGCTGGAGGGAGAAAGCAAGGCTATTTCAGCAACCACAATCGACCACCCGGAACTCAATCATCCGCTAATACCGCCCTGGGCGCCTATTCTACTTTTAACACTCAAGGCTTCATGTAGGAAACAAGGACTGCAAGTCGGCCCAAAGAACCGACGGCGCCAGCATACTTGCTTGCGTATTCGTCTTCCTCCTTGCTCTAGAAGAGCTTATTGACCAACTTGTTTTTGAATCTCATGTTTTTGGGTCACTCTTTCGAGGCGTCAAGATGGCAAGCATATTCGTATTTTGATCAGGGTTAGTATTTGAAGGATTCGGCGTTGTTTCGGTTCATATCCAACCGGCGGGGAAAACTAATTTCAAGGTTATTTGTTCTTTCTGACAATGACTGAATGAGACGTTCTTATATTATTTTTATGGCCTGTGTGAAAAGAGGACTGACTTCAAGAGCAGCTTGATACCATCTTAGATAGCATTATGACAACTTGCAATGCCTGAAGTTACGTATGATTGAATGTGCATCGCTACTGCGACATTTCTACAGCGTTGCAACGGCGCCAGGATTATTTAAAAAGGCAATATTTTAGCGATGAATTTTATATTCTCGCCAACGCTCTTGGCTTGCTCCTCTTAGGTCCCCGCAAAAAAAAGAGCATCGACAAAAGAGACGTTTCGACAAAGTTATGGCACGACTCAAATGTTGCGTCCCGACTATGTGCCTGGCCTGGTTTCTATAACAGCCATGCATAAGGGGGTATGAGACGAGAAAAAAAAATACACCCAACGCGATAAGTCCCACCTCCATGTATCCTTTCTTAGCTTTCCCCAATGTACCATGTAGCAATCCATCATGTTCACTCTCTGCCAAATATACGCATGTCGCAGAGGATGAGAGTAAGTTGCTACGTAAATCCAAGAAAAGAGTAACGCCTGTAAATGCCCATGGTTCTTTTAAATACGCAATGAATCCACGCACGTGAACAAATAACATCATCGCTGGACAGCCAACGGCAGATGTTTTTTCCAGTTTACTCCGCATCATCGTCTCCTGCACTTGCTGACGGCCTAATGGAGTCTGGGTTATTTCGCCCGTACCACCACTCGTCTTCTTCGTCGAGTCCATCTTCGCGAATAAGGTCCAACATGACCTGCTGATTTCGCTTAATGTCTTGTGTCCTTGGAACAATACGTCGATCAAGAATCAAAGCCTCAGCCGTGGTCAGCCATATTTGTTGTAATACAGGGGTGTCATCCAGCAATTTCTGCACATCGTCATGGCTGAGTGCAGACATGGGGGCGTCAGCTGCCAAACTTGTGTGAAAAACCCAGTTATAGTCAATTACACTGTCCATAAAGCTGGCATCGATTGAACCCGTATGACTTCTCGTCTTGCCAAATGTCTCGCTAAATGATGACCTGTGTGCAGGCCGATCTCCGCTTGTGGACTTCTTGCGACCAAATCCTTTCAGGCCTAATCGTGACTTGACAGGCGGTGGCTCCAATACAAGCTCCTTGTAGTCCCTGGTTAAGGAGTTGTACCAAACATCAACAGCGGCACGACGGTTGTTGTAGCCCTTGATCTCCCATAGTCTTTCAACTTGTCGCAAGCCTCCAATGCACAAGATTGCAGAATGAATTTCGTCAGATGGGCGGTCTCGCAAATACCCTCTGAGAGATCTCTCAACACGGCCAACATAGGTAGGAGGTCGCAGCCGCCGGCAGAAGGATGATATAATCAGAGGAAAGACCTCGTGCACTCGCAACAAAGTTTGATCATCATACATGTTCATAATCTCGGACTCGATGGGATTCAGGGTATAGGGTTCTTTCCGTAACCCATGGCCATCGTGTTCGACGATATGCTGGAGGTGCAATTTGCGGTAGGTCTCAAAGAAATGGAAGACGGTAAAGAGAAGAGGGATTAGTCGACGACGCATGCGCTCACGTTGCGGGGTAAACGCCAATTGTTGAGCTTCAGATTGGCGTAAAAAGATCTCTTTTGTGATCCACTCGCACATTAGATGGGCAAGCTTGGCTGCAACATGCAATCGGTGCCACAGGCTGCACAAGTAATGAAAGTTGACCTCGGACTGATCGGTAATCGGATACAAGCGAAGGGTGTAGGCGGGTATATGGGTATCGAGGTGGTATCGAACAATGGGAGCTTCGTTTGCGGTGATAAGACTATGCCACGTTTTGGAGGCAAGTCGGAGGCTGAGAATGTCCGTAAGAGGCAATAATGACAGGATTTCAACCTGTAGTTCGTTTGGGAGAGCTAAGAATAATAGGTCGAAAGGAGCACTAATATAGCTTGTTAGATTGTCGAAAACACAACAAGATGGTGCAAATTCAAACCTTTTTCGGGTTGACTCGGTAGAGGCTCTAATCGGAAGATGCGTCTCGATGTCGACCCCATGAGGTTTTGAATGCAATAATGATACTTTTTGGCGAATACCAAAGAACCGACTCCTATCCTTCTTCTGCTCAGTTTGTTTTGAGGGCTCAAGTTCGACAGTTTTCGTGTCTCGGAGAGGGAGGATGAATGTCGATGAGGCAGCCGCGGACGGCGTTGACAATGTTTCGGATGCATCAGGCAGTTGCTGTTGTTGTTGTTGTTGCTGCTGCTGCTGTTGATGATGATGATCATGGTGGTGGTGGTGGTGGTGGTGGTGGCGATGATTTTGTTGGCTAGCGTTAAGCTGGCTCAGCTTTTCGAAGTACCGCTCCGAGGCGAATTCAGTGATGTGAGGCGGGTCCATGGCGACCGCGCGAGGGGGTTGCTCAGGCATGGTGAACAGTCCTTCAGTATTTCGATTCAGAGCGAGTGACGAGAAGAGTTTGCGGAAACGAGCGGCCAGGCCGGCCGGCTCGAGTAGGTAAAGCGCGTCTCTATTGTTGGGTGAGGCAAGCACTAGGCAATCCTGACATGGCTGGCTGAAGTCGATCAAGCACGATCAACAGGTGTTCGTAGGAGAAGCACCCAACGTCGTCGGCAAAGATGACGCAACGAAACGGGATAGAACGAGACAACGGAGAGCTTTGGATGGAAAAGAAGAGTGAGGTTACGACGAGGTCGCGGGTGAGACTCGAGGCAGTTTTAACGGCTTCAATTCCAGCAGGAGCAGATGGCGGGTGGTTATCGGGGTGATCGTATTCGCTCAAGTCCTACCTCGACCCGAGTCTGAATTGGCCATGTGTTGATAAGGAGAGTGAGAGAGGAAGCGTGCTCGAGGCTATAATACAAAGTAGGTCGTCGGCAGGGGGAACGGCGGGACGTTTCGGTCGTAGGAGAAGATAAGGCAATGGAGGTCGTAATGGCGGGATGAGGAACAGGTGAGGACACAGAATGGAGCGGAACCGCAGTCAAGAACCAGGACACGGACGAGGAGGCTGACGCTGACGACGAGACGGGAAGCGGGAGATGGGAGACGGGAGATGGGGACGACACGGGGCGTTGCAGCGTGGACATACTACGGACTACAGCCCTGGGGGTGGTGGAGCTATTACTGGAGGGTGGGCAGAACAATTGAGCACTCGAGGACTTGAGCACGGCAAGTTGGGAAGGCAAGAAGGGCAGGGAATAGAGAACGGCGCATGGAGAATGGATGGCCAGCGTGGGCTGGCACCCCAGCCGCCGCCGCTGGTTCGTCGAAACGGCCGTTTGGCCGGCCTAATAGTGGAGTGGGAGCGAGAATGTACCGACGACGTTTCAATCACACTGTGCCAATCAGCAGCTGCGTGTCTAATCTACGTGGGGAGCCCGGGTCAGGACAGTACGCCACGACGGGTTAACTGTGCTCTGGGTGGGCTTCGGCCTCATTTGCGGAGTCACCCAAAATGTCGATATGTCAAGTGTGTACATCCCAGCTGGCAGCTCTCAGGTGCTAGCGCCTGTGCGGATTGACGGCACCGAGTACGGACGACCGAGTGCTCGACCAACTTTGCAATCGAAGCCGTGGTCGACCATCAGAGACCGAAACCCAACCGGCATATCACCAGCGCGCGAACTTTTGGCCAGCACCCGAGATAACGACTGGGTGCTGGTGCTGGACTGTTGGGACTAGGAGAAGGTGAAAAAAAAAAGACAGAAAGCCCCCCAACTCTCGCTCCACACGCCCTTCTCCTGCCAGACTTCCTCCACGGTGACTCCGGTTATCTTGGGCCGACCCCAGAGCCAGACAAAACTGATTCATCCACACTGAATTCCGCTATACAGCCTCAGAACATTGCCATATTCATACAATGCTCCGTACGGAGTACTGTCCAGGCCCTCGCTGGCTTTGTCCGGGCCGTAAAGTTCTACTCCTACACCGTCTTGAGGCCCACTCATGACGGATCTCGTTTGGGTCTTGTCTGGTTGGACACAACCTCACCATGGAATTTAGCCGAACAGGACCGGCGGCGACCGTCAGCAATGACAGACGTAAACACCCTTCATGTCCATTTGATGTGTCGCTCAATTCTTCGACTCTGATGATCGCGCAGCCTACCGGCTCGCAAGTCCGCGACTCGCCAAGGCCACATGGTTATTCCTACGTGCTTGCATACCTCGTCGGGTCGGCATCGCCCACCAGTAGTTCATCTAAAACATTGGCACGGTTTTGGGTCGGTAGAGTTCCGACAGCCAAGTACGAATTTAAAGGGGGAAAAAAAGGAAGGAAAAAATTGGGAGCATTTACAGGATTCGTCTTCTCTATGCCGCACAACCCCGACCAACTTGTTGGCATCATGGGGCGAGGACGGCGGGATCGTCCTTGTGAGCCGTGCTACAAGCTCATTTCCTGTTGTCTGGGGGAGAACCCAACTGCCGAGGCGCATCGTCAAAATGAAGGTTTGAATGGTGTGACATCGGATACTACTACGAAAGGCTTGAAAGGTATTCATTGATTCAATGCCGGCGATGATGCATTCGTTGAGACGGTGATGTAGCACTCATTATCCTACGCCGTGCCTACCATTGCATGGCCGGTGACCATTGGCGGGTGTGTTTATGGGTTTAGGCCTTCTGGCAGCGACTAAATTTGCAGCTGGCAAAGCGGACGTGCGTGTCTTATTATGCGCAGTCCAGCCATTGCGTTGCGTTCGATGTTTGGTCGTTTCGTTTGTGGTTGTCTGACTTTGTTTGATTTGCCTTGAATGCTGCCAACATTTGAACCAGGCAGGCACTTGCTGCAGGGGCAGGTGGAGCGCCGGGTGCCGTCCACCGTCGATGTCATTGGCTTGACATGGACCGACTGGCCACATCCACGCTCTGCCATGTGCCTCGATGCTGCCAGGCGCTGCATGTGCTTACTCCCTCCTCCTACACACCCCATATCACTCCAACCGCATGCCATCTTGCTCTCATGAACAGTAAAATACTGCTCATGACGCAGGATGCAATATACCCGAAATAAGGGGCTCATTCTCCTGCGAACGCAACGATTTCGTCCCTGAATTCTTGATACGGCGACGGCCAACCTCAGAACGAGGTCACAAGGGGTGCCTAAGGCCACACCCCGGCCCTTCTCCGGTGGTTTTTGAGACCGACACCCGAACTCAAAGTTCCGTGTCTCGTTGATGTCGATCCAGCCAGCTTGGTGTCTCCTCCAGCAGGCCAACTTTTGCAGGTGCTACTACTAGTATCAGCCCAGACGTAGCCCCTCAAGCGAGACGCGGTCCGTCAGGGCAGTACCAAACACTAGAGGCATTGTTGCTAACTGCGAGGTAGCAGCTAGATAGTTCCAGAGTGCCGCCGGCTAGCATTGGCGATGATGACTTGTTCAATGGCGTAATGATACGATTTATTCTTGGTACTTCATATCTCGGTCACGACATAGATACAATTCTGTCGACTGGCCGGCCCCTCTGTTGATACAACGCATTATTACTTCCCGTGTCTACCAATCTAGGGCCGATTCAGTGCCACGGACTCGACCGCGACGTTAATGGAGCATCTTGCTGGTCGCTCTTGCGGACCCGACGGGTCGTACCTCTCCACACTGGTGACGCCGGTTTTCTCTTTGCGTGCAATAAATATGCTATGGGTCGACCCCATCCTAAACAACAACACAGATGTAGTATTACAAGGGCACTGAGGATTCCGAGTGATTCGGACTGCAATAATACCAATACTTGCGCTGGGAAGCAATGTCACCACAGTGCTATAACGTTCCCGAGCTCACTCCTTGCCTCCGCTGCCGTTGATATCGCTGCCTATCGTCATCCAATCACATGATCACGCCTTTACTAGAACAACATGATTGCCTTTTATAACTTAGTTGTGGAAGGGAATCCTCACCTCAAAAGATGCGAAAGTTGGATCAAACACGGTTGATATTTGATTGTCACCCTCGTCATATTTGATGTCTTACCTTAAGGACTGCGTGCTTCGGCTTGTATGCCAGCCAGGTCACTGTTGATAGTTCGCACGACGACAAGCAACGGCCCGGCAATGTACACCCGCTCCAGTAGTTTTTTCGATTCCACGCCGTGCACATCTGGTGCTTTAACATGGCCATGGTCCAGAATCTCCTTGGCATGAAGCACGCATGTAACGGCAGAACATGGGATCGCGTGCGTTGCAGATGCAACCTTATCAGCCAGCTCCACGGATAATGTTCGCTGGTGCGCAGGCACGCTCTCCCTCGCAAATTCGGGGGGGGGAACGTACTAAAAGGGGGAAGCAATTACACCCACTCGCAGGTTCTATTATTAGGCGTCATAAATCCAGTTATTCGAACCAAAAAGACAAATGTGCAACTTGATCATGTCGTTTGCAATCAAGTACTCGATCCGTGGATGACTTTTCCACTCCCATGTCTGAAGCCTATCTACATAACTTGCCAGATAGACGTGTAGAGCAACTGAGTAGACTTTCTCGGCAAATTCACCCGAGCATACAAGCCTTTAAATCATGGAATGAGGCTCATCTGAAGCGAACTAGCCTGTTACAACAGGACTACTACCAGCAGTGGTTGGTAGTATTGACAAGGTTGGTCGGCACTCTGCCGAGGACGGATGATGCGACAGTGTAGAAATGACTAGAATGGCCAAGTAGATGAATGAATCAAAAGTGCCGCCCAGTGGCAATGTTCCCTGGGCCAGGAATGGAGAAGTCGAGTCGACAACGGCCAGACATCGGCGCAAGTCCAGACAGGAGGTCGTACCGCCGAATGGTATCTGAAAAAGGAAACATAAGGTCAAATGGTGTTCAACCGGTGTGGATGACGAGGGAACGGCAAGTTGGGAGTCTGATAGCCACATGTAATAAGTGCATTACCTGACACAGCATGCATCCTTGCCCGTGACGACGCTTCTGTGTCATCTGGCCGGTACATTACTACATTGTACGGAGTACATACATACGGAGTACGTGCGGACGTAAAACAGATGTCCATGGACGATTTGGGTGCTTGGCAGAAGCCGGGCCGGCCGGTGTCATGCTCGGCGGTTCTGTGATGCCCAGTAGAAAAGGCCCCATTCTTTCGTTCAAAGCACTCGGTCAATATGTACCATTCGGCGGCTCTCGTTATCGGGACCCAGCGCCCATGGACGGGTGGGGTCTCGAATTCATTCCGAGATAAGGTTGGTACTCCCATCTCGGGCCATGAAGAGTCGACTCGGCCGTTATTGCGACGCAATGGGGCCTGATGGATACTTGGGTACCAACGTGAACGATAGGGGGTCAAGTCGCGTTTTCTTTGCCGTTATGCCCCGTGCTCAGCACAATACATACTGCAGCACATATAGATACTTTGGCAGTACTTGGTTAGATAGTATACGCGGCGCATTTAGTATGATCGGGAGGTACCAGGTAAGTAGATAGATACCTTGGTCTGTACCCCCCATGTGCCTGCCCGACTTTCTGATACCTCTCCACCGGCAAGTCGGTCCGGTTGCGAACTCGGCACCATCCAAAAGCTGGGGCCTTGGGACATGGCACTGGCGTCAGTTGACCGGATTTGGCCAGGTGCAATGGTTGATATTTGATATGATACTGAAGGGAGAGCTGCATTTTTACTGTAGTATGACAGGGTAGGCGCTCAGTGCCCTCCTCGGAGCGTGTGGTGGTCCGGCCAATGGGGGTAAATAGGTCTACATATGTAGTCAGTCCTCTTGCGTGCCTGGGCAATTGCAAGGCGGGCTCGTCATGCAGACCACATGCACATGTTGGGCTGCCCGGAGGTATGTCCTGGCTGGTGTTTCAGACTCAAAGACTCGAGAATGAATAACTAAGAAGGACATTGAACGGGGAAGAGCGATTTCCTTGAACCCACAGAACTGGCCCGGTGGCCTGGTGGGCTTGGGGTTACAGGATCGCCACGGGTGAAAACTTGCTGCGCGGGTTGCTGCATGTGCTCTACTGTTTGGATGCGGGATGATAGTCAAGTAGGTACGGAGTAGTGCCTGGTTCGATTGTGGCTTTCGGGAGGCTCGTGCGCGCTGGCATTTAAATTGCCTGTCCTTGACACTATTCCAAGCAATGCAGGTACGTCGGCCAGTGCTCGAGTGATGGATGTGAAAGAATGAAAGAACACGCAGCTCGGGTTAAATAGGATGCACAACTACGATATACACGACGAATACCATGAAGCCATACAATGCGCCGTTGGAGTACAATATATACTTACCAAACATCGTATACCCTACTTAAGTAGGCAGGCACCTGACATCCGGTGCACATTTTCCCCGCATAATGCCCGTCCCAGAGGGTCCAGGGTAGCAAACAACAGCACTTGCCTCTGATATTATTTCCATCATCGTTCCTCATCGCCTTCTCGTTGTTCACTTGTTTCGCGGGTAGGTGTATGCTGTGAAATAACGCGCACACGCGGGATAACAAGCAGTCCTCACTCTCCAGCTTCAACTCTCACTTACTCCAACATGAACACACGACGCTCCAATCACGTCAACCGTAGGCATGCTGGCACTTGACTCGTTGCCCCCCGTTGAGCCTGTCATCGTCGTTGAGTCTTCGATTTGCTGGTCTCCCTTGGCACCCTTCAATGACATGTTGCTACCGACCCCTCCATTTCTATTCTTGGCCAGCAATAGTCTATCTTAGTGCGCGGCCCTGTACCATACCGGACTGGACGTACGTAGTGAGTACGTACCAGGTGCGATGAGGAGCTATTTAAAAAAAAACCAAAAAAAAAAAAACCAAACCAGCCGACTGTCAGTCACCATGATGTTTCCCCGCAGCAGTCGACAGCAGGCAGTAACGACTCCGACGAGTAGCAAGCTGCAAGCACTTTGACTGACCGTCTCATTCCGCCACCCTCGTCCATGTCAACGGCTCAGCTGCTCGTCTTGCCACAACGGTTCAAGGCTGCTTCCCAGGTTGCCAGGTTCGTTTTGGCTGGACGGAGAAGATCCGCGTGCCGTGTATTCTCAAACGTCTAATCCCCCACACGATCCAAGCAAGCTTCAAGCTCCAAGCTCTCGGCTAGCTCAGTCGGCCCGCGAGCTTCACCTCTGTTTCTGTCCGCTGCCTCTGCCTCTGCGTCGGATTCTGCTCTGCGTCTGCGTCTGATTCCGGCCCCGACATATCCGCTCACGTCATGTCCATGTCATCAACGCCGCCATCTCGCCCCTGATCCAGGAACTAGTCCCGACTCCATCGCCGGGAGCCAGCTGAACATCACCACGCCGTATGCCCTACATCCACGATGGAGCCATCACCGGAGCCTCCTCGGTCAGCCATGGAGTCTGCCTCTGCGTCGGCCTGTGCGTCGGCCTCGACATATGCGACCACGGTCGACGCGCCGCCTGAATCCTCTATCGCCACGGCTCATCTGGCACGCTTTGAATTTAGCGACTTGGGCACCAAGATCCTCATGGTTGAGTGGCATCCCAGTTCTGCCGCCGTCGCCTCCTCCTCATCGCCCTCCGCGCACTCGTCCACTGGTGCTGATCATAATACTGAAACCGATACTACTGTTGCTGCTGATGCTGACCCCACTACCGGCGGCACTCTCGCCGTCACACATGCACCCTCCACACCCTTGGCCCCTAAGCCTGCTCCAAACACAGATGCCGCTCCCATACCCGGTGCCCAGGCTATCAAGAACCGTGATTCAGTTTCGGCTGCAGATGCCACTGTCTGGGAAGTTTCCTGGCCAGGAAAGTCGACGTTTCTTCCGGCCAGAGACACCGACCAAGATGAAGTGGGGACTCGCCGCCGTGTGTACTTCCTTCTGCCACCAGAAGCATCTATTCCCACAAACGTCACGATCACGCCCCCAGGTCAACCGAGCATCCTGGTCAAACCTCTCCCCGCCATTTTCCCTCCTGGATTCAATGTTGAGTCTGGCACTCGCGGCGTCTTGCATACACTATGGGCAAAGAAGCGCTTGTCGGAGCTCCAGTGCGAGATGGATGCTGAGATGCGAGCTAACGCGGAAAGTGTTGGCTTAGAAATGGCTCTGACTGAGAAGCAATGGATCATTGACAATTTTCTTCCTCCTCCATCCTCACCCGCACCTATGTCTCCTAGGTCGTCTGTCCCCGGCCGGCTGGGAGATAAGCTTAAAGGGCTTCGGCTGGCTACTTCGCCTGAAGATCTAATGCCCAGTGCCACAGGTGAGTGTAATTCCACGTCCCCATGTCAATACTTGGGAAATGCGATTAGTTGTTGACATGTGGCCACAGCAAACACGTTTACCGGTGCCGACGTTCCGTCACAAACATTATCGCCATCGGGCGGTGATATTGCTGTATCTTCATTCTCCGCCATTTCTCGTGGCAACGGCCTCACACAAGCCATGTCATTAAACGCGGTCATGCAGGGGGACACGCCAGCAATTGACCTGAGCTCTCGTGACGACGACGATGATCTGTTCGCCCTTCCGCTTAGTCCGCGGAGCCCCGAAATGAAAAGGAGCCCATTCAGTGCTCTCTCATGATTGTAAAACCTCGAATTTCGCACAACTTTTGGTGGCTTTTATGATGTGGTTTACTTTTGTCACTTGAACTTGCACATGATACCCATTGATCGCAAGCAATAACAAAAAAAAAGAAGAAAAAAAGAAGGAGGAGAAAGAGCAGTTAGCTGGCACGTCGGATACCCTTGTCGTGTCTATCTAAGACTTTCCTCTGGGTTGACCCAGATTTTGTTTTGGAGGAGGGACTGAGTAGCGCGTATAACACATAGAGAAGCCCTTAATATTAGCATTGCCAGATAGTTACCCTCACTCTTTAATGGTTTTACAATAGCCTCGACTGGCAAGAGAAGCACCGCTGCACTAGCAAACATGACGCACATCAAAATATAAGTATACAACGTGAGGAGCAGTGACAAGACGAATCCCGATACAGATCCTTGTGTAAAATTATAAAGGTCATGTAGCATATGTATCCCACCATGCCCAAGGAGGACAGTGTCAATGCCAACCATGCCCTTTGCACAAAATAGCGCCATGGATTTCCGTCCATTCTCAGCCGCAGATGTAAACATGAACAATTTGTACAAGTTGCCCCTTGAGCTTATATTTTCAGAGAGCCCCCGACGATCCAAAAATATACACGCGTCGCAGCCTCCACGTCCACCCAGCATGTCTAAAGAAGAAGAAAAGGAAAAAGGGTAAGTCATCAAATCGTAAGCATTAGTCGTCGTCGCCGTGGCAATCACCGCCATCCGCCCACCCTCCCCTCATCCCACCTCTCCTTCCTCTCCTGCCTCAAATAACACAGCACCTTTGCCTCCCTGTACCGCCGGATCCACTCCGTCAGCTCCCTCTCCGACGCGGGCACGCCGTCGACGCCCGCGCCGCCGCCCTCGAGGAAGCTCTCCTCCATGGCCTGGCACACGAGCGCCTGCTCCTGCACCCCCTGCGCCAGCTGCTGGTACAGCGAGGCCGGGGAGAACGGGGCCAGCGCGTGGTCCATGTCGGACTGCTTCTGGCGCCACTGCCGCTCGAGGGCGTGCGTCGCCAGCAGCTGCGCCTGCGTCGTGGAGCGCTGGTGCGCGAGCCGCGCCTCGGCGCTGCGCAGCTGCTTCGCCAGCTGGGTGTTTTGGTCCAGCGCCGCCGAGAGGTTCGCGTGCGACGTCTTGGTGCTGTCGCGTGATGAGGTGGGCGCGTGGGCTAGGGCGTTGAGCAGCACGGGGTTGGCGAGGATATCTGCCAGGTCTTGCGTTCTGAGGGGGGTTCCTCCTTTAGTATGGAGGCAGTAGCGGTTTTGCGGTCTGGGGGGAGAGGGGGCAACACGTACGACTTGTCTCTTAGTATTTCGGGGAGCCAGCCGTCGCCCGGGTCGGGGATCGGCTCGGAGACTGTCAATGGGGGAGGCGTTGAGGTCGCAGAGACGATTTGGCCGTCGTTCGGGAGCGGTCGAGGTAGGAAGGGCGCGGGAGGTGGTGACGAGCTCGTGGTGGGAGTGCTGATGCTGCTGACGTCGTGGCTGCCGCCTTTGGGGGGCGGTGCCGGGGGCGTCGAGCTGTGCAGCTCTGGGGTGAAGCTGGACATTGTGTGTTATGATGCCGCTTTCCTCCCTTTTTTCCCCCGCTGTGATGTGAGTCGGGATGTGTTCCTGGAGGTGTAGTTGAATTAAAGGTGGGAGAGAGGCGCATCGAGCTGCGTGGCGTTGGTGGGGCGGCGACAACAACCGCAAGGACATTACATTGTGGGGATCCAGCAATCAGAAACCAGGCTGCACATGTCGCAATAGTACTGATCTCTAATTATTTACCCAAGGTACCCATGCGATGAACATGAGATCTTGGTACTAAAACTACACGGTTTACATTACTCCTGCACTCAAACACTAGCCCAATTACAATTCTACTCCGCGTTTCCTGATCTTGTTGCAGGTTATCCTGACTTAGTGTAAAATATGTGCTCTGCACTCCCCAAAAACCTTTAAAAAACCGTGGTACTTTCGCAACTGACCAAACTGTCTTTCTTCACTTAGTTTCTGATGGACCACAGATCTCTTGACCACCCCATATATCGTAGCTCCTTGCTGGCCGAGCCCACGGGCCTCTTGCTGTCCCCCGTTGCAATAGCTAGTGCCTTGCTGCACGCTGTAAATGCCTCCACGAGTTCCGTCATTCGCCCGGCACTCACAAACGTATCCGCTAGGTCAGAGTTCCGTTCTGCAATGACGGAAGCCAATTCCATACATTCGAGGAGGTGATCGCGTGTCAGACCAGTTCCCGCAAAGTGTAGCGCGCTGACGTACGCCAGGATCGTCTCCGGTAGGTATGCTTGTCTGAGCCTTTTAAGCTCATTGTCGCCGGCTGTAGGGTACAGTTAGTAATCTTGTCAACAAGCATGCCACGGAAGGCGGTTCGCCAGCTAGACATACCTTCAATGCCAGATAAGAGCCAGTTGTGCAACAAGGGCTGCATGTTGTCCTTGGTCGCGTCAATTGTCGAACCCACGCCGTTCCAGAATTCCCGGTTGGATGCATCAGCACTGATATGTGTGTTAGCATTTCCATGTTCTTGCCGTGGGATTAACAAATGCCAACGTACTCCCTAGATATCACAACGAGCGATGCCATAGTCTCGAGGCTGTCGAGCGCCTTAACAAGAGCCTCGAGTTCTCGGTAGTTCCGCGCGTCAGCCATCACCTGCTCTGGCCGTACATTTTCGATACCACTCAGCTGCAGCTGTTGAACCCAGAAGTTGATATCGTCATACATGGCGACATCCCCCTCGTCCTGATCCGTCATGCCTCGCATAACTTCGCTATAAGAAACCTTCTGCATCAGTCTTCGCGCTGCGTTAAGCCGGCAGCTCCCTGTTGTAGGCCGTTAGCACCTTGTATATACAATCAACGAGTTCGGAGATGCCGGCCTGCAGCTGCATACTAAGGAAGAATTTGTACACTCTTGTGCCAATAGAAAATACCTGGGGCCAGGTTTCGCTGACCGTCAGAAGCCACTCTAGAGATCGGATGACATGAACATCTTTGATGTCAACCTTGTCCTCCTCCTCCCCAAAGAAGTCGGGTTTGATGGGCCTGCCATGTCGAGCAGTTGCTGGGCCATCACCTAAAATGTTAAACAATTTTTCGGCAGCAAACGAGGTTGCATCGTGATCCAGCTCGTCAAATAATAGGGTCGCCTGCCTCTCCACGAACGCCAATACGTCTATTCCAGCGCGCTTGATGAGTTTGAGTTGCGTTATGCGATTGCTTGCGTCGGGTTCTTCAATGACATTCCAAGCAAGAACTTCGTAAGATCGAGGGCTGTCCAAGACCGAGCAGTAGAGTGGAATTAGCTCCTGGAGCTTGCATCGTCTTAGGTAGTCTGTGTAACTAGCAAGAATATTCTCCTGGATGAATCGTTTGTCTGGGGGGAACCCAGGCTCCATCCAACTGTGGCGATGGCCTTCGAACCGTTTTAATAGGGCGATGAGGACGAATACGTGAGCGACAATTCGTAATCCGCTGTGCTGTGAAAAATCGAAATACTTCCCCTCTATAACACCATCAGCGGCTGCAAGACCCCTGCGAACAAGACGAGATTTTTCAAACTCATTCGCTCGTCGGGTCAGCATCTGTCCTTGTTCAAAGAGATGACGTTCTAATTCCTTCGCAATGAATGACGCCTGGAGGGCCTTGTTGGGCTCTCTAGCTTGCGCCTCCATGTCTGGTCTTGATTCAATAGAGTTGACGAGTCGTTTTTCAATGCCCTCCTGGTTACCGTGGAACTGTACTGCATCAAATGATGGGAACGATTGCGTCATGTTTGAGGCTACATCAGATGGGCACTGAGATAGCATGTGTGCGTCGATTTGTGATCGAAGAAGGGCGTTATAGTTGGCAAAAAGGTAATCGTCCCACGTCTTTGCTACCTTTTCCACACTCAAGATGTCTCCTGACAGCACTCCGTACACAGCCCGCTCGTCATCAGAGGAGCCTCCTTGTCTTGCCAATGCAAAGCACATTCTTCGCCATAGTGCCAAGGCTGACGGGTCAATATTCGATGCGGGACTCTGGTTGTCGTCAACAGACAGTGGCATGGCGGACATTGAGACTGCCCTCCACAACTCCGTCCGCTCTTGGCACCACTCACGTATATCTTTCAGGTTGCTACCTCGTCGCAAATGCTTGAAGCACCCAAGCCATATAGCGCGCTCAAAGAATTCATCTTGAGGTTCTAGCTTGCGGCGCTGTCGGGTGGAGGCATCAGGGTCGAGGTGTGTAACTAGCGGTGCGCCGTCCGCGTTAAGATGGGATGCTGTCACGTTGGGCGACTGACGATCTAACAAATGTGGCCATGCTGTCATGCTCTTCCTGAGCTTTATTTTAGATCGTGTGTGAAGCCAGCCGTGGGCAATTATGTCCCCTCTATCCGCATCTTGCTGAAGTTTTCGGGCTAGGTCGTCGATGTCTGGCCCAGAGGCAGAATTGGTTTGCAGCCATTGAAGAACAGCACGGCGCTCCAAGGCAATGCCGTCAGTCGTGAGGTAGTCGCTCACGTAGTCTCGCTGTGCCGGTTTCGCGGCCGAAAGAGGAGAAAATCGCATCGACTCATCATTGGAATCCGAATATCGCAAAGGAAGAAGCCGCCGAAAGAGGTCCCACGTTTCAACCTCCTTTTCCAGCTGTTTTACATCGTCCGAGTTCTCCATTTTGCCTCCATTGCTCAATCGCTCATCCACGTCCATGTCCATGTCCTCGCTGCCACCTCGTGCACTCTTGGGCCGCTTCTGTGCTAACCGGCGGATCGCATTCTCGTGGTACTTGCGTGGGAGGTCCAAAACACGAGACTTTTTCTCTTGCACGCTGAGGCCTGGCATTAAACAAGCATCCAAAGCGTTAGCAAAATCTTCGACCTCTGGCCCAGGGTTTACAACGCCCGTCTGCTGTTGCTGTTGTCTCTTGCCCGGGTCCATCTTGTTCGCGACAGGCCGTTGGCTCTCCACTGTATATGGAACTGAGTCGAAAAACAAAACGGTCTGTAAAAGGCGGTCGAATGCGCGGTCGATGACTCTGTCGGGTGCCCGCCAAACAGCCTAATGCTAACCCGTCAGATTGTCAAGAGTTTCGGCTGGGTAGCTTCAGGCTGGCATCGGCATGACTCCAACGCCTGCTGCGAGTGAGGATGATTGGCAGCAATGGGCGATTTTAATCACTGAGCTTATTAATTCGTAGGTGACGGGCAGCGTTGTGGTTGCGATCAGGGAAAGTTGGCCAAGCTCGACGTTGATTGTGTGTTTGCAACTTTGGAAGCGCTTGAGCTCCAACAATGCACCAAAAAAGTTGGCGCTAGACGTGCTAGGCCAGAACGCGCCCAGAGTGCAATTGATTGACTCGACTTGACAGCGCCCGCGCGGATCAATTGATGGCACATGGCGCTACGGGGTACTGCGATATGCAGTAAAGCGAGGCCGGCCAGCCCCCCAGTGGGTTGATAGAGGCACAAAATTTTGCTGCCCGCTTATCTTCCTTTTCTTCTTCTTCTCATCAATGTCACGGCATTCATATTAGAGTCTCGGAACAAGACCCCCCAATGCTTGTTCAGATCTACGGATCTCTTGCGCGCTCAATGACTGCCTAGAAAATACTCGGCGCTCTTCACAAAAGTTACCTAATTTCTCCTGCTGGTGGACATCGTATACGATGAGCGTTACATGCCATTTTTGTACAACTGATTTCCTTCTACTCCCCTTGATTCATTTGCTTCATCTTCAGGCGGAGCAAACTGGGCTTGGGGCAGCTTGGAGTGCTCGCATCATCGCCATTCTTGTGGTAGAATGCGTCGCAGCATTCGTAGAGAGCCTTGACAACGTCTTGACATTTAGCATCATTGTAGTTGTTCCGCGTCAGACAGTCTGTTGAGATGGCCAACGTTAGTATGTTCTGGTCGCCGTTATGGAGTTAGTCCATGCATGAACTGGTCTCACACCTTGAATTGCGCACTACTGGTGAAGCTGCTGTCAGCCTTGATTGCTGTAGGATGGTTATGAATCATTAATCTTGTGGGCGATACTGACTGCTCTTGGATGGCATGGAGGCTTTGCGTCGACATCTGCCTTCAGAGAGCCCTATTACATGGCATTAGCAAACCGTCCAGTCTCTTGCAAGAATGTTGTATAAAGCACCAACCATATTTAAGTCGTGAATATGATGGCTTGTTTTGGGAGCTCAAGAGTGGCCAGCTGTTGACGAAGCAAGCAATCTTGAGCAAACCCATGAGAGAAATGTGCTGTTGAGAATGCTGTTGTTGTCGTCATTGAACAGAAATAGGGTTAGGGTTGGCAAAAAAAGTGGAGGGCAAATATTACACTGTGCACTCGGTCGCAGCTCGAGGGGCAGGCTGCCGAGTCGCCCAAGCCACCGTCAAGTGTGCAAACCCACCGAACGCCAGCCGCCAAGTGCCAGTACTCAAGGCCACCAGACGTCACTGCGTCTCGCTGATCAGTGCTCAACTGCCTACATATGTACTTAGACTAAGTACGGAGTATGGAGTCAATAGCATGTCAAGTGTGCCAAATTACACTGTGAAGGGCGTCTCCACCTGTTTCTCACCAGACCAGACCTCTCTCGCCACCGTTCCGTTCCCCGTACCCGCTTCACGCCAGCACAGCCAACCAGATGCCCTCCTGCCAACGATTCCGACATCGCCCAGTGCCTGCTTTCAAGGCCTTCTTCCCTTCGACAGGTTGCTAAACTCCGGGGCGCAGGCAGGATTTGGCACGAGCCAGGCGACAACCAAACGCAAAACGAAACCAAGGGACCTTCAACCTTTTCCCCGTTCCCCAAGAGCAACCATAACTTGCCTCTTGCCAACTTCTCCTGCACCCTTTTTCGCATCATCTATTTCTATCGTCGCATCCGCATCACAAGCGCCCGCCGCCCATACGAAAAAACCACAGACCAAAGAAAACAGGAACCATGTCCAACGAAGAAGGCCACACGTCACCAGAGCGAAACGAGGCGCCCGCCGGCTCAGAACACCTGAATCTTAAGGTCACTGACAATAACAACGAGGTGTTCTTCAAGATTAAACGCAGTACTAAGCTTGAGAAACTCATGAACGCCTTTTGTGAGCGCCAGGGCAAGAGCCCCTCTTCTGTGAGATTCTTGTTTGAAGGCTCGCGGTGCCAGCCTACTGACACGCCTGATACTGTACGTTTTTCACCCCGTTGCGCTTCACGCCTTTCTTCGTTCGATAGGCATCCTTCCTTCTGGATTTAACTACCCAGGTAGTCTTGAAGCAGTCCCGTGAGGCGTGTATGACTAATCTCCTCGCAGCTTGAAATGCAAGACGGCGATACCCTCGAAGTCCATCAAGAGCAAGTGGGCGGCTCGATTTAAGCCAGATCAGATGCGATAGGACACGCACATGTATTCGGTCGGCTGCTTGGGTTCGGTGGCGTTAGGTAATTCTACAGGACAAAGATGATACAACGGGTCGCATTTTCTGTGCAAACGAGAACGACAGACCGTTTTTTCTTTTTGCATCTTTGCTTCTGTAAGCATGGATTCACGGAATCCATCAACGAGATAGTTCGCAAGTTTCGTTTTATGATGAATTTCAATACACACAGACGACGTTCATGATTTCTCAATCAACCAAAAACAATCTCACACACATGGTTCCCTCGCCTGCCTATATTAAAATGTGATGCTTGGAAGAAATAACAACAAATTCAAAAACACCCATGCGGGATCCCTTCATATACGGAAGAAAGTCCCTTTTCGCTCATAGTCCACACTGTACAAATCATGATGATACCCTTTGATCCTGATGAAAAACTCCCTCCAAAAATTCAAATGACACAATGCAAACGCCGCATAAAAACCATGCTCCATCATGCCTTCAGATCACGCGTTCGGCAGTCTGTACAGAGCACAACCATGACCCCTTTGACTTCCTTTGTGAAAATCTGACCATCTACAAATCCCCCTTCGCATTGCGCGCAACGGAAACAGTGCTCATGCCACTCACCACCGAGCGCTTGAATGTACTGACCAATCACTGCCTTCTTGCACATCTTGCATTTTGGCGCTCGTCGTTCTGTTCGTTTGGTTTGACACTTGATGCACCATGCATAGCCATCTTTCTCGATGTGAGTCATGCCATGCTCAAAGGGATCACCACACTCTGCACAGAAGAAATGGCCGTAGTGCCAGTGCTCCCCAAGAGCAACGATGTGTTCCCCAAGAATAGGAGTCTGGCAATGTTTGCAGCGCGGCGCGAACAGTTCATGCCAGTCTAGGTGACAGTAGAAGCGAAGTCGCTCATCCCCATCTTCCTCCATGGTCATGCCTGGTACCTCGTCCAGTATTTCTCCTGCTTCGCGACGACGAATGCGCTCAAGGCGTGCTTTTCGCTGCAGCTCTGGCTCAGGGCTAATCTCCATGGCCTCTAGGCTGGTACCACAGGAAAAGCAGCTAAAGCATTGGGGGTGAAAGCGCTCCTGAGAGCCGCCCAGTGCCACAAACCTGCCCTCAATTGGAAAGCCGCATTCATGACACGATGTGGTTGGCCTTCTAATGCTGCCAACAGCGGGAGACCAGTGACCACGAGGCATCTGAACTTTCCGTGCTTTAGGCTGGGATGGTGTTGGGGCAGGTAGGGGCCGTGAGCTGCCTGCCTGTTTTGTACGTGGTGTCACAACGGATGGCACGTTCTTGGTTGCCGATTCATCTTCAACAGCGATCGTGGGGATATTCATCGGAGCAACATCCTTCTTCCTCGAGGGGTCATCACACCCAGCTACTGAGATCGATGGAATACTCGCAGATGCCGTTGATTGCGGCCTCGGCGGGTCGACCTCTGCAACATTGATAATAGGGATCGCCATAGACTCGGGCGGCTTCTGGTGCGACTTGATTTTGACGTCGAGCAGCGAGATTTTGGGTGGCCGGTCTGGGCTGATATCAGTGGACTCCTCAGGCGGTTGCCAATTAGTATCAAAGCTTACAATCGGCCGTCCAGGACTGTCGCTAACGGCGGTCGGTTCTGGCAGCTTTACGCTACGGTCTTTCAACCTGAAGCTTGTGGCAGCGCGAATATCGTCACTGCGAATCTCTACCCCGTTCTTGCGTTCCACCTGGGGCTCTGGTTCAGCTTTGGCCTGTTGAGAGTTGGTCGTATAAAACGCGTTCCGCGATTGCGATGGAGGATTGCGATGGATCTCAATTTTGTTAAGCGGTTTGGTTGAGGACATGGCACTGTTGGAAGCCTGGCTTATCTGAGATCTGTTGAGAGGATTCTGGGGAATACTGCTAAGCTTGTCTGGCGACGCGCGGCCACCAGACAAATCCAGGCTCTTTTTCACAGAGCCTTCGGGCTCTTCCCAGATTTGATCGCCTGAGAATGGACGCTCCACTTCCCCGCTGATATTCCTCATAAGACTACTGCGGCGGCGGAAGCCAGCACCAACGCTGCCATATGGCTTTGTTGGTCTTGTAGAAGTTTTGGCAGACCGCGCAGAATCCGAGGATGCTCGATTGCCAGGTACAGATCCAGAGCTATCTGTAGAGCTACCAGACACAGACCGGGAACCAGGATCACGACCTAACCCACTAGGGGCAATGCCATCACCATATCTACCGATGCTTGCAGTACGGGCATGGGCATAACTGTTCTTTCTAAGATGAGATTTGTAGCGATATGGCCCGTCTGGCTCAGGTTCTCGGTATCCATGCTGGTGCTGCCAGACCAACTCTGCAGCTTCGTTCAGAGCAGCATTATAGATACGGCTATCGTCATCAACAGCAGCTTTGGAGCCATCGCGAATGTCCATGGCTTCCATAGCATCACGCAATGAGAAGGCCTCTTCCTTTTCCATCCATCTTTGGCCTCGCTCCATGTAAGTCGCGGTTGGGACCACTTCTGATGGTTTCACGGGTACAGCTGGGCTGGTTGGATAGTAGTCTCGCCCACGGGTGCTTGATATGGAGTATCGAGAGGTGACTGTGCCCGTACCAATGCTTGGGGCCTGTGATGGCATGCGCTGCGGACTCGTCTGGTTTGTCTTACTTGCAGGCTGGGATAGAGGCGGAGGGTCCATGCTGTGTCGTCCGAGGCTCGTGCGTGAGGGTGTCGATCGGCCACCCGATGGCGGCAGAGGCCTCGCTCCACCAGGTCGTGCCGTGCGGTTGGAACGCAGTTCGGAGAGATAGTTCGCTGCGAGAGCAACGTCTGTCAGAATAGAGCTTTGTATAATTCTGTTTATGCCCTTCTCATACCAAATTGATCGTTGGACATGTAGGTCGGCGACGGCGGTGTCACCCTTCGGGTCTTAGTCCCGCTGGACTTCCCTATCGTGGGGAGGCTGGCGTTGGCCATGAGTGTCGTTGAGCTGAAATCAAGAACAAATTTACAGTAAAGTTGATCACGGAGTCAATAAAATCATGAATCAGAAGTGGTGAGGTGAGTAATAGGCAGTATTTATGAGGAGGTGTTCAAGGGTGTTGACTTTCCCAACGTCGTTGGGCCGGACTCTGGAGCACTGTCTTGCATGCTGTGAAGTGCATGCAGTTTTGTACGCCAATCACAAAGGCCGGGATTGCAGGGACTAGAGGCGGCGGTTGGCTAGGCAACGCGCCACCAACGGTCCGGGGATCCACCATGGAACAATGGGACGGCAGTTCAAGAGTGTGAGCGAGCACGCGAGACGGGCGAATCAGCGTCATCGAAGCCATCACAGTCATCGGTTGTTCTGTTGCAAGTGATGGTTTCATATCAACAACAGCTATAATACATAGGAGTGTTACAACGAGAGACCGGCCCAGCCGCTACCATCTCAGCTCGCCCTTGACGCCTTTTTCAGGCTCTGGTTGTGTTTTTGTCTGGTCCGGTTTTGACGGTTCCGCAAAACCCAAGTTTTTGAATTCGTCCTTGGCCATCAAGTTTCTACGGCAAAGGAAGAAATGTAAATTCCTCGGTTAGCCTCAACTGCTGAGAAGCCCACTTGTCAAGCATAACTCACCGGTCCATTCTGCAAGACAGGTATGCCTTGGCAAGATTTCGGCATTCGTCCTCATTGACACCCCTCACTTTTTTCATACAAGCCAAGTAGTTGGTCATTACTTCCCTGCATTCGCCTAGATGGACTAATCAGGATAATTGTTCCTGTTCTCCCTCGACTCAACAACTTACCATCGTGGTCCAAAGGGAAACTCCCTCGCTGCGGACTGGTTGAGTGGGATTTGCTGGTCAGACTTGTCTTTCAATTCTCCCTCGATTGGACGGACAGGGCCTGTGAACTTACGGCTTGGGCCTCGTCGACGGCAGACTTCCTGGACTGCCAAATGTACTCATGGCTTTGGTGATTTCTGTGTCTGCATCTGGTCACGCCGGATATTCACAGCGCATGTTGTGAATTGAAGCAGGGATTTGGTCTTTGGATGTGGTGAGCTGAGCCGCGTGGTTCAGTCTGACGGTGTGGCGCAGGCAGATGCATGTGGCCTGAGGAAGAAGTCAGCATTCTGAATCTGCGTGGCCGAGCTGGCCGACAGGGCCAAAAGTGGGTGTGTCAGTTGGTGCCTGTGGCGGCCCTGGAAATAAGCCACACATCATGGATTGCGCATGAGAACACGCAGCCGGGGCAAAATGACCTTTGCAAGGCGATGACGGGGGAGCCACAGTACGGAATTTCAAGGAACATTGAGGGCTCCCAACTCCAAACAGAGCTGAAATGGCAACGTCGCCAGGACTCTGTGCCCCATTCCACGTAGTTTTCCGTAGTGCAAACTCTCGGTGCGCCAGAATACTACCCAGGTATGTCTGTGTAGATCTGGAAGAACCTAGTGAACACTGAGGAAATACCCTGCAAGCAGGTACCGAGTTACATCCAGGTACTTGTAGACAGTGGATTGGGTGTTCTTGTCGCATGAACTGTACTCCGTATGTACTCCGGCCAATGTGTGTACATCGTGCATGCGGTCGCGTGGCCCACCGATAAAGTCACTCCCAGCAACGTCCAACACACTAGACTTCAACTCGAGACCCACGCCTGCGTCGCTCAAGTGCGCTTCCTTGGATCCAAAGTCTCTGTTCCAAATTCAATGTCGACGCGCAGCGCAATCCTCGACTACGTGCTGCTCGCTTGTGTATTCGTGCTCCGCGCCCGCGGCCACTTGACCACCCCAGCTGCAGTCTTCCATTCTCTCCGGTTTTAATCTTTTCCCAGTAGCCTTTTTGCCATTGTCGCAGTTGACGCTGCACCCCCCCGTTGCCATGGCTGCCCTGGGCGAGGACTTGCTCACCACCGTCAACAAGCTGCAAGATTTGGTCTTCAACACCATCGGCAGCGACTCCCTTGACCTCCCACAGATTGTGAGCCCCTGTGGACCAAAAAATTAGCAATTGGCACTAGTTCCTAAACTAACAGCGTTATTTTAGGTTGTGGTCGGCTCACAGTCGGCTGGTAAATCGTCGGTTCTAGAAAACATCGTCGGCCGGGACTTCCTGCCCAGAGGAAGCGGCATCGTCACCCGCCGGCCCCTGATCCTGCAGCTCATCAACGTCCCCGAGGACGACAGCGCCCCCGATCCAACGCTCGACCCGTACCGATCACCAGCCGCCGCCCGGCGATCCGAGTGGGCCGAGTTCCATCATATCCCTAACCGACGTTTCAATGACTTTTCCGATGTCAAGCGAGAGATTGAGAATGAAACCACACGAGTCGCCGGTAGCAATAAGGGCATCAACAGGCAGCCCATCAACCTCAAAATCTACTCTCCCCATGTTCTTAACCTGACCCTGGTTGATTTGCCAGGTCTGACAAAGGTAAGCCTTGAGCAAAACTTGTTTGCCCAGCATACCTGCATACAAGCCGTTTCTAAAACTTGTGCTTCCTGCTCTAGGTGCCTATTGGTGATCAGCCCACCGATATCGAGAAACAAACGAGAAACCTGATTTCCGAGTATATCGCCAAGCCCAACAGTCTTATTTTGGCTGTGTCGCCGGCCAATGTCGACATTGTTAACTCGGAGGCGTTGAAGCTCGCCCGACATGTGGATGCCCTTGGCAGAAGGACCATCGGTGTACTGACCAAACTGGACCTGATGGACCATGGTACGAACGCGCTCGATATCCTTTCTGGCCGTGTCTACCCCCTGAAGCTTGGATTCATTGGTGTTGTCAACCGGTCGCAGCAGGATATTCAAGGCAACAAACCCATGGAGGAGGCTCTTCAGGCAGAGATGGACTTCTTCAAGCACCATCCGGCCTATCGCAACATCTCCAACCGATGCGGTACGCAATTCTTGGCCAAGACCCTCAACTCCACACTTATGTCGCATATTCGAGAGCGGTTGCCAGATATCAAGGCTCGTCTGAATACGCTTATGGGCCAGACTCAGCAAGAGCTGGCTAGCTACGGTGACATGGCCTTTAGTGGCAAGGAGCACCGTGGCTCGCTCATCCTGCAACAAATGACTCGCTTTGCAACCTCTTTCATTTCTTCCATAGATGGCACTTCAACGGAAATTTCTACTAAGGAGTTGTGCGGTGGTGCCCGAATTTACTACATCTTTAACTCTGTCTTTGGCAGCTCGCTTGAATCCATCGATCCTACTTCTAATCTTACTGCCCTGGATATCCGCACCGCCATCCGGAACTCGACCGGTCCTCGACCCAGCTTGTTCGTTCCCGAGATGGCTTTCGATCTGCTGGTTAAGCCCCAGATCAAACTCTTGGAAATCCCCAGTCAACGCTGTGTCGAGCTTGTATATGAGGAGTTGATCAAGATCTGCCACACCTGTGGATCTACTGAACTCTCGCGATATCCTAGATTGCAAGCCAAGTTAATCGAAACGGTATCCGACTTGCTCCGGGAGAGACTTGGCCCCGCCTCTTCCTACGTTGAATCTCTCATCTCCATTCAGCGGGCGTATATTAATACCAACCATCCCAACTTCCTTGGTGCCGCCGCAGCCATGAGCAATGTTGTCAGCGCAAAACAAGAACGTGAACGAAAACGTTTGATCCAGGAAGAGCGAGAGCGTCGGGAAAAGCGCCGGCTCAAGGAGCTCGGCACCAATGGAGAGCCAACAGAGGATGGGGAAGATGGCAGTGTCACAGAGAAGGGCGAGAATGGCCGCAAGCAGAACTCCAAATCTGGCCGGAGCCTGTCACCCGCTGTTCATGAGAATGCTCATGGAAGCCTTGCCGCTGCTGTCAATGGCATTCGGCCTAACTCTCCTTCACGGGTTAACGGTCAAGGCTTGGGTGCCAGGGATACTTTTTTGAACTATTTCTTTGGCAAGGATGGCGCTACTCTGCAGAGTGCCCTGCCTGGCAGCCATGCAAACTCTGGCAGGCACATCAGCCAGTCTTCTGAGCCAAGCATATCTCAGTCTATTCGCCGAGAAGAGAGGGTTGCACTACGACCTGCCCCCTCCCACTCTCAAGTTGACGAGTATGATCCCACTGGACGAAGCTACGGCCTTGCGTCACATCTTGTAAGTCTACCGATGTTTGATAATGCTGATATGTCGTCTAACGTTCTCAATCGTTAGGGTGAATCTAACGAGCCCGCCATGACCGATCGTGAGGTTATGGAAACTGAGCTCATCCGAGCTCTCATCTCTTCCTACTTCAACATTGTCCGAGAATCTATTGCCGATCAAGTGCCTAAAGCTATCATGCATCTCCTGGTCAACCACTCCAAAGATGTTGTTCAGAATCGCCTTGTCAGCGAGCTATATAAGGAGAGTTTGTTCGAGGAGCTCCTGTACGAGGACGATGGTGTGAAGAAGGAGCGCGAGAAGTGCGAGAAGCTCCTCCAAACATACAGGGAAGCCGCCAAGATTATTGGTGAAGTTTTATAAACGCAAGACAAAAATTACTGTCCCGGTTTCGTTTGTTTTCCCCCAAGATCTCGTCACGTTGTCAATTCGGTATTGCCACTTTGTTGACATTATAAAGAAGAGCAAAATGAAGAAGAAAAAGACCAAAAACTTAATGATGGGGGTGGCGTCTTTATACTTTGCACATGCTCAGCGTGGATTAGAGCATAGAGGACGTTGATTTGTAAACTCTGTTAACTTTTATGTACACCATGACGAAGGAGGGAAAGAAAATGTGAATCAGTGTTTGTGAGGGAAACAATATGTGGTTGGGGCTTATGGCGGTGGGAGATGGAAGATGGAACTACACGTGCCATGCCACTCAGCACTTTTTGAAGGGGAAAACGGGAGGGATATATAGTGTATCGCCCCTCTTTTTGTGTATCTACAACTTTTCACTCGGCTTGTTGCACATCTTCTCTCTGTATGAAATCGAAGAACATGTGTTACTACTGCGTTCAAATGATGCTATTTGCAAACTCGAACGTGAACTACGGGCATACAATAGGGCTACAGGGTTCCTGCTAGTAGTATAGTGATTATGCATTGATTAATCTAAAACATGATTTATGCCAGTTCTTTCCGCTTTTGTTTTCTTATCCAGCGCTGTATGATGCCGTGGCTATAATAAAATCAAAGCAAGCAATCCTAAATTACAAATATACTTAATACAAAGCGGATATCCGTCTAGGGCAGTGTACGCCAATTCGTCCATCTCCGTGTAAGGCTAGCCTCTCCAGGAAGCGGCTGGAAATCGAGGATCGTATTCCTCGTAATCCAAGCTTCTGGGGTTGCTTCTCATTGTACGCTCACCACCACTCCTGATGTCATGATTGTGCTGACGCTGAAACTCGTTGGGGACCGCGTATAGTTGAGGGCGGTCTTCGTAGTGCATTTCTCGTTGGGAGGGATGCCGAACTGGTCTTTTGATGAAGTAGCTGCCGTAGGGGTCGAATACTTCTACTATTTCGTACAATTCGAGTGCGTGGCTTTCGTACTGAGGGTATGGAATGTGATGTGCCTGCCTGCGCACATGGGTGTGGTCGTTTTCATAGCCATTGCCCAAGTGGGTGTTGTAGCGGCTGCTCATTGCAGATATGGTCTGGACAGGCTTTGTATATCCTTGCTGGTTGACACCGGTTCTTCGGTACTCCATGTGCCTGGGGGTCGACGGTGGTGGTGGAATCCCATGTTGCGGCAGCCTGGTATGGGATTCATCATGTATGCGATCATGTCGCCTTGACCACACAGCGGGCTGCTCAATAACTTCAAATCCATCGAGTTCCAGGCAAGGGACCGCAGAACGCTCGTTGCTGCATCTGAAGGTTACCTCAGCCAATGCCGATGGCTGCTGCCACTCCGTTTTTGGTGATCGACTAACAGCAGCGTAGCTATTGTCGTTCCGTCCAGCTCCATGGCCACAGCCGGGAGTCTCAAACGCCCACGGCAGGGCATCTGAAACCACGTCGAGAACCTCCTTGTCATCGCCTATTACACTTCGTAAGTTCGTCAAGGTTGATGTTTCAGGAAGCCAAATCATGTCCTGCCAGTCGAGTGGCTTATCAATGGATGACACCACTTGGTTGCTATGCGTCCTATCGAAATGCCTTGAGAGTTTGACCAGTGTGTAGTCCTTGGACTTAAGACTCGAATGAGAGTTCAGTTTACAAGGCTTACATGAGAGGCCAGGAACAGAGCCAAGTTGACTCATAGAGTTGTGAGTTTTAAGCGCCCTGGTGAACAATTTCAAGGGCGCTGCCTCAGAATGCTTGGTCTGGAAAGATTTTGCTATATGGTGGATGACAGCACACACTCTTACAGAATTCTGGAGCCCCTTAACTTTCGCCAATTTCCGCCAAGTCTTCTTGGCTACCATGACAATATCATCTAGGTATTCTAAATTTGGAGTCGGAGCTTTCGCAGATTGGACGTCTGTCCCGTGGTTTGTAGACAAACTCATACCCAGATCCGGGGTATACGGGCTATACTCCAAGCCAGGCTGCGCTGTCACCGACTGTGGCAGTTCAGGGATGCGGAGGAGAGAATTATCCGAAGGCTCTGTCTTCGCTTCTGTCCTAAATTCAGCAGAACGCTGTGAATCAGCTTTGAAGACGGGCTTCTTTGGCCATTCCGCTCTCCAATGTATAACAGAGTCACCCAGACTCAAGGCTTTTGTATGATTGGAGGCATAGTGCCACAGCATGCCATATAATTTATAGAACTTGGTGCTTCTTGCACAGCCATTGCAACGAAAGACATTCTTACGGACGGCATTGGTGTAGGGTTTGATTTTCTCGTCAAAAACCCATTTCATGTCCTCCAAAGTGAGCTTCCGGGTCCAAGGTGCTTCTGGTGGTTTGGTGATTAGCCTCTTCCCTGAAGCTTTGTCTGCTTTGGCATCATTCGCAATTTTCGCGTAAAATTTGTTGCGGACGTAAAGAAGAATGTCTGCCGCAAATTGAGGGGCGTTCTCCTCGGTCACCGTTTTGATACGCCACTCATTTTGGATGATTTCATCGGCAAATTCAGATATTTGGCCTCGCAAGAGTCCCTGAGCTTGATCCCAATCGGCATTCGTCCCTATGGCAACACCCCGAGGACCATGAGGATCTGCCGCAACCAAGGCTCCGTCTGAAGAATGGGTACTCGACACAATTTTCTTTAGATGCTTGGGCTTCTTTTTCTTTCTCTTTTTGCGTTTATTGGCTTGAAGTTCTCGTTCTTTGATCTCTGCTTCCTTTCGCTGCAGCAGGAAACGCGGTCTCAGAACCTGCCAAGCTTTGGCATTTAGCGGCTTGGTTGATTGAAGAGCCTCATGGAAGGCCGGCATATGTGCAAGAACATTCGGTAGAATTGGCGGCTTTAAGGTTTTTGCCCGCCGCTCAATTTCACCTCGTCTTGCAGCCTTGAGTATCTCTGCTTCCTCACTTGTTGGCTTCGATTTGCAGTCAGATACTGTCATATCCTCAATGGAGGTGGTCTGAGCCGACTCGACTGGAGCATTTTCTTGAGCTGGTAGATCTGCAAGTCCCGAGGCTGGAAGACAGTCATGATGCACGGGCAAATCTTCTCTGTGCTCACCATTAGTGCGAGCCTTCATCTCAACCGATTTGTTGGCTGTTATAGCCAGGCGTCCAGAGTCCGGCGAACGCCTAGTAGTCAATTCTTGGTTATTGGCAGCAGTCTGGACGCAAGCTCTGGGGCTCAGTCTGTGCATTTCATACACGCCGGCAGCAATATGCCACCTTTCCCATCGAGCAACATCAGCCAGACAGCGTTTACCCTCCTGCCCAAGGCCTTTGATCCATTCCTCTGCAGCAGCGGGACCAAGTCCCTTGACATCTTCAAATGCAGATTTGATATTTTCAATTTGCTCATTCCAAAACACCTTTATAGGCTGGGCATGTGATAAGCTTGTGGTAGAGACTAGTACGTGGGGAGGTACAACATGATTCTCCTGGCTTAAAAAGACCATTGGCACCCCGGGGAGTAGCGCAGATGGTGTGGACGAGTTTAGAAGTAGATCAATCTCCTATGGAGTATTAGGTGAGAGGCCTTGCCAAGGGACATTAAAGCACATACCGTAGTACTCTTGGCCCTAAGGCACCGACCACACGACACAATAAAGAAGGGAAACACGGGAGAGACACCCTTGGCGCCAGGCCCTCGCCTCCACTGGTCCCCTGAGATATCGGCGGCGGAATCATCACGAAACTTGCAAAACTGGCAAACTCGTGAGCAGCAAAGGCGCCACATTTCCAATTCTGATCTGCCTTCCAAAGCCGCTGGCATCCGCGGCCAGAACAGACGTCGTGATGCCTGCCATATGGCATCAGATTCTAACCTCGGGAGACTGCGGGTGTCAGAGGTGCCGAGAACACGTGTTGACTTGAAGCCAGACGAAGGGTCGAGGTAACTGTTGAACTGTTTGTTCACTAACATCAAGCTACCCAGGGTACGTGGTGGAACAAAGGTAAAAACATGGTGCCATGCCTCCGCTGGCAGTCGTGATGCCATATTTTGACGAATAGATTGAGGAGAACCCGGCGCCTCCTGGTCGTCTTGGTCCAGCCGAACTCGCTTGGAGCTTCGGAGCTCCTCGGCGGAGGGGCCACCTGCCAAATTCCTCTTTCGCTCGGCATCTTGAAGATTATTCGGTCGATTCTTGTTCGGCTGGGGACCCTTGGGCAGCCTGATTATGAAACGCTCTCCGCGCTCATCCAAATGGTATATATCAGCGGCCATCGAGCCGTGGTCTGGATCTCGTGCATGCTGCGTGTAGTTTTCGAGTTTGGATTGGCGGAAACGCATGCTGTTCAGACCCGGGCATGCAAGATGCTATCCTAATATACGATTCTGAAAGAGGTCTCAGTGCATAATGAACGGGATAGTAAATCTGATCCTTTCTTCCCGGGCACCATTGCGACCAAATGATGGAATATAGCTGCCCCAATGTGATGGATTGATGTAGAAATTTTTCTATCCTACCGTCCAGAGGGGCGAAAAGTGTCCCACGGATGCAACATTGGCCGTTGAAAATGAGAAGCCACGTAAGAGTGAAGCACCAAGCTGAGGAACCGGATGATAAATGAGTGCAGGGTGTTTTTGCCTTTTTTTGCGGATTAGTTTTTGACATATGAAATTACACCCTTACCTACCTGCGTGTATGTACATACATAAGTAGGTGGTATTGCAAATCCTGACTAAGCGGCGCTGTCACTATTGCCTGAGAATCACTTCACCTCTTTCTTCCTCACATTTTCCTGCATATTTTCCATCTGTCAATTATCTATGCAGTGCACACTAACACGTGAAACGGAGATTCTAAGAGTAGTGTGGGTGATATTAATTCTTGCTCAAGCTAGTCAGTTCAGTGTACATCAAATCAGCGAGCACCATTTTTTGTTGACTCCTACTGTCACGATGCCAAGCTACATATAACGTCAAATGCCATTCAAAAATGCCGTAACAATCCCTGCACGACCCTACTGGGAGTTCGTCATGTTGGCCTCCTGGTCATTTGATTCCCCGCCATAAATCTGAAAGCTTTGGTCTGCACCCCAATTTGCCGCTTGAGCATAATTCTCGAATGCACCCTATACCCCTGTTAGTCAGCGTGCAACCTCCAGCTATCATTATCCCTAACGCAGTGCTTAACATACCCAGTCAAAGGTGGACAACTCCGGGCCAGACCCAGAGCTAGCACCTATATTTGTGAACATAGACAATGGTGACTGGGCGCCGATGAGATTCAGCCCGTCACCCGCTAAGTCACCAAGATTCGGAGCGGGAAGGGTGAATTCCATCCCCATGAATGCACTGCTATTGGTGTTGGTGAATGGGCTCATTCCAGTGCCGAATTCAATAAGTCCTTCTGACTTGATTGTGTCCGTTCCAAGTGACGCATATGACGGATCCAATGCGGAGCTAATCGCATCAGTAGATGGGAGGTCATAGCGCGTATTGGATGACCCGTTTGAGTTTTTTGTCGGGTTCTGTAACTTCTGCAGCATAATGTCGATCGTCTTGGACGCTTTGAAAGCCTCCACTGAGCCATCTGCGAGGCTCTTCCAGATGATCGCCGCGTCTTCCAGCGTGCTAATCATCCTGGCCCTCTCCTCTGGAGACCATCGGAATGCACCCTCGGTGTCTTCAGGCAACTCAGACTGCTCAGCGAGATTATCGTAGTGAAGATCCAGAACGATAAGCATGGCTGGAAGAGTAAATTCCTTGATCGCGACCGACTTGACGTACCACTTCATGGTTCGCAGTCGACCGTTGCTCTGCGATTCACGATGGAGAGTTTGCAAGTGCTCCATGGCTTGCAATGATGCCTCAATGGCGCTTCTCCTTGAGTGTGCGTACCGAGGATTTTGCCTTGCTCTGCAGATGTACTTTCGATGTAACAAGCACATAATCTTTTGGCATAGAATGTCAATGTTGAATCTAGCAACAATCAGCATGACCGGGTCTCGCGAGCCGGCCAGAGGGCTGATTTTCAGATGAGGAGGCAGCTCTTGCATGATTTGCCGCAGTTTGGCGTCAAAACGAATAATTTCATCGTAAGGTACGCCCTTGTCTACTCTGTTTGTTGCCTGCAGGATACTGCCGAGTTCGATGCACAACCTGGCCTTGGCGATCATATATGAAACTGGAGTCGCCTCAGTAATAGGTCTCGAAGGAGGCAACTGCCTAGTATCTCTGTTAAATTCGTCATCATAGATATTATTTGGTAGCTGCGTATCACAGTCGTGATCATATATCATGCTTGGTAGTGACACCTGGTGAGAGAAAATGACGTCGGCCATGCGAACCAATGCCCAAGTTCTTCTTCTCATTTCCTGCTGGGCGTATCAGACGGCTGTGATCAATCTTCTACAACAGAAATCTGAGCTTACCGCTTGGAATGGGGTTAACGACGGAAACCACTTTGCGTCTCTGTGGTAGCCCATCCGGAAGGCTATTCTGATAGTCAAAGATACAATCATCCATAGGCCGAGATCAGCATCCCAACGGGAGGAGTACTCGCCAAAAACGTAGAGCAGCATGGTCTCCACAGTGTACTCTACTGGCTTGGTGTAGTCGGCCTTCATCAGGCATTGCACAGTCCGCAATCTGTACTCAGCAGCAAGTTCCAACGTCCTGCCTCGCCACTCTGCGGGCTCATCTCCGACTTTGTGATAACTCAACATGGCAAGAGACAATATTGCGTATAAAAGACCCAACCACATCACGGGTGTTTTCGATGGGTCTTGCCAGTGGTCCCGGAGTTGTTGTGAAAAAGTCGGTCCATGGATGATGCTGACAGCATTGTCCATGGAATTGAAGTAGCGACTGCAGAGCGCAAGAACATTTGATTTGGGTGGGAGCTCATCACGCAGTTCTACTTCGGACGCAGGGGATGCGCCCAGAAGCAATGTAGGCCCTTCCCGTGCGGTCGCCGGCTTTGATGATCTGACCTTCTCGTAACTTGACTCGAGTTCGTTTTTGTGACTGGTGAAGTAGTTTTTGACCTCCGCGATGTCTGCTAGAATCAGATGCCAGTGTTCCTGGCCAAAATACATTGACTTTCCCCTATCAGCGTCAACTTTGAGAACGCCAATGGACTTGGCAAGATGATCATCCACGTCACTGTCGTCTTCTGCCATGGTTGCCTCCTCGTCACGCGCTATCTGAGCCGAGGAGCCACTGTCGGTAACCGACTGAGAGGTGGATAAGCTGGTACGCGGGGCGTTAGTCTCAATATTTGCGCCGTTGTGCATCAAGGAAAGCACAAGGCCCTCAAGCCTGTCTATCCTATTTTGCATATCGTCGGGGCTCGAATCAGCTTGGTTTTGACTTTTCTTTCGAGAAGCGGGGGCTGCGTAGGAGCATGATGTCGTGTCCTTGCCCTCGCGCTTGGTACAATTGCTGCATGGGTGACTTCGATCGCATTTCCTGGATGCATGGGTTAGTAAAAACAATGGAAGTCTTCGTTCATGCTAGCCAGTCGTCTTACAGCCTGGTATGAAATGTTAGTATGACTATCATTATATGGGCGGAGTTCGCCCGTTGGCTTACTTACTTTCTTGTACGACACGGATAACAGCTCAGTGGTACTCGATTTCTCTTGCGCACCACACGAAACTGCTCTTCAGGCGACCCCTTGCCTGTGGAAGAGTTTGTAGAAGGTGGTGTTGGCGTCATTTTGTTCGAATTGTTCTGGATATGGTGGGTGGATGAGGAAAAGCCGGGTGGCTAGGCTGTTTCGGAGATAAGACCTTGGATGTCCAGATGGCCAGGTATGGAATCGCCGTCAACAGAATCGGCCTCACCCAGCAGTGTAGTCAAGAACCCCGTTGAGAAGCGCGGTAAGACCTAACTAGTATGAAAACGACCTGCGGCAACGGCGACTAGATTGAAAGATGATGTGTAGTGAGGAGGCTAGAAACGATCCAAGTTGGCGCTGATTAGAAACCGACCGTCTGCTATGATGTGGGCTGTCGTAGCTGGTATATTGCGCACCTGAATAGAACGCACTTCAGAAACGATGGCACACAGCCTGGATAGAAGCGATGAAAACGAAAACACCGGATGTTCTTTCCGGGTTAAAAGCCTGCTTCTCCCAGAAGTAACGTTTCGTCTATTGAGCGCGGGTTGAGATTGGAGTCGAAGACCCCACCAAAGTGCATGCGTGCCAGAGCCTCTTCTTGAAGTTAGATGCACACAATATCAAATGTCGGTATCGAATTGATTGGATGCCAATGCAGCGACCGAGTCGATACGAAATGGTTACAATGTAGGAGAAACGGCGCGGACGGATGGTCGAAGCGAAGGAAGGACTGGTGAACGGATGCTGGAGACCAACTACGAGAACCAGACGCTGATGCTGCAAACATGTAGAGCACGCAGTCGGTCGGTCGGTCGGTCGGCCAGTGGAATCACGAATCTGCGTAGCAAAAGAGGGCAAGCCCTTGGCGATGAGGTTGAGGAGAGAAGAGGGAAGCGAAGAAGCCGGCATTGGCTGTACTTATTTTATCTAAGCAATGCGCCTCGATTCTGCATTCGTGATGGCCGCACCACTCTTCAATGTTCCCACCTACTGGCACTAACCGGCGAAAATGGGGTGCATGCATGATGCTGCAGCCAAGCGCAAGCCTCGACTTAACGTCGAGCATACTTAAGTAAGGTGAAGGATGTGGGAGTCGAACTCTATTAGAAGGCGGACGTGCGTCTTCTAATTTAACGGCACGGGTACTTGAACCATCATGACAGACTGCCAGAGTCCACAAGTACCCGACACTTCGCAGGCCGCCTAGTACAACAACACGGTCCTTGGTGGACATCTGGAACTTAATGTGTCTGGTCGTTCTACTACCTTCACGGAGGAAAGCCGCAAACCCCGAAAATATTCGACACGCCCGTGATTTTGGCGCTACTATGTACCGCCGTTTACTCCGTACTGCAATGCGAAGCCACCATTTGCAGTGTAAGTGAGAGACACAAGGCTACCGGGTGCTTGCGTGGACAAATATGTCTGGTGTCAAGTATGTGGACAAAGTGGACAGCTCGCAACCATGGCTTATCAGTCGTTGTGACTCACATCACATCGTTGACACACACGGCGAGTAGCAGGAGGAGTTTGATGGAGACTTGACGAGGGAAAAGAGGGGTCTCTGATGCTACAGTGATTTGTAAGCCATATTGGCATAAAATCACCTTCAAGTTTCCGATGGGGTGCTTTTGGGCTTTTTCTGCTGGCTGGCAATCTTCTTGCGGCTTGTGGGTGTCTGGTGGGCGTTGGAGGAGGCGAACTTTCATGGCTGATTAATTGCACAAGACGGTTCATGTACGGAGTAATAGAACTGCATCGGCCCTGTCCCCTTCTTTAGGACGTCTCTTATTGGTCGCAGGCTTGGTGTGCTGCGATAATTCATTGGCTCACGACTTTCTCAACTCCCGTAAGGAGTAGACTACTGTCGACGGTATGCTGTCACCCTCCATGATATATGAAGGTTTTCCATCTCATTTGCACGAATATTATAAACTGCATTGTTGCGTCAGCGGATTGTGCATACAATGTTTAAAACCCAACAAATGCGATGCAGCTATCCACGCGTGCAGTCTCGCGAGTTATTAGCATTTGACGATATAATGTAACACGCTATCGTTCCCAAGTTTCGACCACGTTGTCATGCTCGACAGCTCGATCTCCGTCATGACAAGTCATATGTGCCGCTCAATGGTGCCCATGCTGTCCCGATTTACCTGAAGGTCCAGCAGGGTGGGATAAACAGCCAGTCTCTTGATACCTTACCCATATATTACCCGACAACCATGGACTTCCCCCAGAGCGTCGGAGTGGCGTGGCTCCAAGACCACGATGCAGTTTTCCACTCATATCTGACAGAAAGCGTCTCAGTTCCTGTGCCATATCAACACCGGGATTCTGCAAGTACCCTACTAAGCGTGCCGCCTGGTCATATTCGTTCCTCAAGCAGCAGCATCAGCAGTGCCACCCACGGCATATGGTTTGAAGAAATCCTCATTATTGCCCATTTCCTCCTTGATCTGGGTGACCATGTCAGCAACTGGAGTCATGATGAAGCGTCGTGAACGGTAGCAAGCAGTCGTTGATATGTCACTTACAATATCCAAACCACCAACAAGCTCGCCATCAATCCACAACTGAGGGTAGGTGGGCCACTCCGCAAATTCCTTCAGACCTTGCCGAACCTCATCGTCTGCCAAAATGTTAAAGAAGCCGTACTTGACAGAGTTCTCTCGCAAGATGCCAACCATCTGCCGTGAAAAGCCGCATTGAGGGTCACTAGGAGTTCCCTTCATAAACAGCATGACAGGTGCGGCCTTGACAAGATCGGCCAGGCGCTTGAAGAGCTCCTCCTTCTGCTTCTCGGGATCGACATTCGCCCCGTCCGTTTTGGTAACCGGCGCATTGGTCTGGTTGGTACTGTTGACAGCGGCGGTCGGCGCAGATGCGTCCTTTTGGGCATTCGTCTCGATGGCGGTTCTGACTTTGACGGCGCTGCTGCCGCTGACAGTCTCCACGACCCGACCGTTTCGAACGAGGACAAGGAACGGAACAGCGGTGACATCATAGGCCTCGCTGATATCACTTAGCTCCTCGGCGTTTATAGATACCCATTTGGTGTTCAAAGGGTCTGTGACGGGATATTCTGAGGCGAGGGTGGAGAGGACTGTGGCCATCTGAGCGCATGGTGCTGCCCAGGGTGCGTGGAAGGAGACCACCAACAGGGTCGAAGAAGGCAGGGAGGCGAGAGTCTCGTCCCACTGCGACTGAGTGGTAATCTCAGTGATGGTTGACATGTTGAATGATGAAGGGACCCTGTAGGCCTAAGCGATGTACGATGTATCGTGCACACGTGCTGTCTGCTATCTGTGGCGTTAAAATGCGGTGCGGTGCGATGAATAGAAGCAATGATCGTTTGGATGATGGAAATTTGGCGGGGCAACTTTTTGATTTAGAGGGACTCGAACTTCGGGGGACGGAAAAGAAGGCCCTGAAGGAGGGGCAACGGTGGTAGCCTGTGGTTGGACGGCCTTGCGTCATTTTGGTCGCATGGCATTGGACCACTCGGCGGCAAGTTTTGGCGTGGCCGGAAACCAGCGAACGTGAAGGGCCGGATTAGACATCAATTGAAGGGATCCACGGTGTCGCCAGCGATCATATATTCGGACTCGAGATGCTGATGCGTCCCTCCCTGGGTGGTTGCGTGGATGCATGGATGCGTTGTTAATTTCATGACATGTCGCTCGCGCAGAAGTCGCAATGAGGGCGGTCTGACGGAGCTGGCCTGAGGGGAGGGAACTCGTTTCGCGACATCCAGCTGGCCGAAAGAGAGGGAAAACCAGTAACAACAATACTAAAAGTGATATAAATCCAATCGACATCACACATTGATGCGATGCAGGCGTGCATGGCAGGTCGAGTGCCTGCTTAAGTACCTCCCAGGTACCTACTTAAGTACCTAGGTACCCTAGGATACCTTTTGCCTCGCATTCTCAAGTGCTACGTCTGAGGATCCCGACCCGCTTGAAGCTACTGGACTCCGTACTTCACAGCCGCCTTCAGCTCCAAGCTCCGACACTTTTAAGTACAGTGGGGGGGCAAAAGTCCACCATCCGGTGGGCTGGCAGGTAGATTACATGTAGTGAGTGCCTCACAAGGCCTCAAGTGCTCTGTCAGAGTTCTGCCCCTGGAACACCCTGACATCCATGTCCGTACGTCAGCAGTTCGCACTCTGGACCAAAAGGCTGGTTTGGCCCCGCCTTGCGCCCCGAGCAACGTCAACGTCAACGTCGCCAAAATCCGAGCTCAGCTTGTGGCTTCATAAACCACCGCAGCACCATTTCCTAGCTCCGCCTGGCCAGCAACTCGCTCATTCTCCCCGTCGCCATCTCTCTCACTTCCAGGACAACTGTTGCACTCCGCCGATTCTTCCGGGTTTCAGCGTCCTTTAGTCTGATTCCCACCCCCGACCTATCATACAGAGCTGTCCTTCCAAAGCCATTAACCGGCCCCGCATTCTAAGGAGCCAGGAGCTTTGCTGCCCGATTTAACCGCAACTCTCGATCGACGTCATTGTCTCTTCTTAATTTCTTCAACAACCGAACCCTTCTGACCTCGGCTTCGGCCGTTATTCAAGAACATGGCGTCGTTGAACCTGTCCATCAACGGCCCTTCCATAAAGAGCAGCTACAATGGCGTGGTCAATGGCCCTCCTCCCGCTGGCACCTCGGCCACACTTGCACTGTGGGCGCTCTTCTCCGTCCAAGCTCCCTTGATGAACGCTTTCCAAGACAGTGGTTCCAAGGAGAGTATTCTCAAGGTTGAAAACACCGGAGGTGAGAACATCCCGCCACGAAACCGGCGCGACGAGTGTCTTGTTCCCTTCGCTACACCCACAGTTCTGACGTGAGATTACACAGGTGGTGAACTGGCTGATTTGATCGAGGACTTCAATGAAGGCCGCATTCAATTCGCTTTCGTAAAGGTCAAGGACCCCAATACATCTCTCCCGAAGAATGTCCTCATTGCCTGGTGCGGCGGCGGCGTTCCTGAGCGCACCAAGGGCTACTTCACGAGCCATCTCAATGCTGTGGCCAAGGTTCTTCACGGATACCACGTCCAAATAACCGCGCGCTCTGATACTGACCTGGAGCCCGAATCAATTATGCAAAAGGTTGCCGATGCTTCCGGAGCCAAATATTCTGCCGGCGGTTCTGGGGATGTAGCTCGAGCAGCGCCTCCCCCAGTCAAGTCGAAGCCTGTCTTTACGCCGACCGCTTCCAGCACGGGTAGGGCATTTGATCCCCTTGTTGCTGCGCGCTCCCGGAGAGATGAGAATGTTGATGAGGAAGGATGGGGTGTCGATGCCCCCCCTGTCACGAGAACCGAGATTCAAAAGGTGGAATCTGCATACAAGCCTACAAAAGTCAACATGGCGGAGCTCACGAAGCAAAAGCCGGAGCCTTCACGATTTGATGCCAGCAGTCGACAGTCTGACGGAACTAGCGATGTTGTAGGAGGAGGATATCAGCCTGTGGGCAAGGTAGATATTGCCGCTATTCGAGCTGCCGCACAGAGAAAAGAGGATGACAGGCCCACGCCGGTGAAGGGCGCGTACGAACCAGTTGGGAAAGTCGATATTGCAGCCATTAGAGCCAGAGCCCAAAAACCTGTTGAACCACGGGAAGAAGAAGCTGCGGCGGAACCCAAGCCTTTGGCCGACCGAGCCGCGGCCTTTTCTCACCCCGCCCACTCGGAGAGAATAACGTCATTGCCCAAACCCAAGGTTGCTAACAAGTTCGGAGGCGCCTCCACGTTCACCGGTACAAAGGCACCGACTCCAGGAGGTCTAGGTTTCGGCGGTCCAACTCCTGCTCCCAATGTGCCTGTTGGATCTGCCAGCCGAACTTTTGCTGACCAAGGGGGCAAGACTCCCTCACAGCTTTGGGCTGAAAAGAAGGCTAGACAGGGCGGGTCAACTGTTGGCGCCGGATCTTCGCCTGTTGCTCCAGCATCGGTTACGCCTCAATCGAGTGGAGGGCAAGGATGGAAGAGCGGCTATACTGGAAAGTCCTGGGCCGTGCAAGCACCGGGCTACTCCCGAGATGGACTGGTTGAAAGCGAGCAGCAGCATGCCGATGACCGCCAAAGAGGACCTGCAGACGAGGCTAATGACTCTGCTTCTGGCGTCTCTGCTTTGAGAGATCGTTTCAAGGATACTTCGCTCATCGGCTCAGCACCTACACCCCCTGCGCCACGCCAGGAAGATGCGCAATCTGTTCCCCCTCCACCTGTGCCCGATACCTCTAGACCATCCGGCGGCTTCGCTCTTCCTGGCCTTCCCAGCAGACCGCCGCCAGCTGATGAGGAGGAAGAGGAAGTGGAGGCGCATGCTTCTACATATGAGCCTGCTGGGCAAAGGGAGCCATCGCCTATCCGAGTGGCGGCGCCTGTCGCTCGTGCTACGGAACCCGAACCAGAGCCTGAACCCGAGCCCGAGCCTGAACGACGACCTCTCCCCCCTCCTCTTCCCGCCCAGGAACCAGAACCTCCGGCTCCAGAAGTTGCTCGACCACTAGAGCCGGAGACAGAGCCAGATCATGGAGCCGCCGCCGGAGGCCACCGCGCCGTCATTATGTATGACTATGAAAAAGCAGAGGGCAACGAAATCGACCTTGTGGAAGGCCAGGTTGTTATCAACATCGAGATGGTAGACGCGGACTGGTGGATGGGAACGAACCACCTGGGAGAGAGCGGGCTATTTCCCAGCAATTATGTTGAACTAATCGAGGAAGAGGCTGGTGTCACCCCGTTGGCAGCTGCAGAAGCTCCCTCGGCACCCTCGCCTGCTGCTCGTGGAGCTCCAAGTGCCCCCGCGGCGGCTGGGCCGACTGCAACAGCTTTGTATGACTATGAAGCGGCGGAGGATAACGGTGAGTAAAATGCGTGCATACTGGGTTTATAAAGGACAATGACTAATATGGTTTAAAAACAGAATTGTCATTCCCAGAAGACGCGAAAGTTACAAACCTCGAATTCCCTGATGAGGACTGGTGGTTTGGCCATTATGGTGGCCATGCGGGACTTTTCCCATCTAACTACGTGCAACTGGACTCTTAGGCTTGAATGGTTAAAGAGTCTTTGCTTGTTTAGCAAGGGGTGAAATGTGTTTGCATTTGGCCCTTGGTAGCAGAAAATATTTCGTAGCTGTTTGCAACTACTGGACCGCCCATGGTGGTAATAAAATTATGAATTAGGTTTATGCTTATATGCCATGTTGGAAACAATGTGCTCTTTGAAGAAATTCCTGCTTCCTCGAATCTCCATATAGTTAAGACGAGGTTGATCGATTATGAACCCGTTCATAGTGCGCCTTACCCCTGCAACCATACACACTACATTTTGTCATCACCAGTGTCACTGCTCAGAGTATTAGAGTCACATTACTGTTGCATCATACAATACGAGTATCTTGACCACGTTCACACAAGACCAACAAAACGAGCACATCAAGATATCCACTCCTTTTATGAGACATCGCCCTCTATTACCATAGCCTAGTCCTAAAACAGCCCGGGGGCCTCACAGCACATCATCACCTGTGAGATCCCAATCCTTCTCAACAGGGTTATAAAAAAAGCCCGATCCTGAACAACTAAAAGCGACGAAAGTCCCGTACACCGCGAAAGCAGCAAAGCAAGAATACATAAAGGACGCCATAAACCTTCCCTTAGCGAAGACATGTCTTGAACCAATGAACCTGCTTGCCCCTGCAGGCTTCTGCCATTCGCGATAGTAATTGACATGGATGTGGATACGTAGCGCGTCGTCGTGTTGCAAAAGGGACGTTAGGGGGGAAGCAATGGGATATATGGAGGAATAGAATAAACTGAATAAAAGGGTGTTTTCTCGGCGTAGTTCGATATGAAAGGATTCGTGTTCATGGCGACTGGCACAGGGAAAGCGTAGGCATGATCTGCTTTGGGAAAGCTCTAGGTCGATGGCTGTGGCCAGCAGTCTTTGGGCGGTGTGATGGTTGAATGGCGCTTACAGGAGGCACTCGCAGCAGTCGATGCTGAACGACGGGTTAGCACAGGGGTTCTTGATTCCTGCATTACCACCAAGTGATGTGCGTATACGCGCTTGAATGAGACCGGACCGGCCTTGGCTCTCACGGCCACCATTTGGCGGTGTATGGCAGGGGGCATTATTGAGGGATTTGCTCTGTTTAGAAAAAAAAAAGCGTGAGTGGAATGAATACTTACCAGCATTCGCAACCTTCTTCGACGGCACAGCAGCAGCAAAGAGCTGCGAGACAGGCCACTAAGCAGTTATTGCTGCCACCACGTCGCCCACGAGATTCCTGCTGTGGAGGAGCCTGCTGGTACTGCATGGGAGGCTGGCCCTGAGGAGGAGCATAGTACTGTCCCTGGGGAGGACCGTATTGACCCTGGGGCGGACCGTAGCTCTGTGAGTCGGCGGAAAACGCGATGGTTAGCGTCAGAACGTTTCGGGACTCTGCCGCGGCGAGCAAACAGATACAAACTAGGGAACTAGTGAGAGCTTCCAGAGCTTCAAACTTACGGCCTGAGGATGGGCGGGATAGCCGCCCTGCTGGCCCTGGTAGTACTCCTGGCTGGACATTGTGAGACGGTAGTGGTGGTGAAGGAGGAGGATGGGGAGGAGAGAAGCTGTGTGTAGAGCGACGACGGAATTGAGCGCGGGCGACGAGGTAGCGAGGGTTGTGTATTAAAGTATAATACGAGAATGGGGTCAAAAGACTGAGGAGAGGTAAAGAGGAAGTTAAGAGGCGAGAGGTCGGAGGCGGAGCGAGGGGGGTGTTCGATTGAAATGTCAATCTACGGAGTACCTAAGTACTTAAGTAGGGTACTCAGAACGGCGGAGCACGGGAGCTTAGTGCATGTCTACCTCTAAGTACTTACTTTAGGTACTTGTATGTACCCAGGTAGAATTACTACTACTACTCCGTACACGGCATAGTTGGGAGTCAGATGCACCGACATCAGACTGGGACAGTCAAGGCAGGCCCCCGTAACCAAGAGTCAATAGGCTTAGATGCAGCAGACTAGCGCGCGTGTACTCCGTACAGCACTGGACTCTTTGTCTGAGATGAGTTGACGCCTGTTGACCTGCAAGCAGGCCGGCCTGGTGCTATTTGGATGCTGCCGGTGGAGCATCGGAGCACCAGAGCCCTGGAGGCCTGGGGTTGTGCGGGTGAGGGCGAGGACCTGGACATGACATGTCTAAACACAGAGGCACAGCCCATGCTGCGTCTCGCAGCTCAGTGCTACTACTCCGTACTCTTGACATGGATGGTAGATTGGTTCAGCGCCGACGGAACTGGTGGGCTGTTTTCACAAAGCAGCGCGGGAATAGCACAAAAGCGCGCGGGTCAGGGTCAACTGGTCATTTGGAGGCGCCAGACGGCTTGGCGTAGAACGCGCTGTCTTGTCATTACAGACATGGAGCGACAACAGTATGTACATGCATGTATACTCGACCACAGACCTAGTGAGATTGGCAGACGCAGCACTTGAGGGAGTGCTCCAAGCACAGCACTGGGATGGCCCTGGACGTGATAGTGACACGGTTAGCAGCCATTGATGGCTGCCAAGACAACGACAGCTGGCATCAGGGTGCACAAGTGACCTAAAACAAGAATGTTTTTTTTTTGCTACAGAGTATTCCCTAATACTATCGGACTACGGAGTACTACTGCGTCTGCCCACAACACAGGAATATGACCGGGCGCCAGGTGCCTAACAACCACTTCCAACCCACGATTCACCCACGCCCCCCCTCAATCCTTCCAAACGACAGCCATCGACCAATATTAGCTGCGAGACGCACAAGACAACACGGAGCACCCTTTGTACAAGTTGCAAGGCAGCCCAAACAGCGGGCTAGAGCTTAAACCTTCGTGTTTTGGTGTCGCCGTGGCGCCGCCACACCCAGACAGCTTCCAAAGGGCATGGAACTGAGAACAAAAGAAAAAAAGAGCTTCCAACATAGATCAACCACGCAACCACCCCCTGCTCGTACCAACTACATCAGGCAAAGGCAAGACCCCTCCGGGTCAAATCTGGGGCCCTGGGATGCCGAAGTTCCGGGACAGGGGCTCTGATTAGGCCCCTGGTTGGAGGGAGCTGGACGAAGCACTGGAGACCATGGGGTGGCCGATTGTGGCGCGGTTCATTCACGTTTCGCTGCTGCTGAAGATGGCAGGCAGGATGGATCCCTCAGGCTGATTGACTTTCTGCTGCTGCAACATTGAGCCTACGAGGAGGGCTGCCGGGCTTCAGCGGTTGGTGGCGATGCTGACGACGGTGTGTGATGCATCTTGCTCGGCCTGGGAGACAAGACGTAACTAACTTATTTTTAGGGATCTGTCTACCCACCTGACCGTGGGAATCTATCGACACGTTCGCATGAAAGACAGTGGCTCGGAGTAGCACTGGGGTACGTGGATTTCATCGACACCATGGAGAGGCCTCCTCGGTTGTATTGCGTGTCGAGGCTTCACATGATGCTGATGCTCATCCTCATGACGTACGCACGCCTTAATTATCCAGCGCAGAGCCGAGAGTGCAGAGTGTTCTTTCGATACTCCGTACTTGAAACCACAACCGCGGGACAGTCATCCATTGGCGCTGGCATCCGATACAGATTTCAGAACGTGGCCCCTGCAAAAGTGTGACGGGCTGCTTACACCGTCAACGGTAACCACAGATCTATGGCATTTGGGACGAATCCCGGTCCCGGGCCTTGGTTGCGCGCTTACTTCGTATATATAACTTGGAAGAGTTATGACGCTGCAGATGTTCAACGATGAATGTATGTACGACTGCATAGTACATACCCTGGTCGCTAGGGCTGGCAACCCAGCCAGCCTCTACTTGGTGCTCTACATATGTATGTACAATATAAGGTTGGTCACTAACCTCGTCGAGTCCTGTATCGTGGATGATTTGCCTTTGTGTACGGAGTACTCCGTATGCTGTGCATCTGCGCCTTTCACCATTGGCGAGGTTCTACTATGTAGAGCCATGGCCACCAACAATGTGCACAATCGATACGGCGGCATTTATTCGCCCGAAGCACTGCTTCCTACCATGTCGAGCCACGGTAGACAAGTTACCCTCGCCTGAAGATTGGGATCATCAATGGAAACCCTCCCAAGCTCATTTCCTCCCCACTGCCTGCCATCGTCCCCAATCATCCCCAATACACAAGACATACTCCGTGCCTCGCCAACAAAAAAAAAAAAAAGATGCAGCGGAAGTCGACCGAAGAGAATGCGCCTACTGTTGAGCCTACCCTCCCACCGCCCTCCTGTGCTGCGCCTCACTGGCCTTGCATCCCAGATCCCCAGCCAGCCATCAAATTCTCTTGCCAAGCGACATTCTGTCCACGAGGCCTGTCACGGCGTATCGCTTGGCGTGCCCTTTGTTTCATTTCGTTGGGGACCCGAGGGACCCTTTCAACTCTGTCGTGTTGGCTGCTGAGTCCTGACACGTATTGCCAGTTTAGTTCCGTTCCGTCGCGGGAACACCCGCCTTTTGCGAGATTGTCGTGTCCTTCCGACTCTTGGCGTTGCGGGTGGCATGGGGGGTTGGTTAAGCCCAACGTTTACCACGAGCGTCATGAATACCTGGCATCCTCTGCCGGTTGATTCGTGAACTCACCATATTGATTGGCAACAGTTGCTAGCCTTGGGCTGCGTGGGAATAACAACTCAAGGTTTCAAGAGACGGGAAGGTAAAAGGTCACAGTCGCGAAGAGTTTTGTTCTTGGATACCACTTTTGACGATTCACGATGCTGATACCATATCAGTCATATTTGGCCGACCTTTCTTCGCGGAGACTTGTCACACCGCATGTTCTCAAACGGTTCAATCTCATTTGACAACGAAATCACCAGTGCTCACACCCAAACGTCGATAAATTCCAAGAGCGAGTGCCCTTTGAGAAATGTTCCGTTGCGCGCTGGCCGCGAACCCATAAATAAAAAAACAGTCGACCGGTACTGGCAGCCTTTACCGCAAATACTGCTGACTTGAAAATTCCGGATTAGGCTCAGTCCGTGATCTACACTAGGAGGCAAGAAGTATTTGACCTGAAAAGATCCCCTTTTGTTACGCTTGAAGACACTAGGAAATGTTGGTATATACTAGCTATCGGCAAACACATCTTGCTGGGTGGGGACTGTATGTGCTGTTCTAACTCTTGAGGAACTGGCGGACAATGCCTCCGTTCTACCAGTGAGAGAACTGAGAGGCTGTTGCCTTGAAATATGACGTCAGAATATAATCAGGTCTTGGTTTCGCCCTGATATACATATATATATCGAGAAGCAAAGTGGGAGGAGAAGACTGGCCCAACCCACAACCTCCCACCAGAGCTGGACAGCTTTGTCACCTAGTTCTTAACTTGTCGAAACAAGGTTTTGTACGCCAATATGCCACCCAGCAATCTTTCGCAGTTGACGAATTGAAAACCCATGTCTGGTGTCTCAGAGGTTTCCTGCCGCCGTTCGAGTAAGAGGGAGCTCGGGATTCAATCGTGCAAAGAGTCCATCTCACCATCATTCTGAAAGGGTATCGCGAGTCCTCTTGTCTTTACTTTTACTTTCCACGGCGCATCCGGTTCCTTGCTCAGCCCCCATTGACCGGACTACTTCAGAGAAGAACAGGCGTAGATGGCACTTCTGTTTGTATAGCCGAGAATGCTGGACGTATTTGCTCCAACATGTTCTCGTGCGCGGTTGTATCGAGATGCCGAGCTAAATCAGTGCCGGCACGTGGTCCGCAAAACGTATTATTTGATGGTTCGCGTCGCGTCGTCCATTTGCTTTGTCGAATAACTGAGCTTGATGGCTACGTAGGCCAAGCAGGGCTGACCTCGCCACAGGTCTAAATCGGCATGTGTGTTTGTTTCCCGGAGAGAATGAAAGGTTTAAAGTGATGTTTACAATATATTTGGCCCCGTGTTTCCGCCTTGTTCGTTTCGGACTAAATATGACTTGGTACGCACCGACATGCCCAAGATACGAAATCTCAACATAACAACGGGGATATGGGATCATTCTCCAAAACGAGCGCTCGCCCCTAGCTTCTCAGACTTGTGAGAGTATGTACACACACACACATACACAGTCGACCTCTATGACCACTTGACACGAACCAAATATGGAACCGCGCGAATAACATGCGTCAGCCAAGGCTGAAGCTCGAAAGCCTTCAGCGGGAACTATACTAGTATCCTGCATCCCAGACACCACCAGACCTTCCATTTTTGGAATCATGGGGACCAACGTTTGTCGAGGGCCGGCTTTGGGCAACAAGGAGGCTTCATCACCCAACACTCGCATGAGCAAGTATCAACGCACGAGCCACGACTAAACCTGGCGATTCATTCATCAAAGTCAACTAAAAACAGATAAGCCGGCATCACACAGTCTGCCGTTCTATCAGAAGGGTACAATCATGTAAGCACCATCCTGGTTTCTTTGTGATTCAGACATAATTCATCTGAACTTGACCATGGAGATACTCGTCAGTTACAGGCTGAGCAGCTTATACAATGGCACCACCACGCAGCAGTGAAAAGTCCAACGTGCTCCTTGATGGACGATGACAGCGAGCATCACCCAAGCGCCCACATCTATTAAAACGGCAAAGTTGGCCGCTCGCAGTTTGCTTGCTCGGTCGTGTTGTGCTCCATTGTTCGAAACGAAACCATCCCTTGGTCTGAAAGGCGGCTCTTTGTTATACGTACAAACAAACAGCAGGCCCGTCGCCCGAACCGCATTACTACTTCATGCGGTCTTGACCACTCAACAGAAGACGCCCAACTGCGTATCAATGATTCCTTCGGCTGAGTCTTGCCGGCTGAGCAGCCACCATGGCGAGACATCCGCACCCACCACCCAGGAGAACCAGCTGGGCATGTTCGAAAAATCCTTGCGTGAGAAGGTCCACAATCAATGGGAAAGGCAATGCGTGCCCACGACCAAATGCGACAAGTGTCAGTCGCAGGGCCACAAAGTCCTTCAGAAGTGTTCCATTTGTACGTGGAGCATTTGCCAGGAATGCAGTAAAGATTCCGGACTCCGAAAGAGCGAGGGTCCATGTCACATACTAGATCACAACGCCGTGGACTGGATTTTGAAGGAGGACAGCACCAATGCCGAGAAGGATAGCACCAACTCTTGGAAGAAGAGAACCAATGCCAAGAAGAACACCACCCATGCCAAGAAGACGACTACGAGGCGCGCCAAAAGGGTCAAGACGGCCAACAAGGTCGAGATAACTCTTGTGGCTGTCACGGAAGAACCCCAGGCCAGTGACATCAGTGGCATCAGTGGCCACGCAAAGGGCCAGATTCTTCCTCACCCTCTCCAGGGACAAGCACACAAGGCAATTCAAACCATGCCCGCAAGTTATCCTCCACACAGATTCCCTGAAAGAAATGTCGATGATGAGCATGAAATCGTCGCTGGTATGCCCACGCAGAGGCAAAACTCGAATAGTCCCTACCCAGACAGGCAAGAGAATCCAAGTACAACAAAGGGTTTTGTACCGGCTCAGATCCTTCTGCCGAACCCGTCAACATATCCGTACCTGCCTTCCTTGCCACCATTTTCGTCTGGACACTCCCTGCCACTCCAGTATACGACGACTATAGGTAGGGCCGCTCACGGCCTCCCCAGAGAACCATGGCCGTCCCATACCAAGTTTCGTCAGCCGCTAGCTATCCGACACGGTTCTGCCGACTCGGTCCAAATATGGATTCCGCCGTTTGAGAATAGAATAGGTTATGGTAAACAGACTCGCCCGGAACCTGGGCCCCCAGGACCGCACGAAACTCTTCACTCGGTGCCGCGGGAATTCGTACCGACTCGTGTGTGTGAAGAAGAGCCAAGCAGGGAGCAGCTCGCCCCGGAGTGTTTCACCACCCCCCCGAACCTTACATCTCAATGCCAAGAGTACCATGAGACCAAGCCCATTCTAGGGAAGCGTGGCCGGTCAACATTCACACTACTTGAGCCCGAGGTCAACTTAGGAGTGCCCTACCTAAGACTTGCGCTCTCATTATGCGGAGACACCAAGTGATTGTGATCAATGCCACTCTTGTCGAGGGCGACAGGATCAGAGAATCCAGAGGCAAGAAGGGTCCAAAGAGCACTGTGGCTCAGCTGCGTTTGGTTTGCGCCCAGGATGGCGCAGTGTACCCCGTATGGTTCCCTTTTTCCTTTTTCTCTTTTTCGCGTTTTCCCTTTGTAGTAAGTACATGGGAGGACAACATGGTTTTTTTTCTCTCGCATACTCACGGTCTAGGGGCAATGTCCGACCAGACATTGGTGCTACTAGACTTCTTCATGGAGGAAAACAAGGACTTGTCACGGGAGGAGCAGCACGGTGCGTTTGGCGGGAAAGCGAGGAGACTAATGTATGGCGCTGCAGCAGGAGACAGGAATGAGGAAATAACCCGAAACCATCGCAGGGCACAATGAGGTAGTTGCAAACACAACCAGTAACACAAAACCACCAGACTGCTCAATGGAGGCCAACAGGCCAATCAATGCCTTGCACAATCACTGAAAGACACCAAGTCATGCAAATATCATTCTGCTGTGCGCCTGTATCTAACAAGCACATCCCACAAAAGCCTACTAGTATCATGCAAGAAATATCCTTTTTTAAAAAAAAACTTCTTGTTCGGAGCCCGAGAAAAGCCCCCTTCCGTCTCGGAGCAAAACGGTTTTTTTTTTTTTTAAAAAATCGCTTTTATTCGTCCTCATTACATCGTGGATGCATGTAGCCGACTGATCTGACAGGCAACCCCCCCAAACAAAGCGCCATACATACACAAAGCGTGTGTGCAGCGGAGGGTCGAACCCCCCCCTAAAAACACTGTAGTTTACTCGTTGTCCTCGCCCTCCTGCTCGCCCTCCTGCTCGTCCTCGTGATCGTCGTCCTCGTCGAGGCTGCCGGCGGGGACTTCGTAGAGTCGGAGAATGGACTTGTTGGGGTCCTTGACGAGGACGAACTTGCCCTCCTCGCGCTTGAGGCACATGTCGGCAATGGTGCGGACGATACCCCAGCCGTTGGAGAGGGACAGGTTCATCTGGTTGGCGAAGTCGCGGGGCTTCCAGCCGACGACGCCGAGGATGACGTGCTTGTCGTTGGAGCGGGGGTTGACGCGCGAGACAAATCTGGAAGAGTGGTTCAATTAGCACTGGTATTTTCGTTTTCAAAGCGGAGGAGGATGGGCTCGGTATTCATCGGAAGTGGGAAGACGTACCCAAGCTTCATAATGTCAGACTTGGATAGGATACTCTGAACGGTCCACCTGGCCAGCTTGCAGCTGTTGTTCTTCATCTCGGTAGCTACGACGGCACCACGCTGGGTGACGAGCTTGCTCCTCCAGTCCAGGGCGCCGCCACTGCCTTGAGCCTTGCTGTCGAACTCGTTGAGGGCCCGGATGGTGACGAGTTGGTCCTCGCCGCCAGCGGCGCCCTTCTGAACGGCATCGACCTCGGTACGGACAACCAGGTACACGGGCTCCTCCTCGTTGGTAGAGAGATCGAATTTTCTGTACTTGTAGGCCTTGCTCGCAGGTGGGTCGGCGTCCTCGGATGAGTTGTAGAAGGGGTTGGCGTGGCTCATGTCGACCTTGGAGGTCTCGCTCTCGTTCACCACCTGGTTGGCAAAATTGTGGTTGATGTAGGTGGCCTCCTCGGCAAGGGCAGGGGGCTGGTTGATGCTCTCCTTGCCACCGTCGGCGGCGTCGAGAGGCGCGTCGGCGGCATTCTCATTGACGGTAACCATGTCGAGAGTCGCATTGTCACGCTTGTCGAGGAAGAGCTTGTTGCCCTGGCGCACAATGACAATGTCCCAGGGATAGACGGAGCGAGGAGCGCACATGAGCATGGACAAGATAGTGTCAGTGGCGAAAATGGTGGCCTCGTCCTTCTCGGCGAGCTCCTGGATGACTGGATCGGAAGAAGTGGTGACGTTGTAAGCGGCTCGGTCGATGGCTGTAAGCTTCTTCTCAGCCCCCTTCACGGGTTGCTTGTCAAACGAGCGGTCGTAGTAGTAGAGGAAGCCATAGTTCTCAAGGTCCTCTCCATCATCAGCGTCCAAGTTCAGCTTAGCCAGGCGGTTGAAATCAATCTCCTCGAGCAACTCCCAGTCAGCCTTGATGTTAATGCTGGCATCGCGGTTGCGAGCAGGCTTATCGTAGTCCTTCCAGCCAAAGCGACGGCCTCGGGCACCAGTATTAGACCGGCCACCTCGGTCGTAGCCCTGTCGGCCGCCTCCAGAGCGCTGGAATTGGCCTCGTCCGCCACGGCTATCACCACGACCGCCACGCTGGCCACGGCCTCCTCTGGTGAACACGGCTCCGCGGCCATATCGTGATTTCGTGGAATCTCTGGTGTTGCTGACGATGGAGAAGGTAGACTCGTCCTCGGCGGGAGGAGCGTTGAAGCTGACGGCATGACTGGCACCGTATGCTTGTTGGTCTAAAAATAGGGAACATTGACATATTAGCCACATTCAACTTCGAAACAAGAATCGCAGTCCACCGCGGGACAAGGCGCCTACCTCTATAGTTTCTATTGTACTGAGATCGGCCACGATCACGATCCTTGCCTTCAGCAGTCCAGTCGGCCATACGGCCCAACTTGTCGCCTTTGGAGAAAGGCGCATAGGGCACGCCATTTAGGGTCGTTTCGGAAGTGACTGATGGGCCCCAGCCGTCGCCCGGGGGGCAGCTTTCGCAAACCTTCACGTAGTCGAGAGAGTCGGCCATCCTGAAGACTTGAGATTATTCCAAGTAGACAGGGGTGGTGATGAATGTGGATGGCAGAGAGCGGCTGTCTCAATCGTTTCCGCGATGCAGGGAATTTGGACTCTCGAAGTTGAATGAAATTGTGGTGGGGTGTGGGGCGGGCTGCCGAAAACTTGTGTCGCCCCGCGGCAGCCAGTCAACGGCTGGCAACAGCTTGCGCCCACAAAGCCCACATTTCAATTCTGCATGTCACGAACTGCCCAAGGGACTTGACCATGAGTTGGCTTCGCATCAGCCTGGCGCATCCAATGTAAAATAATCTATCAAGTAGGCATTGAAACATGAAACAGTTCATAATAGAAAGTGTGTGGTATTGCTCCACTTGCAAACAAGAAAAGAAAGATGCTATAACCTCCAACAAAACTCCTTCCCCAACCCCATCGCTGAAAAATATCATGTCGTTGTCGATAGTCTTGCATTTCAATTTTGGCAACCGCCATGCGATTCCAGAGAATCTAGTGAGCCATGATCTCTGGCTCCAGACCTGAGGGAAGCACGCTTTCGAAGGCATCTCTCAGTTCAAACTCCTCCATGACAGCTCCAAATCTAAGCAAGTGAATGTGTGTCAGTGAGGCAGCAATAGCGAATGTTTGGAACATGAGAGACTGTCAGTAACTTACCCATAACACCTCACTTTGCGACCCAACTCTGCAGCAATCCTTGCAAAGTCTTCAGGCTGGAAGTCGGCGAATCGTGGATGACTCAGAATCATCCCCCAAGCCATGACAGGAGTAATCTCCCCATCAAGATCGAGGTGTTGGCTCAAATCAAGCAGCGTGGACAGATCAGCCTTGCTAATCTCCCAAGTTCCCTGAGCTGGGTTGCTTCCATCTCCGTGGTCGTGCGTGTGACTGTTTCCAAATGGTGTCTTGGGCGTCAACTTGCCAAAAGGCGCAGGCGGACAGGTGGCCATGAGGGCGTGACCACACGGCTCACCGCCCTCCGATCTATCGGTAAGGAACGGAAGGTGCTGCATGCAAGGCTTCTCAAGTCTATTCGATAGGCCGGATAAAACCGAAATCGTTAGCAAACTCTATCTCTCAAACCCCATGATTGATATGGGTCCCCCCCTTCAGGAACACTCAGTTCCTTCTCACTGTGGGGGAGGTGATAAGTAGGCCCTCGAAGAAGCGGGATTATCGTACGTTAAAACGAAATCAATGCCTGCTTGCTCAAAATCGACGCCTTTGTTTGCAGACTGTTGTACCACGCCCCGCATCTGCTGGCCGGTCATGGGTTGAAAATTGGTGGAATGGCCGGTTGAAGCCCCAGATTGTGACCCCGGAGAGAATGAGGCATAAGAACCCGGAGCACCGCTGTTGCCGGGACTTGCACCCGCTGCGCCGGGACTGCCTCCGTCGTCCCGGTCGGCGGATCGTGGAAACTGTATGCCATGCTGAGCCATGATTGTTTTCAAGTGTCTATTTTCAGCCAGCAGCTTTTCTTTGCTTTGCGAAACGTTGCTATACAGTTCCTTCAGTCTCAAGACTTCGTCCTCAAGCGCCTTGATGTAGAGCTCCTTGCGTTCGCGGTGGGTCCTGGACAACGATGAGCTTCCTTTCCAGGTACTGCAGCCGGCCATAAACTTACCGTTGTGCTTGTCGGTTCAATTCTTGCCTGCGAGTGAGGGCCGGTTTACTATCAGGCTTTGGACCACGGCGTTTGGCAGGGTTGCCATCTTGCTCAGTGCATCAGCGGACAGCTCTCCACTTTCCACATGCATTCGTGGTCACCAACTGACTAACTCACCTCGTGTGGTTCTTTTCTCGGTCAAAGATTTGAGAAAGCCCAGATTCAGCGGACTGCGATCTTGGCTGGTCGCAGTGCCGTCTGGGGAGCTATGGGATTGAGCGCTCCCAAACTGATCAGGAGATAATGAAGACGACATGGCGGTGGCAATACGTGGTGAAGTCTGATGTCAGGACGTATCACGTCTGGTCTCGAGTAGTTAAATACTGCGCAGTTGTTAGAGCCAGCTCAAGCAAACGAGGGGTAAGAGCAGAGTCGCTCACAGGTTTGTCCAATGCCCGAAATATTACAGGCAAAGTTCACCGGGGAGACGACCAGATAGAGTTTCAGGGCAATTGCCAAGCGACAATGCGTTGAAATGGTAGGTCAACCAAACTGATCTGCGAGGAGATCTTGACGGCGGCTTGGATCCGGACCCAGAGGCCCTGAGACAGTTGGACAATGGCGAGGTTGAGCTGAGCAAACAGACCGACACCAAACGGCGGGGTCCGTGGACCAACTGGCCGGCTTTTAGGATCAATTGACGGGAGTAGAATGTAGGCAGGATTCCTGTGGCGGCCGGCTTACTCGAGTACGTCTGACACGGGCACAATACGCTCCCGTGGGCGTCTTCTCTGGTGTCGAGTCCCCGAGCAGTATTATTGCAGGGCGTAAGTTGGCCAAGCCAAGAGGAACCCGAGAGAGGTCAAAAAGTTGGTGGAACGGCCTGATTGGGGTTGGTCGGCCAAGAGTTGGACCCCGTCCCGTCTGCCAACCGCCAATGCCAATGCCAATTGACAGGTTGTGACCCGTAACGCGATGCGCAACCTCCGAGGCCAACCGCAGCTTGAAGAGACTCGACCTGCGCCGCAGCGTGCAGTTGACGGCACAAGAACCCAGTGCGTACACAAACAAGCTTGCTTACCTACCTACGTAGGGATGCTAGCCCAATCAACGTTGATGTTCACCCGGCGGCCAAGGTTTTTGCTGTGTGATGCCAACGGGTGGTGAGTGCATGGCATGTCTGGTCGATATACTCCGTAATGTGTATGTACACACAAACTCGCGTGTGCGCACACACACATGCACACCGGTCGACACCCACGGGATCTGTGCGCCTGCAAATGCACCTGCGGGCCACTCCGGCTGGTGAGTACTGAAGTATGTAGGGAGGTGCCTGGCAGGTCAAGACGGTTGGTTTGTTGTCGATTCCCGGTATTTTTGGCGATCTAGAATCGAAGCGATTAAAAAAAAAAATCCCAAGTCTTGCATCGGTCTCGCGCCATTTGCGCCCTGTGCGCAGCTGATACTTAAGTAGTACGTTGGATCCTTGCATCGTCTGATTATTCCCTCGTGCCGGTTGCCAAGAAGAGACGACGACGCCCAGCGTCTCCAACGCTCACACCGTGCTGCTTCATCAGCTCCTCGACGCGGCCGTCCCCTGATTGCCGCCTTGTGTCTCGGAACCCGTCTCCCGCCCGGGTTTCTAACTTGCAAGTTTGGGCTTCAATCTTGGGTGGTGGTGTCACAGTTGACTATGTTGCTATATTTAAGCGAAACCTATTCCAAAGTTAGTCTCCCTCGAGAATGGATGACGCCTTATAGTTCGGCCGGCTGGTCGCTCGTGCGAAGCTGTTGCACTTGGCAGCTGGCAGCTCCGCCCAATTCTCTTTATCCGGTCCTGCTCCGTCCATCATTGATGTCTGTTTGCCCCCGCGCCTCGCCCCGACCCTGGTAAGAGATGAGACATTGAGTCGAGTTCGACGATATCCGTCCGAGGTCGCCGCTCACTCATCAAAAGCCACCACCAGCAAGCAAAGACTTGATTAGCATCAAGCAAACCGGCGGCACCTCACACTCGGGCATTGTCGCATCAGGTGCCTCACACTCCTCCTGCCATGTCCCAGCACCCACCGTCCTGGACCTTCTTGAGGGGCCTCATCATCACATTGCCATGGCTGCTGTACCTGTTGCTGGTGGACGTGTGGATTTCTATGCTTCTGCCTCTTGCCATCTTCCTTCCTAGATGGGTCTACGATGCCTCGTCCTGTCTAGCCTTCACCGTCTGGGCGTGGATTCAGCTCATCTTTGAGTCTCTCAACGGAGCCCGCATTGAGATATCGGGCGACTCCCTGCCCAATGCCGAGTCGGCTATTGTCGTGGCCAACCATGTCGCCTGGTCCGACTTCTACTTGATTCAGGCCATGGCCCGGCGTTCCGGAATGCTGGGATACTGCAGGTATTTTGCCAAGAGCCAGCTCAAGGCTGTCCCTTTCCTGGGTTGGGGTCTCTGGGCAATGGGCATGCCCATGGTCAGTCGGAATTGGGTCAAGGACCAAGCCGAGCTTGATCGTGTCTTCTCTGGCATTGTCAACCACAGATTTCCTACATGTCAGTCACGCCTAGTTTAGAAGCCACAAATCCTGCCAATCCTCTCTCTGCTTTCCATCCTATGCTTGCCTTCATTTAACCTCCACTCCTACAACCGTCTCTTCTAACATAAGGCGTGCAGGGCTAATCAGCTTCAGCGAGGCGACGCGTTTCACTCACAAAAAGTTCGCCGAGTCTCAAGTGTGGTGTAAGAAGACTGATAGGCCCCAACCCAAGAATCTCTTATATCCTCGCACCAAAGGCTTTATCGCCACTGTTCAACACCTGCGCAAGGCTCCACATGTCAAGGCCGTCTATGACTTTGCCATTGCTTACCAGTGTGATGGCGTCTTTCTTGATGCACCGTGCATGTGGGACACATTAAGCGTGCCATCATTGAGCACGAGACACCAATACAAGTTCCATGTCCATGCCCGAAGATTTTCTCTCGAGACTTTGCCCGAATCTGACGAAGATCTAGCACAATGGCTCGAGCAGCGGTGGGTGGAAAAGGGCGAGTGGTTGGAATTGCTCAAGCAAACCTGGGCCACCACCGGCTCGTCATGATGCGTTGCCGTACGGGAGCATACGCAATCAATATTTATTTTTAATTGAACTTTTTTTTGGCAACTGCATCCATTGAATACCTCTGCCACAAGTGTCCAGCATCAGCGGACACCTCCTGCCACACTTTGCCAGCATATTCTTATTTCATGTCTCCCCCATATCATGCTGATTTCCCATGTGTTTCGACCGCATCATCGTACCCCGAACACAATCAGTGAATAAACGTGAAAGATTGGTTTAGTATTTTGCAGTCATTGGTCGGCAGTCGGGCAGGATGCGTGGCACAACCAAGTGCGTGACAGTTGCCACTACAATACCAGTCGTGACGGGTGTGCACGGCGGCAAGTTGGCTTATGATGACACATGGCCAGATTCTGGCAATAATTACTCCGTAGACCGAATCTATCCAGCACTATCCGAGACTGGTAAAGAAAGAAATCGGGCTTGGTGTTGTCCCATTGGACCCCGTGAGACAACATGGCCAAACAAAAACTAATTCCAAACCACTTGAACTTGCACTATAAGCCGGGGGCCAAGGAGATTGCCCCGAGGCCCATCCCCACGGCAAGAGTCATGGCAGCCGACTGAAGCACCAACTATTTCGAACGACGTTCATGTTACGAGGTCACATCGGATCAGCACCTTGCAGGCTGCAGTAGCCTACTTTAAGTAAGTACTTAAGTACTTAAGTACAAGTATGTGCCACCCCCTCTGTTGTGTTAAGGCTCCAGTAAGGTATTTGTAGGGATGTGTATCCAATGAGAAGCCAGACTTAAGGGGTACATGTATTTACTAGTAAATTAGGTGATAGTAAATGTCACTATCACAGGCTTTATACAAATAACTACTTAATAATATACCAAAATTTAGGGTGCTGTTAAAGTCATCCGAGATTGCTAGCTTCCTACAGGGGTGTTGTGGAGCCCGTAACCCCACTGGAGCCTTAACACAACAGAGGGGACCAACCTGCTTCAGCGCAGGCCTAAGCCGGCAAGGTCGACTCAAAAGTCAACTGGTACTTAGGTCAACATAGTGCACCGAGTACTTAAGTATCCAGGGGACCTGAAAACACCAGACCGCATGTGCTCGTAAGTGGCCTAACCAACAGGCGCCGAACGCTAAATTAGGCCCTAAGGGCATCGAGTTCTTACTAGCGGACGTCGCAAATGCAGCGTCAATACGGAGTACCGCTGACAAGAACAAGGACGGCGACATGTAGAGAAGCTTGGACCCGTGAGCAGGCGTTGGGTGCATTGCACGAGGCGGCGTGCTAGCCAGGGAAACAGCGTGTCATGATTGGCTGTGAGGACTCTTTCCCCGCTTAATGTGTCATGAGAGGAAACGCGACTGCGGCATCTGGGACGCTTTGCCAACGACAATGGTGAAAGGGAAGTCGTCCGTCCCTCCTGTTTCCTCACGTCAATACCGCCAGTTGGATTATAGGCTTCCCCCCGTCGAAATCGAGCCGGATACCTTCACCGAATTTGCCAATCGACGACAGAATCACTGCCCCCGAGCAGCCGAGCGGTTCCTGCCGCTCTCTTGTCCGCTCGGTGCTCTCCGCAGGGTGTTGTTTTCCCGTCGTGCATGAGACCGTGTGTTCCTGGGCCACTGACCATATCGATTTTCTTCACACGACGACTGTGGGAATCACTACACGAGCGACCACCAGTCATGTATCCAGCTCCCGCACTCCTATAGTTCTGGCGCCTTTGCCAGACTCCCGAGTCTTCCAGATACTACTACGACGTTTTGAGCTCTTGTTTCGAGTTTTCGAGCCCCATCTGCTGCCAATCGACCTGCCGCTTCGCCTCTGGCGATTCCGCGGCTCGAACTGCACAGCATTAGAACCAGAGCAGAGTGTGAACAATCCCTGGGCATTATGGAAACCCCTTCTGCCCCGCTGGCCGTGCCAGCCGTGTCTTCCTTGCGTGTGCAACAGGCAATGCCCATGGAAAGGACATTGAGCCAGGATATCCGCAATGAGCGCGAGGAGCTTCGTGAGGCAGCAGAGCAGACCCTCAATGCCATCGTCGATCTCAATTTGGACGGAACCATCAAATGGGTTAGTCCATCTTGGACCGAGGTCGTCGGCACCCCATTCGATGCCATTAGTGGCAAGCCAATGTCAGACCTCATCGCCAGCGAGAACAAGAACGTATTTACCGACATGGTCGTTTCGATGAAGAAGGACGACTCGAAGAGCTACAGGATTCGATTCGCCATTCAACTTGGCCCTTTGTCCAAGTTACGATACGTGGAGGAATTCGAAGGAGATGAGGCACTAACTGGCGAGCCACAGCTACAAACGGCTGATCTAGAAGCCCAAGGCATTATGGTATACGATAGTGCGTCCGGGGGGGAAAGTCATGTGAGATACCCTTGTATTATCATGGCTAACAAACTCTGGTGAACAATTCTCTAACCGAGCCTGACGCAGACTATGTGGATGCTACGCCCATGGACAGCTCCACAAGAAATTCAAATCGACTTGCCAGATGTCATTGTTGACTCCCTCGGATCTGGTGCTGAATTGCTGGCCAGTTATCTGACACGTCTCGCTGAATCTGGCGGTGACGACCTGCAAACCCGCGAACCACTGGCCCCTGTACTATGTCGAATCTGCGAGCGGCAAATTCCTCCTTGGTGGTTCGAAAAACACACCGACTTGTGTCTGCAAGAACATCGTGCAGAGATGGACGTCCAAATGGCGCAGGAGAACCTGACGGAACATCGGCACGCCATTGTTAGGGTTCTTGATGCATTGGAGGCACGAAAAAGCCGTCCAATGACCGGAGAGCAGCAAACAGGACCAATGGCAGAGTACAAGGGCATGCCCATTGGTCCAGCCCCGTCTGCTCAATCTTCACCCGGTACCTCGCTGGCTCGTTCTCGTGAGCGTACCGGTGGTTTCGGGCATGCCAGGGCTAGATCGTTTGCGGTACGCCGGCCCCAAGCTCGTATCGTCGAGTTACTCATGGACTTGTGTGACACTGCCATCGAAATAAGCACTCCAGCCATGAAGGAGATGTCTCAACAGGGCAATGGAGACTTGCGCACTCAATCTCCGCAGTCAGAGTCCAGAATATCGCAAGTCTCGCACTGGCAGTCGCCGAGCACGAATACACTCGAGCAGGAACAAGGCTTGGCGCTATTATGCTCAGACACAGAGAAGGTGGCGAAGTTGAAGGTTGATGCCGTCTTTCGTCATTGTAGAATTATCGAATATGCTGAGCGCATACGTATCGAGATGGCAGTCCTTGTGCAAGACTGTATCGACGAAGCCATGAGAAAGGCCGCACGGATTGCGGCTGGTCGTTTGAGCGACTCGACCGAAGACGAGACCGAGGAGGACATTCTTGCGGAAGGCGAAGGCCAAGTTGAGGTTAATGAAGAACCCCGAGGACGATCAGCCGATGAGGTACCGAAGCAGTCTATATCCAGCCCTTCTGCCTTGGCAGCAGCCTTGCGTCAAATGGACCTCTCCTCCGGACGTCCGAATCGCTCTCGTCCCGCCTCCTTCATTGCATCGACAAGGTCTAGCAGTCCCAAGGAATGTCCCACGCCACGGTCTACCGTTGATAGTGGCTCAATTCCGGCGGGGCATGCCCGCCATACCAGAAGAGGCTCGGCTCTATTATATGAAGCCGAGCTTGCTGAAGGAGACGGAAGCCTCCGGTCGTCATCTGTGGCCTCCCGCAATGCCACCCGAACAGAGTCCCCGATATCCGAGTTCGGCGATCTCAGGCGTGCTGCAAGCACCCGTCAACATCACCGAAGAAGCCTTGTCATACCCGGGACATCGTCACCTCGACGGCAGGAATCGCCATCTCGTTCTACTCAACCGTCCTCGCCGCTGCGTATCAAGCCGCGTGTCATACCCTACCAAGAAGGGCTAGCATCACCTGAAGCGTCGCCTATGTTCCCTACGAGTGAATTTAGCTCGCCGGTTTCCCATCCAGCGCGCCATCACCGACGACAGTCATCAGCAGCTATATCAGATTTCGTCATGCGAGCACCACCATCGCCTCGCCTAGGTGCAACGCAAGCACCACCACAAGCTCGCGCCGCACAGCCGTCTATTAAAGACTTTGAGATCATTAAGCCGATCAGCAAAGGTGCGTTCGGTAGCGTATATCTCTCGAAAAAGAAATCAACCGGCGAATATTTCGCCATTAAAGTTCTGAAAAAGGCGGACATGGTGGCGAAAAATCAAGTGGGCAATGTCAAGGCAGAGCGGGCAATTATGATGTGGCAGGGACAAAGTGACTTTGTTGCCAAGCTCTACTGGACCTTCTCAAGCAAGGATTATCTCTACCTGGTCATGGAATACCTCAATGGGGGCGATTGCGCATCTCTGATCAAAGTACTCGGTGGCCTACCGGAGGAATGGGTCAAGAAGTATCTTGGTGAAGTTATTCTGGGTGTTGAGCACCTTCATGAGAGAGACATCATTCATCGTGATCTGAAGCCGGACAACTTGCTCATTGATCCAAAAGGCCATTTGAAGCTGACGGATTTTGGCTTGTCACGAATGGGATTGGTTGGCAGACAAAAGCGCGCTTTGAATAGCGAGACGATGGATACAACGCCAGATTTGCTTAAGCAGGGACCTTTTGCTAGATCTACATCCATGGCTTCTTCTCGATCAACCTCCCTTGACTTGCATGGACACCCCCATTCTCCCACTGGAACACCTATGATGACCCCAGACGTGGGCAGTATTGGACAGCCATCATATTTCAGTCTCGCATCATCTATGCCACCAGAGAATCGTAGGGTATCCAGCAGCCTCAGAAGCGACAGCGGTGGCAGTGAGTCTCTGGCTCACCTGCTAACGTCATTTTCTCTGGCTGATTCCGACCCGGGATCCCAACCTCTCAGTGCGAAGGCGCCCATCATGGACGACGACGTTGCCATTCAAGGGTCGCCAGATATGATTGCAAGCCAGCCAAACATTAGAGCTAGCGTGGACGGCCACTCCCGTAACTCCCTTCCACCGTCGAACATGATGCCGCCACCAATGGCACTGTTTGATCCTGAGGACACGAATCGGCGTTTCGTTGGGACTCCAGACTACTTAGCACCAGAGACTATCAACGGAGACAAGCAAGACGAAACTAGTGATTGGTGGTCAGTCGGGTGTATCATGTTCGAGTTCTTATATGGCATACCGCCCTTCCATGCTAGCGAAGCCGAGCAAGTATTCGATAATATTCTAGCACGAAAAGTTCAATGGCCAGACGAGGCTGATTGTGAACCTATCTCAGGGGAAGCTAAAGATCTTATCAACAAGTTACTATGTATGGATCCCAAGGAACGACTAGGAGCTAACCGCGATGAAAAATTCTCCTCCGGTGGAGAAGAAATCCGAAGCCATCCTTGGTTTGAAGGTATCAACTGGGATAGCCTGCTAGAAGACGAGGCACAATTTGTCCCTCAACCCGAGAATCCTGAGGACACGGAATACTTTGATACCAGAGGCGCTGTCTTGCAATCATTCGCAGAGGAGATTGAAGACCAAATGTCTCCGCAATCTTCCACGGGTGGACAGGAGTATCCTGATCGACCGCACGACGCCCTTTCGCGAGTTCGATCCCAAGTCAATTCACTCAATCGCAAGCTGATGCCGCTACATATTCCACCCCACGTTCGCGATCTAAAGTCAAGGAGGTTGAGCGAACCCGTAGCGGCTGACGACTTTGGCTCATTCACTTTCAAGAATTTGCCCGTCCTCGAAAAGGCGAACAAGGACGTCATTCAAAAGCTGAGGGCTGACGCAATGGCTTCACAAAACAAGCAATCTTCCATTAGCCCCGGAGGAGCTGCAAATATGGCCTCGTCAGCCCCATCTCTAGATGGCAGCCCGGTCTTGGCCACACATCTACACCGATCCATTTCGAATGCAAAGACAGGGAATCGGCCACAGTCTCCGTCGGGGTACAGTCATTCCAATTCATCGCCCAGTCGAGTTTCTCAGCCATCATCACCTCTGCTTGTCTCATTTGTGGCTGGCCAAGGAGCAGAGGGTCGACGAAAGGCATCCAGCAACTCTTCAAGCCTCTCGCATCAGTCAGGGCCACCGTCACTGCAGCCTCACTCTTCTCTTGATGTGCCTAAGGTGCCGCCAAGCTTGCAAAAGGCTGCAACTACAATCGCCGCATCCCCTATCAAGGGCCGTGGATCGGCTCCGCCACCATTAGCCTTATCCCCACAGAAGCTCATGTCCACGCCGCGACAAAACAGTGGCTCGACGACACGATCTAGGTCGTTAACTGTAGGGTCGCAAGAAGCTAGTCCTATTTCATCCGATGCCCTTCAGTATCACCGCAACCGGAGGAGCCAAGTGTTTGACATGTCTCCCTCTTCATCGGATAACGAGGGCGACAAGCACAACGCTTTGCTACGAGTACAACGGCGCAGGCAAAGTTCACGGCGGCTTTCGCAAATTGCATTTGACAGCGGCCCTAACTTCAGGCCGCTGGATGTTTTAATCTGTGAAGATCATCCTGTATCAAGAATGGTGATGGAAAAGCTATTGGAGAAACTCCGCTGTCGAACGATTTCAGTGGCAAATGGTTCCGAGGCCGTCCGTTACTCCATGAGCGAAATCCAGTTCGATGTTATTTTCTTGGAGTACAAGTTGCCCCAGATCAGCGGAGCGGACGTGGCACGAATGATTCGGGAGACCAAAAATGCGAATTCTCATACTCCTATTGTGGCGATCACTGCATATCTTAAGGAGCTACAGGCGCCACACTATTTTGATTCCTTGATTGAGAAGCCTATCAGCTCTTCCAAACTTATTGAGGTTCTACGAAGCCTGTGCCAATGGCGTCCAGCGTCACCGAACCGGGCTATCTCAGGGCCCCCGCCCAACCCTATGCCCGTCGGTCCCAAGACGAAACCGAGAGCCGATGACAGCCCAACGTCGAGCCTGTCTGCTTTCCCAGGAAGGCATTCATCCGCAATGATATCCAGCCGAGAAGACTCCATCACCTCTAGCACGTTTGGGGACTCAGAGTCTGTCACGACAGACGATATCCCAGTCGTCATCAGCCGCAAAACAACAAGTGAATGGGAGGAAGGAGGCCTTGGAATTACGGAATCTGACTTCCTTTCGGCTGCAGAGGGATCCCCCAAAGGGATGCCGACCCTCTTGACCCAGCAATCAGCGCCAGGACAAATGGAACATCTTCGCCGAGGAGATAGGACCAGGCCGAGGAGGGAAAGCGGCGACAGAAAAGGAGTTGAGGCAACCGACTCGGCAGACGACGAGGACGAAGAAACCGGCATCTCCAAGGGAAAACACCGACGGCGAAGCAGCAAACCACTACAGGGCAAATCAACGCTGCCCAGTTCCAAATTGGCCATCGAGATGATGCGTGCAGACAGTCACGATAGCGTCACGGTCGGGTCTGAAAGCACCCCTGAGGCGGTAACGCAAGTAGCAACAACACCATCTCAGGAAATAGGCACTCCTATCCTGGCTGCAACCGAGGGGACAGAGACGGTCACTCCACCAAATAATCAGGCCAATACTACCCCAGCAGGCAAGCAAAGCAGTAAGGAGACGACCGATATGTCAGTCCCAGAATGTGCTGATGTCACGCCACGACCACAGACATGTGCGCGTCCTGCCACTGAGTCGGACTCGGTGGACACTTCCACGGAGGCTACACCACGACCTGGCGGGCCATGAAGCGAATCACGCCCGAAGGCACAACCCAATTACACATTTCGAATACGAGAAACGAGAAGATGAAAAGATTGTCATATATAGGGAAAGTATTCAAGTTTGGTTCAGTCGTGAATTATAGGGTGGACATTTTTTCCCCTCTTCATATTGATGTCATTTTCAATTTTTCACATTTGACAATGTTTTCCCCCCTTTGTATGTACGCAAGGTTGCAGCGAGGCGTCAATTGGGCAAGTTTATTTGTTTGTTTATCATTTTCTTTTGCCTTTTTTTTTTTAACAATAAACATAAAACAAAAAAAAACACAAGATGTGACAGCACTGCTGGGCGAGGCCACACTAGAATGACGGGCCGTTTTGGTGTGCAACATGCTTGAAAGACAGGGGTTTGATGAAGGCATAAAGAGGGCGGACAGGACGGAGGCTATTTTGTTTCTATATTGTGTGTTAAAAACGCACCGTCGCATTGCCTATTCCCGGGAACATGGGCTGCCAGTGTACTGCCCGCACTGATGATGATGATGAAGGCATTATGGGTTGAGTTGAGGACTTGGGACTACAGCATGTGTGCCTGAAGCGTGGGGGAGCAACATGATGCAAGTCAGGTTCTGATGTGTATGTATCTATCTTGGGGTTCTAGGAAAATATCTATATTTTGCTTAATGCCGTAGCCAAGGGGGGGGGGCTTGTTCGCGCGTGGGCTTTGCTTTGCCGCGTCTTGTCTGGTGTTGACTGAGCTGCAAGATGGAAGAAGTCGTTTGAACTGGCCAGCTGCAGCTGGCTGAGGACGTTTGATGCCGTCGTCGCAGTCGCAGTGCAGATGTGCGGCAAGGGCAAACGGCATCTACGGGTTGCGGATGAGGGCGAGACATGTCTCGGTCCCACCACCACGAGGTGTGCGCACTCTGTTGAGGGAGTCTGGCATTCATGTGTTTTGACCCTGGTTGCTGTGGAATCCAAGTCAAGCGTCGACTGCGAGACTAAATAAAGAGGCACGTGGGAATTTCAAAGCTTGGACTAAGACGTCGTGTCATCTTCTTGGTAACTAATGCTCTGTATTGGGCAAAATGATGTACATGTGGGAACTCAACAAAACGTCAAATGGTTTTGCGGGGGTCAAGAGGCAAAACTGCTGCTCGTCGTGGCAAGATTGGATCATTAATGCGTCCAAAAAGATAGACGAACCAATTGCTATTCACATGGGATTGCAAGAGTGGATAATGCGTGGGAGCCCGAGGCGGTCTCGAGGGGGCACAGGTGGTACTTGTAGTACTTGTACTCTGTCAAGACGCATCATGGTCTGAATGCGGAGAAGGAAAAGGCCCTGCAGGCATGATGAAGCCTTGGTTACGGCACGTTGTAGTACTAGTAGGTACTAGTACGTAGTATGTAGCAGATGGGCATTCTGAAGTCCAGGGTCCAAGGGCCAATTCATCAAGGTATTTTTGATACTATTTGTAGATGCCGCCCAGCTTGGAGTACTAGTCCTATCACGACGTACCAGACTACTCAGTATGCCACCTAAAATAAAAACCTTGGCAAATGCAGCAGGTTTGCGTGAGCTCCGTGGCAAGATGGCGCTTGGCCGACGACAAATTGTCCGGCAGTGCAGTGGACGAGCGCCGGTGCTTGAAGAAATGCCAAAACAAATGCTGGATGCTTGGCAGGGATCATGAACCATGCATGGTAGCCGAGGTGGCTTGGCTTGGCTGCGGTGTCTGCAGAGTCTGCAGCAAAGGGCCGGCGGGTCCTCACGCGACCAACTGCCCTTTCGGTGAGGTATTTGGGAGTGTGCTGTAGCACCAGATGCGACGAGGCATGAGGGTCGGGGTCGAGGAATTGACATATGCACGAGGCCTGCACGAGTTCGGTGACGGATAAGAATAAGCGTCGCATTTCGGCTTGAGCAGTGGCTTCCCGTTGGCGGTGGCATCCATTGATTGACCAGCCGCGCGTGATGCGAGTGCCGCCTGACCCGAACGCAGACGTGGAGGTGGCCGGAGGCGGCGATATTGATTATGCTGACATCAGTCTGTTGCTTCCTTTTCGGCCTCTGGTGCGTGTCTTCCAGATTGTCCCCAGATTTCTGGGCCCCCCCGGTCGGCGTGGCTGGAGATGGCCCCTCACCCATGCCAAACTTGTGGCATGCCCCCCCTGCCCAGCCAACCAGATGTCCCATTCTGCATCAAAATTCGTGTAGCAACACAATTATTACTCCATTGCACAAGGGTTTTTTTTTTTTGGCCGCCGTGTCTGCTGGCTCCTTCTTCCAGTAAGAGCTTCCATGCGTGTGCGGCCCAGATACTTCGAAGGCGCCGGGTGGCTCAACAGTGGACTAGCCCGCCCAAGTCCCCGCGAGGTGCGGAAACAGCTTGGATCCTGTAGGAAAAAAGCTTTTTGGACCCTTCGTAGCCAGACGATCGAGCACGGTGGCCGATGGACGCCTTTGACTGGTCCAATTCACTCTCGCCATCGTCCGTGGTCTCGGTCGTCGAAAACGGATATGTGCGTCATGGCATCTGGTTTAAAGAGACCAAGCGACCTCGAGATTTTGCACGTCGCTCGGTTGTTTTGGTCAGGGCATTATTGCTTTGCTCTGCTTCTGCTCACCATTCCTTGGAGGCAACGAGGTACTTGACATAAAGAGAAAGCTGCGCTGCTTCTTTGCTCTTCTTGTATCGTCAGCCGTGTTGTCGTGCTTGCACTCACTCCGTTGTTCCTTCCGCGAGTAGTTCCTGCCAAACGCGCCTCGGCTTCTGCGACGGTGGCAGCCGCTTCTTGTGTCCGGTCTGTCGCCTCTGCCTCTTCTTTTTGAAAATTTGACTTTTGGGGCCAATCCCTTCGACCCTTCGACTTCGGCGGCCATCGACGAAATAACTTTTTCGCCTGCCGTTCCTACATTGCTACAAAACCAGGCTCTTCTCCCAGGTCTTGCTCCCTTCAATCTGCGAAAGACATCAAATCAGATTGAAACGGACCTACACTTTCTTGCCCTGCACGTCTCTGGCTGTGTGTTGGCCCGTTCAGCCATCCGCCCTCCGCTCCCGACACACCCCTTCTCTGCCTGCATCTGTCTCTCGGTGCGCCTCAAACAGATCCAATCTGCCGCCCAAATCTGCTTGGCACCATCTCCCGCGGGGTCAGTAACATCCGATGGCCGGTCCTGATTCGTCCGACTCTGATTCGGGAGTTCATCACCACCATCACCACCACCAGTCTATTCCTGGCGAAATTCCCATTCCCCACGGGCCTCCTGGCGACCACGACAGCGATGACTTCATCATTCAACACGGTACCCCCGACGAGCAGCGCATTTTCAGCCATGTAACTCGTCCCGACGACTCATATACACCTGATGGTGTGTACTGGGCTGATTTGCCATGGATGCAGCGTGTCAAATTTGTTAGCCAAGTTGATCGTGAGGCTGCTGCCAAGGAATTGAGCACCATTGGCTCAATGATGAAGAAAGATCCCCTTTCTCCCCTTTCCTGGTACTTCCGACATGCCGTTATTCCCGGTGCTGGTCTCGGTCTCGAAGGCTATGTTCTCTTCTCCATTGGCAACTTGGAGCCACTCTTCGCCAAAGTCTGGCCCGAATGCTGGGGAAAGCACCAGGTTTGCAGCAAGAACTGGATTGCTAGTGTCACATACCTTGAGATTATTGGTATCATGGTTGGCCAGGTCTTTGTTGGCGTAAGTCTTCTTCCAATCCTACCGTTGCGTGGCCTTACCAAGTCCAATTGCTAACTAATGCCTTGTTCTTTCTAGGTTATTGGTGACTGGGTTGGTCGTCGCTGGGGCTTGATCCAGGATGCCATCATCATGTTTGTTGGTCTTCTCATGCTCACTGCCTCTTGGGGCCTTACTCTCCAGGGCTGGGTCATTTGCTATGCCTGGTCCTTGTTCTTCTACTCGCTGGGTGTCGGTGGCGAGTACCCTATTACCGCCACCTCTTCTCTCGAAAATGCTGTCACCGCTGGCAAGATGTCCACCAAGGAGGATCGTCTCCACCGTGGCCGCCGTGTCACCATGGCCTTCCTGATGCAGGGCTGGGGTCAGTTTGTCAACCAGGTTCTCCTCATTGTCTTGCTTGTCATCTTCAACAAGGGATCTGGCGCGCCACCTTACACCACCTCGGCTGCTCAGTATGCTTTCCGTCTGTCTTTCGCTTTCCCTGCGATTGGTACTCTCTGGCTCGTCTACTACAGAACTTGGAAGATGCCCAACGCTTCTAAGCAACTCGCTCAAGCAAAAAACCGTACCAACGTCACTGGCTACGACGTCACGGCCCTGCGCTTCTGCTTCACCCACTTTGGTGGCCGTTTGTTAGCCACTGCCGGCACTTGGTTTTGCAACGATGTCTTTTTCTACGGCAACAAACTATTCCAGGGTCAATTCATCAAGGTTATCTCGGACAACCCCAGCTCTCTCATGACGAACTGGACTTGGAACCTGGTCAACATCACCGTCTCGCTGGTTGGTTACTATCTTGCATCTCTTCTCATCGACAACAAACTTTACGGCCGCAAGATGATGCAGCAGGTTGGCTTCTTCATGTGCTTCCTCATGTTCGTCATCCCTGCCTTCCGCTACAAGTACTATACTAGTCCTGAAGGCATTCATTCCTTCCAGGCCATGTACTTTTTGTCTTCCTTCTTTAACCAGTTCGGCCCCAACTCTGTCACTTTCCTGATTGCCGGCGAGGTTTTCCCTACTCCCATCCGTGCCACTGCTCACGGATTCTCTGCCTGCATGGGCAAGGCTGGTGCTCTGCTTGCCTCTGTACTCTACAACTACATCGATGACCAGACCAAGTTCTACGTTGTTCCTTGGTTTGGTCTTGCTGGCATGTTCCTTACCTTCCTCTACCTCCCAGACACAACCGGTCTCGACCTGAAGGAACAGGAGCGCCGGTGGAGATATATTCGTGACGGCAAGGCCAATGAGTATCACGGGATTGCTGTCCACCCCCAACATCTGAGCCTGTGGGAGCGCATCTGTGGTCTCCACAAGACCTATGATCCTGAGGCGGACTGGAAGGCCAAGATTGCTGATATGCGAACAGAGTGGGAGGCCGTCCAGGCTACCCGTGGGCCCAAGGAAACTGAAGGTGACCATGACCATGGTATGCCTGACGATGGTGAGTTCTCTGCTGAGATTCACGCCTACTTCAAACGCTCGAGCCCTGGAAATATGAACAACTCTCCCGGCGTCCTCAGTGAAAAGGTTAGTGGTGATACAAAATAATCACCCAATATACCACAAAACGAATATATACATCTTTCTGGCGTACCACGAATATTGCATAGCATCATAGGTTCGAAGTGCTTCTTTTGGGCAATGTGCGGTTTTGTTTCGGCGTTTTCAGGCTAAAAGGCATGGAGGTCTTTATAGGGTCTCAGTTTTGATGTTTATACTAGTATTTGCATCATTTGCTATGGCGAATTTATATCGCTGTCACAGGCATCTTGAGATGTCATGTCTATCAAGTCTATTAACTAGACTATAGGTGCAGTTAGATGATCACTACGTCTTGAAAATAATTTCTCTATAAAAACATATCTGGCTTATTATTGTGTGATTTGGCCTAGCTCGATTGTAGATTCTTCAATGCCATCTAAATTGTGAACTTCGAATTCTGACTACGGGCAAGAATGAGCGCAGCAAGTTTATTCAGTACAGGACGCGTCTTTTACTCATGAGCCCCAAGATTTCACATATTCCTACACGAAACGAAGAATAGCGTAGAACATAAAAAAAGAAGAAGTTTGAGAGAAATCATCTCGCATGGAGAATAAGGAGAATACCTGCCTTCTTTGACAATAATGTACCCGCCACGTCTTTGAACTCCCCAACACCATGCAATGTCGACAGTAGTAGATATATCCTATCCCCTCCCGTAATTTTCGTTCCACTTTTCTAAACTAAAAACAACGCCAGTCCATCGTATGATGTGCTAAATCAAAAACCCGCTGGGGTTTTACTGCAATGCTTAGATATAGGATGCGTCTCCTTTGGGTATTTCCCTCCAAATTTTCCTTCCCACATAAAATAGCGGCTGTGAAGTAGCTGTTCTGGAAAGATTTCCCCTCCAACTGCCCGCTTTATGCACCTCCTTATCCCCTGGCGAAGTGAAGCACAACGGTCTAGCCATAGACCCCCAGAAAAAGATCAAAATGTCGCCAAACTTAATAGCCGAAACTGAGGGGGCATAATGGGGGAGGGTCAAGACATTCTATTGGGGGCTTCCGTTTGCAGCGGACTGATAGAATCTGCCGCTTCTGAATGCTGTGGACGGGTGTGGTTTGCGGTAGGTATGGGCACAGGCACAATAACCCGAAGTACACATTCATCCAAGTGCTCGTAGAAGTCCTGCGCTGTGGCAAACCGGCCCCCGCAAATTGAGCAACGGGCCCCAAAGTTGTGTGTAGAAGTTGGGCCATGGCCGTCCAGAAGATGCGCCAGACTGCCGCTGCGGTTATTTGTTGGCGTTTGATCAACATTGTGGGCTGTGGCAAGATGCCGCTTGAAGACGTCTGCTCGACAAAAGGCCTTCTCATATGGGGAACCCACTCCGGGACAGAAGGGACAAACCATTGTACCTCGATAATGCGTGAGAGCGTGGCGATTCTTGTCGTATTTCCGAGCAAATCCCTTTGTATGATATTCACAACTGACAATAGGGCATTTTTCTGGACGCTCTTCTTGATGTGTCAGCATGTGCGCCGCCAGATCTTTAACTATCCTCCCACAGTCTGGATGAGGGCATTGGCTTCGGTTATCCGTCGGCCGTGGTCCGGATTGAGTAGACTGACTCGAGCTCCCACGTCGCCACGGATCGTCTATAGGGGACACCATATAAGCCCTAGACGCTGATGCTTCCGGCATGGCCCTGGATGTAGATATTGACGATTCTAATGCCGGATCACCACCGTCTTCTTCCCCTCCGCTGAGATATTCTGCTTGCATAGGATCAAGTGGTTGCCGTACTTCTCGCATCCAATCTTTCAAGACGGACATAGGCGGCCAGTCACCACTGGCTTTGCCACCACGATGAGGACTAAAGTGTGCCCGTCGTAAGTGTGCGGCAGCATTATAATAGGCGCCATACTGCTTTTGAGCCATACATGCCTTGCAACTGGATAGCGACACGACTGGTTTGAGGGAAGCATCTCTTGCATTTTCAGGTTCGCAGCAAACCCAACGACGAACCATTGCCGAGTGTTTTGCATCAGTATGTCTCCTTAGCTCGTGTTCCCCTCGAAACCCTTCAGGGTACTCATTGCACTTGACGCAGTACACGCGCCGCAAAGGTCGATGATAGGGGGACCTAAATCGCGACGGAGAGCCAGGAGCTTTCCACGGAGTTTCAAGCTGACTTGGGGTTACAGATGCTTCACCTACTGTATGCCGTCTTGCTCTTTCCACCTCTGGACCATACGGTACACTCCCAAGGTCCGATGTGCGACGCTGCGGCAGCCCTACGTCATCTTGGAAACTTGAATGCCACATTTGGGGACCAAGCGGCGGTGCCACCATAGGCAGCTGGGGCCGATGCTGTTCTTGCACAGAACGAAGGATTGGCGCGGAAGACGACTGCCAAGCTGAGCTGTTTGGTTTTCGCTGCCGAAGGAAGCCATTGAAACCCCAGCTATCAAAATAGCTGTCGCCAAGTTTTAAAAGAAAATCGGCACTTGACTCGATCCCTTCGTTTACCCACATATCTCTCCGAATTAGGTGATTGATACTGTAATAGAGAGACGAGTCTTCATGGGACATGCTTCCTTCCCAACTATCTGTAAAGAGCGGGCCGGATGAACAGAATAGCTGGACCAAAGCCCGGTACATGCTATGGATAGCGTGGCTGGTGTTGCCTGTCGGGGATCGTAGTTGGTGCTGGAAAACTGGCGTAGCATTCAAAGATGGGGCCATGTCCAGCAAAAGCGTCCTCGTTGCGCTGAAAATACAAACCGAAAGAAACTCCGCTAGAAGATCCCTTGGTCGTTTATCTGATGTAGAAGAGCACATTATCTCAAATGATTGGAGAAATCGTAGCAGACAGTCCTCGAGTTGCCGCATATGCTCGTCTAAATCAACTCCCTCGGGCGGATTCTTCAGGTTGAATGTTGATCCGACACGAAAAAGAGGATCCGGGTGAATGATTCCGTAAAATATGGTCTCGCGAAGTAATAACTTGGCGGAATATAATGTTGGAAATGATGCCTCCTCATTTTCTCGCGACGTCGATAATGAACCGGTGATTCGAAGCAGCTGGAAAAGATCGTAGGCGGTATCCTGCGCGTGCCAACTACTAGCGATGGCAGCGAGCACTGGAGGGGCCCGCCTGGGCGCATCGCGGTTATATCCTGATGTCCCGTCGGTGGAGCTGTGTCTGGAGTCGAGATGTGCTGACCACCAGAAACCGTCCGGAAAGTCAGCGTTTTCTTTGACGATCTCCTTGAAGTTGTCGGGGAAAGAACAAGCGGATTCGAGGTACTCGTTTATGCCCCGGCGCTGCGAAAGAGGGGATGTTATCGGAGTGCGGGCTTGTCTTGGAGATATAGGCCCTGTGAATGTGGTCAGAAAAGCAAAAAAGGCTCCTTGCGCACAGAACATACCGGGTAGCAAAATATCTGCAAAGGAAGCAAGCGGGTTACGAAAACAGCCTATTATGCCCCAATGCTCCTCCTTTCCAGAAGGGGGATTATCAGAACAATTCGAACAAGGCTTATTAGCATCACACTAGACACGGGAAAACATCATTATCAGCAACTCAAGCCATCATTTCATAATTCAAAGACAAGGTATAAGGAAAGTGTATATGTACCTTTTTCTTGGCTATTCTACACCGAAGGCACGGTCCTGTCTCGGGAAATAGCTGGAGCTCTCCAATGGATTCTAACCGCGGTTGATTTGTCTTTGATCTTTTCAAAGGCGGTAGCATGGCCTCGATATCGGCGTCACTCGAGCTCCTACGCACACCCCTGGGCCCGGTTGGTGCATAGAAGGTATAATTTGCGGATAAGTCGTCCTTTTCTTCGGGTGGAAGTCGGGGGCTGATGACTGGTAAACTAGAAGACGGAGGCAGGTTTCCAGTTTGCACTGGCGGGGGATGTCGATTCGATTGGGAACTGTTTAGAAGCCGAAGAGATTGCTCGCCGATGGACGGCACTGGGGGAGAGGTTTCCACAGAGAATCCAGAATCCCTCTTTGCGGGGGGTTGGTGAATAAGACTGTGACTGTCTCTTTCTCCTTGGCTGGCGAAGCCGTAAACATAGTGGGCGCATTGGTCATGCCAACATTTGAAAGATAGCATCGATCGAAGTTTCCACCCATCCGCCTCTGCGTGCGCTTCAGAGCGATGCTGTGGAATCGAATCGTGTAGTTCGAGATGCCTTTCCAACCAGATACCAAAGTCTGGCGGCGCCGAGGGCAGCGACTTCCTCAACGGCTCTATAACATCCACTTCTATTTGGCGCATTAGCCATAATTCAGCTCGTGCTTCCTCTGTACTGGCAAGGGAGAGGCACTCGTTTGTAACGACATACCGTTTTGCAAGCATACTGCCTCGACACATTCACACCGATACTGAAGCGCTCGCGCTTCTTCTGGACCAGAGAGAATTGGAATCTTGGATGCCAGATCTGCTTACACAAAAACAGAGAGGTTTCCGTCAGCAACGAACTCAACGACATTGTCTGCTTCACAGCACGACAAGTCGTACAGCAGGTATAACAAAGAAATCAAAGGTCCTCTGCCCATGTACACCTAACACATCGCGAGATGCCAGGCGGCGGGAGTGACGCAAAAAAGAAGAGAAAAACCTTGACATTTAAATTACAAAATTATCAACATACCGTAGTGGTCTGCCAGATCCTCAAGAACGCACAGTTTATGGCGTAACATGTCTAGCTCAACTGGGATTTCCAGACCATGTCGGGCAGCGATCAAAACAGAAAGCCTCGACTGGATATCGGCTTGCTGGTTGAGTAACTGGCGGATGGCGACACCGAGGTCCGGCGCAGCATGATCTGCGCCAGTGCCTGACATAGTCACGACTTCATCCCCCAAAGCCTACCATATAGACATAGTTACCTCGGAGGGGACGAAGAGCGAATAAGCTTGGCGTCAAGGCTCCCTGTCTTCCCTTTTTGATGCTGCTCCCAAGGCGAGAAGCCCGATATCGCTTGTTGCAATCGCAGGTACCAAAATGTACAGCGGATGTTAGGTTGGTGATGGAGGTTGGT